TTAACCACCCTACCGTGGCCCATTCGAGGAGTGCAGGGTCTCACTCGAATGGCGTCGTGAATGATTTCCGAACCACCCTGCATTGGCTATGCTACGTCGCGTTACGCGGAAACTTCTAAGTCACGATTGACTTCTTCGACTCTCGATCCGAACCGTGTAAGCTTCAACGTTCGACTGTGTTTTTCGTTGTACGAAAAATCGCCTAAATACCCTCGCGTTTCCGAAGGTAACGGTTAGGAAGAACTCTATGCTTTTGTTCGTCAAAAACTGTTTAAGCGAGAGGTACAGCTGTAGCCTGGTTTATGATACGTACATGTCTACGGTAAGATTCGTTCGGACCGGATCTGATAGACAATAGGGTACTCGGTGACCCGTACTCCGAAGTAAAAACTATTGACGGTGGCCTACGTGCCGACCGCTTGGGCCCTGCAATAAATTGCTTAGCCGCGGCATAGGTTTCGGTTCGCGGCCGAACAGAATTTAAGAATTTACAAAATAAATTTAGTAGAAATAGTTTATTCTCATATTCAGAAGTTTTTAGAAGGTACTCAAAATTATAAGAATAGCATTATTTGAGTTTAGAAAAATGGTAACTTGCAAGATTGAAAATTAAAAAATTTAGAAACTTAAAAAGTTTAGACATTTAAGAATTTGGTGATTTAGAATTTAAGAAATTAGGAAATTAGAAAATTAAGAAATTGAGAAATTAGGAAATTAGGAAAATAGACAAATAAGAAATTAGGGAATCAGGGAATTAGAAAATTAAGAAATTGGGAAATTAGGAAATTAGGAAAATAGGCAAATAAGAAATTGGGATTTAGGAAATTAGGGAATTAGGGAATTACAAAAGTAGGAAATCAGGAAATTAGAAAATTAAGAAATTAGGAAATTGGGGAATTAGGAAATTAGGAAGTCAGGAAGTCAGGAAGTCAGGAAGTCAGGAAATTAGGAAATTAAGAAATAGGGAAATTCGGACATGCAGAAATTAGAAGATTGCGAAATTAAAAAATTAGGACATTCGAAAATTGGAAAATTGGGAAATTAGAAAATTTACAAATTAAAAAATTAAGAAATTCAAAAATTTAGTAATTAGGAAATTCAAAAATTTTATTATTTGATACTTTGAGATTTCAAAATTTTTAAAGTTAGAAATTTAGAACTTTAAAATTTTGAGAAATGTGATACGCGTGAAATGCATCAATGAAAAATTTAAGTAATATCTCCATTTCTTTAATACCCTAAACACGTACTTATTTTGTTTACTGATTAATCTAGTGCTACTGCGATATCACACGCTTAGCAGGGAATGCGTTAACCCTTTCGTTACCGGTGGGGCATATCCGTTCCACTTAAACTTTATCGTTGTCGCACTTGAGGGAAACAAATGAAAATTCTATACTTGTGTTTACAATCATTTGATAAAACACTGAAGTACTCTGTCTAATGAATTATATTGCAGTTTCTTTCTTTAAATCGTAATGACAGTGTTATTTTATCGAAACATTCATTTATAACTATTCCAATTGTTATATTATTTTGAGTAATGTAACTATAAGTGATTGATTTCATGAATCAGGTGTAGATATATTTTTTATTAATAAAATTTTTAAAAATTTCGAATTTATAATTACTCGTTCAAATTCTTAAATTTTTTGTTTAAATTTTCAAATTTTACATTATCTAAATTCTGAAATTCCAAAACTAACCATTTTTCCAAATGTCTGTTTCATAAATTCTTAAATAGTCAAATTCCGAAACTTCTCATTTTCTTAAATTTTTAAATTTTTAAGTGAGTCAATCTTTAAATTTTTAAAATTCTAAATTTGTAAATTTCCAAACTCTTAAATTTTCGAATTTCTTGAATTCCTTAACTTTCATAACTTTCTATATCAAACTTCTTCTTTCTATGTCAAATTTTCTATATCTCTATATTTCCATATTCTCAAATTCGTCTATTTTTTAAATTAAATTATATTTACTAAAAATATATATTTGTATATTATATATATAAATCGAGTAATATGTTAATAAAAATATCATGTAATATATGTTTTGAATTCGTCTCGATGTCCTCTAAAGCTATGAATAAAAAAAATGTATGTTCCTATTTAAAAAACCCAAGGTGACCTTGACTTTGCCAAGAGAACAAACTGTTTTCAAAATTTGCTTTACTAATATCTATTGTGCACTTCATACCTTGCAAATTTTATTCTAAACTTTTTTTCGTAAGGTGGCTGCAAGTGGGAGAAAAATCGTGAGTAGCGTTACAGGTAACACCCTGTATATTATAGAAAAGAACAAATATTGATGAGTTAACGTTTGTATTAATCTGGATTAACTTCAAATAATAGTAATAATAGATAATGGTGACAATCCGTCACGTGACGGTATGTGATAATGAAATTTATCTTTTGATATCTCAGATAATAGATAAACACTTTATTTTACATTCTTTTCTGTCAATGATGAATCAGACAATTTTAATCTTTTTAATAGAAATAATCGGGATAAACCCTGATTCGATTGAGATTTTTTGTAAGAATGTAGAAAGAAACATACGAAAAATAAATGATGCAAATAAATGAATCACGTGAAATTATTAAACACATCAGGTACATTATATAGTAAATTTAACACTAAATTTTACGAATATTTTATGGTCGTATATTTAATATTCCAGAACTAGCTATTTTTAATGTTTCAAAATATTTCAAGCAAATATGAAATATTTCACGGTCACGTCAAAATGACGGACTTTCGATTTCTTCTTTGCAATAACAAAAATTATTAAACTTCTATTAAAATTGTTCATCTTAATCTAAATAAAGAATCATTTCATAAGCTAATGTATGTATTATCCGTTATTTATGTGACCGGTAATAACATCACTACTACTATTAATGAATTACAACAATATTTAAAGTTTAAAAACACAATATAAATTGGAATATGAAATTAAGAAGTGCGACATTTCCAATGCGACCGCACAACGAACCCTTCTTGCTTGCAGGTTACGTTCCAATCGATCAGACCAATCCATCATCGGAAAATGCGCGCCAAAATTTATTTATTTTTAAATATTATTTATGATAAATGTCTCATTTTTTGCTCTGTTACCGTTATGTCAATATAGTTTGTTAGAGAATTTCTTTATCCCAAATTATTGTCCTTTTTATTTATTTTTTTGTTCCCGGTTTAAATTCTGGTTCTGTTTTCTTTTTAAATATATAATTATATCGGAGCTATTGGTTTAAAAAATTTGTAAAATTTATACGTTTTATACAATTTTCGTGAAACTTACAAATTTTAATGAAATTGAATTACATTGAACCGAATTGAAATTTATTAATTTACATTATTGAAGTGTTGTTATGTATATTACTTTTGTATATTTATAATATATAATACATTATATAATGCAGTATTTGTATAAATATTACATTATTATTTATAAGTTTAAATATTAAAGTATTATACATAAGTTTATATATTACAGACAATTATCTAATTATTGGAAAACTATGCTCGAACTAACTTTTCAATTTGTAATACATTTTAATTATATTGCATTCGTTATACTAAACATATTTATCAAATTTATGAAATTTTCTTAATTTCATGCATTTATAAATTGATATGTGCTTACATCGCGTGAAACATGTTTTTAATTTATTGTCAACGATTCGATATTCCTTCGATGTATCAATTTAAAATTTACACTTAACACAACATTCAGGGAACTCGATAAAATGATGTGTTTCGAATTTCTTATTTTAAATTCCGAAAATCATTAAGCGTTTGTTAAAATTATTAACCTTTATCGAGATAAAGAATTATTGTATAAACTAGTGTACATATTATCCATTATTTATTTAATCATAATTTAATTATAATTTAGTTTCAATCTAAATACGAGTAATACAGTGAAATAGTAAAATAATAAAATAGTAGTATAGTGATATAATAAAATAATGTAAAAAATAAAATAGTAGAATGGTATAGTAAAAAAATAAAACAGTGAAATAGAAAGTAGTAATCTAGAAAAATAAAATACTAATACAGTAATATAATTATACAGTAAAATTAGTGGAACAGTGGAATAGTAAAACACAAGTAATAAATAAAAGAGTGGAATATTAAAAAACAGTAAAATACTAAGATAACAATATAATAATATGCTTAAATGTAAATTAACAAAAAAAAAAAAAAAACAACCTAACATAACGGAAGACTGAAATATAAAAAATAATAAAATACCAAAATAACACTATAAGAATATGTTGGATTTTAAACACAATTAGTTGAACAATTTAAACACAAAAAAAAATAATTAAACGTCTTTAATTATATTTAAGTTTTCCTACATAATTACATTTCACAATTAATTTTTAATTACAGGAGCTCAGTCGCTCGTAAAATAAATATTTGCATAGAAATTGGTTATAATTATATCCTGGACAATTTCTATTGTTTTTTTACTCGTTAATTTTATAAACAAATTTTCAAACATCTGCGGGAAAATACCGTTTGAGCAAATTAGGAAAATGCGTGAGTCACTTTTCTACGATCATATTGTGGAGGGTGGGTACTGCGGGTATATAACTGTATGGTACCCATAGGGCACATCAGTCTTCGCGCCGATTTTTAGCCGAATCAGCATAGTGATCCGACCGTGATCGAATAGAACATTTAATAAATTAATTTAAATAATCCAATTCGTTTTAAATAAAGTGACTTTAAATTATAATTAATCGCTGACTCCGGTCTTTTCTGAATTTTTCCAAGGTAGCAATTACGAAATTGTATTTGTTTCAGATAAAGTGATTTTAGATTATAATTAATTGTTGACTCCGTTCTTTATAAGTGAATATTTCCAAGGTAACAATTACGAAACTTATCAGGACAAGAAGCTGAGAAGATAAAAGCGCGGATGATACACTGGATTTGATTAGTATCAATCCGAATGCGAGTAGGTGATAATACAGCAATGATGTGGTTTAAATATTTCATTTTTTGTGCGTTGATATTCGCCGTCCATGGTGTTAGTCTGCAGCTGGATGGTATGAAAAAACAGTAGTTATTTTAAATAACGAACATGCTAAATAATAATAGTTTTAAATAATTACCTTTTAACATTTCTTAAATGATTACCTTTCTAAATAAATTTTTAAGCTTTTTATAATTCAAACATTTCGGTAACTAATTTTATTATTCCATACAATTAATGACATGATTCATGTAAACCAGAACATATCTCTTGTGGTTATGTTTGAAATCCGCCACTTCATTAAAACGTTTAAAAAGTTCGATATTTTTAAACTGTCATTGTATTGCTCCTTCTTAAAAAATATTCGAGTCATTGCCATATACAGAAAACTGAAACTAAATATAGAACACAGAATATTTTTGCTTATTCACAAGATTTAATTAGTTGTTAAAAATTGCCTTCTAATAGTATTCGAATCACGCGACGTACGGACTCACGCGACGTACGAACTCACGCGCCAATTATTCCTTCGTTTTATATCGTGCAGTGCGTATGCGTCCCCGAAAGCCCGCAAAGCGCGGAGAAATTCGAAATTAATTGACAACAGTATCATTTCCTATGTATTTGCATATGTTTGAAATTAATCATTAACAATTTGATTAATTCGCAGATATAAATGCAACAGCATTTGCAAACGAAATTAAAACATGGGTAAAGGAGCAACGCGAAACACATACATTCAGGCAAATGATAAATCGGCTAAGAATTCCTCCGGAACTTCAGAACTGTGATTGGAAATTTTATAAAGGAGAGAAAGCTAAATCAATTTGTACAATATGCGAAGGAATTTTTAAAACATTTATAAACTTTCGACGACAGGGCAAGTCGGACGAATTTATCGAAAACAGTGTGATTAATTTATGCACATTGTTAAATATTCAAACAAAAAGAGTTTGTGAAGGGGCAGTTCGTTTAAATATGGTAACGTCAATTACATTCATACAAATATTTATATATTACAATGGCATCAATCTATAATTTTTATCTTATTTTTCTAGCCCATTATTTTGCACATAGTGGATTCTAGAGAAAATTTAACGGCTAATACGATCTGTGGCACTATTTTGGAATCAAAATCTTGTCCTTTAAAAGATCCTGAATTTAAATGGAATATTACTTTATCTAATGATGCCGCTACTATAATTCCTGATAATGAAACAGAGGAAAAAATGAAAATTGTGCAAATAACAGATATTCATTATGATCCTCTTTACGAACCTATTGGCAATGCAAATTGCAAAGAACCAGTTTGTTGTAGAAAAGGTCAAAATACAACTGGTACAACTTCCTTGGCTGGATATTGGGGAGATTATCAATCCTGCGATACTCCTTTCCATGCAGTCATTGATGCTTTAACTCAAATAAATGACACTCATAAGGTGTTTATTGATACACAAAATTTATAAAATAATAGCTATTTGCTAAAAGATCTTACATTAAATTTCATATAAAATCTCTTTCAATTTTTAGGATATAGATGCTATATACTTTACTGGAGATATAATAGACCATGGAATATGGGAGACTTCAAAGGAAGGAAACATAGAAAGTCTTATGCAAATTTATGATAAAATTAAAGATACTTTTAAGAATATTCCTGTGTATCCAATTTTTGGAAATCACGAGCCACAGCCTGTAAATCAGTAAGTTAATTAATTGATAAGGTACTTCAGCTGATATGATAAGTTGAGGTTTTAGATTAGCAAATCTATAATATATGTATAATAGGTATACATATGTACTGATAAAGCATTTTAATACCGTAATTTAATATTGTCTTTGTTCTTATTACATTCAAACGTTGTAAATAATTAAAAGATACATAAATTAAAATTAATCTTAATTATAATTATTTAATTTCTGTAAAGATTTGCACCAACATATGTAACGGAGGATCATTTAACTACAAATTGGTTGTATAAATTACTGGCAGATTTATGGATAAATACTTATAACTGGTTACCAGAATCTACACGATCTACTATACTTCAAGGAGGATATTATACTTTTAGCCCTAAAAAAGGATTCAGAATTATAGTTTTAAACAATAATATTTGTTACTCTTATAATTGGTATGCAGAAAGATTATATTATATAATGTTTATAAAATATCGTTACTAATATTTCAAAATAATCTTTTTTCATCTTCTTTGCTTTTTAGGTGGCTTTGGTATGATCCACAATATCCTGCTAATCAATTGCAATGGCTTGCAGATACGCTTCTTAATGCAGAAAAAAATGGGGAATTTGTACATATTTTATCTCATATGCCTGTTAGTAGCAAAAGTTGTATAAAAGCATGGAGAGACGAATATTTAAGAATAATTAACAGATTTTCGCACTTAATAAAAGCTGAATTTAATGGACATACTCATAATGATGAATTAGTACTGCTTCCCAGTTCTGATACTACAAACGGATATATTGCGTGGAATGGCGGCAGTATAACTACTTACACAAAGCTGAATCCAAATTACAAAGTTTATACGGTAGCCAGTAGCAATTATGTAAGTATTATTATCACCTTACTATACAAATTCAAGTATAACTGATAATGACATTAAAACATCTATTCATTTAAACCTATTTTTGCAATAAACATTGAACAAATGTTTTTAATAAAATGATCCAAAACATATAGGATAGATAATATACATAAATGTACTTTCTCAATTAACAAAGAGTATTACCTATTTTTTTATAACTTTGTTAGAACTTTGCATGTTTTAAAGGTAAAATCATCCTCTGAATTTTAATATGTTCAAGACTGCCGCTGACATTATTAAAGATAAAATTAAAACATTTTAAATTTTTAGATTATAGTCACTGAATATGTTTCGCTCAATTTAATAAATATGTAATTTCTATCCTATAAGTTTTTAACGAATTTTTTTTTAACCAGTATAATTAATACATTAATCGTATTTTTGTAGGAAGTAACGGATTATGACAATTGGATGTATAATCTCAATTTGGCTAATAAGAATTCTCATGAGCGACCAAATTGGTATAAATCATATTCTTTTAAAGAAGAGTATGGTGTTTCTGATTTATCTGCTAAATCTTTATCCAATTGGTTCAATACAGCAGTAAAAAATGAAACACTAGTAAACAAATATTACAAGTAAGAAAATTAAAATGTAAATCATATTAGTCAAAATTAAGTTTAGTTTGTTAATATATCCAATTTTTAATTACAGGCACTTTTACAAACAAGCACCGCCTTCACTAGAAGCAGATTGTAATTTGAACTGTAAGAAACAACGTTTTTGCCAAATGGCGCTAACCACTGAAAATGCTTGCAACAATATTTAAAAATATTAATACCATAAATTAAGTGCAATTTAAGTAAAAAATAAAAGTGTCCTATATAAGTTTAATTATTTATTATATTATCTGGTTACTATTTACAAATTTATAACAAGTTTCAGCTAACGTTTCTCAAATCTATCCAATCTATCTGCGTTTTAGCAAAAAGTTCCTCTGTCGGAATTTCGTCTAGTATACTCATCTAAAAATAAATTAATTAAATTGTTATATGGACTTTTTTAGTAATGCAAAATATATTATGAAAAAAACATGACATTACCTGTTTTCTTACATATATTAAAAGTTTCTCAATATGCTCTGGATTATTACATTGGGAGACGAAATATCTTCTCCATAGACTACCTGCTAATACTTTGTCATCAGATAGAATTCCTTCATCATAACCAAGTATAGCAGCATTAAATTGGTATGATAAATCCATTATTTGTCTCCTTTTTACTTTTCCAGCTATAAACTAAAAACAAAATACCATAATTATTTTTATGAATAAAAATTTAAATAGAATAAGAAATATTGAAATAAAACAAAAGTTAAAACCATTCAAATTAGAATTACTGAAAAATCAATAAATGACTTTATCTAAATTCAATTACTTAAATATACTTAAAATTATTCAGTATTCCTTAAGTTACTTACACCAAGCTTATCTATCCTCACAGTAACATCACGCCACATGGCTTCAACAATATTATTTCTAACTACTTTACCTCTGTCTCCTTCAGCCATAAAACGAGCCATTAACATCCAAACATGTAATTCAGTGATTAAAAACCAAGAAAATAAAGTATCTGGCATATTGAAATCTAGCAAATAAAATATGTATTAGATTAAAAGGTATTTTTAGTCAACTGCTTAATGTTACATTAACAATATATTAAAAAAACAATACCTTTAAAAAACACTTCATAATTGAGATTGTCAACAGTGTTAGTATATAATAAATAACCTGTTAACATCAGTCTCTGAAATATTATAAATATATGCAATTAATTTAAAAATATTCAAGTATTATCAAAAACATTTAAAACATAATAGCAAATAATTATACTTACATACTTTTTTCTATATAAATTAAATCTTAACATAATACTTTGTAAGATTCCATTTTTTGGAGTCTTTACATCTACAGGTGGTTGTTTTGCATGAACATTCTGACAGTATTGACGAAATTCAATTTTTGTTGAGCAACATGTACCATGCATAATTATAGACTGACATTCTGTGATGTATTTCAATGTTGTGGACAATGGTACCTTTCATGATAAATATTTTATAAACATTGTCCATTATAAAATAACAAAAATATTTATGTTTACAAAAATTAATAAATACCATGTAATCAAATTGAAATATTTGATTAATTCAGAAATTCTCATATTCATATATTAATTAGAATTTCGTTAAATGCAAAAGTAATAAATACACAATTATTTTGTATTTAGAATACTCCAAAGTTAAAAGATCAAGCGTTATCATTATATTCTTTAAGTAAAAATAAGAAACAAATATTGAAAGCTTATAATATAAGTCCACCAATAACTTGTAAAGAATTATAACAAAAATATAAAAGCTAAAAGCAATAATGTATTTATTATTGGTATATTATGATATAAACTTTGACCAAAAATATTTACTGACCCTGCTTCTTATAGCTACTTTTATTATTTAAAATGATGATCCATTGGTAGAAGCTTATTTTTTATAGAAAAAAAAACAATGATCAATTTGTGACTTGATCAGATATAATACATTAACGATACATTTCTTGAGCTAAAACAAGATACATATGTACTAAATTTGAAGAATATTAAATTCAATTCTTCTATGGTATCAAGTTACATTAAAAATAGAAGGTGATATTTTGAAATGAAACCATAACTGAACTTAGTATAAACGATAATAAAGCATTCATAGATTTTTATTTATGTAACATGTTTTATTCTTTCTACTTAAAGAATATACTTGCAAAGTTTCGATTGTTCATCTTTGGGCCATTCTATACATATCATAAGTGAAATACGTTTAAATAAGTCTATTACTCAATTTATGTTTCACATGTAATCATGTTCATATAATTTATATGATAAAGAATTATTAGGTTATGTTACATTATTATTATTCTAGATGATGACATACCTTTCTAAAATATAACGTTCTTACGCAATGCATCCTTATATTATATTTTTTTTATTAAATATAGAAAATTAATTTGTACTTTTCGAAAAAGAAAAATGATAATTACTATACTTCCTTTTCAAATGTAAAACATTTCTACCGACTAACGAGCACTGGATGTAACGCGGCAAATTTAAAACAGTGAACAGACATTTCCTACCTCCTACACCGTTGAAGAAATTTCCATTTTCTTGATATTATATAAATATTTTGGAGCGCGAATTGAAATAATTCGATTCTCCTTTTAATAATATATATAATATATATAATAATTTCGTAATTTATATTCGCGAAATGTTATATTTTAAGCGAAAACTATAATTGAATTTGTGTACAAACATTTAACATACTTTATAGTTTAAATTTTATGCATTTTTGAATGTTCATACCGCATAATACTACATGTATAGAGAATTATATAAATAGTGATTTATTAAATTTGCTAAAAATGAAAAGGCTACATGCATTTTTGAAATTAATAATTATTGAAATTTTCGCAAGCTTTTACTTTTAAAAACAAGCTGTTCTATTACACATTTTACATTCCAGAAACGTCGTTTTAGGAACTATATCAACATACTAAAATTTGAAATCATTTTAGAAGGTTCATTATTGCATGTATTTTAAAATTTATATTTTCGCGCGCTTTATCTAAAAGAACTATGGTTTTTGAAGTTTCACCAATAATTAAGTTTTCACTTTAAAATAACAAACTGAACAATTTATTCTTATGTTTTTTTACTACAGAATTGCCGCACGCGAGAAAAGAACTCGAAGAAGTATAAACAGAATATCTCTTGATGAATTCAGCGCGTGATATTAATACATAGATGCTTCCTTCGCGGACAGTAGAGAACCCAGTCGGTAAAGCAGATCTCTGGTCGAGCCATAAAACTAATATGGCGCCCCCGATCGTGCGCACGTTCCTTTCGCAAAGAGTACCATCTAAGCGCTGCTAGATGTTTACTTTCGTGCCATGAAAATAAATGAAATTCTTACAAATTGTTTTGAAGACATGACAAAACCAGAAAAATGTACTTACAGCGGACTTGAAACATTATATTCACAAATTTTTAAAATTACATTCTATGAACTTCAAAATGTTTAACCACCTAGCGGTAGAAGGTGGAACCCAATGGAAATAAATTTGAAATATTTAACATTACGAAATATTAGCCTTTACAGTTTATTAAATAATAACAGCTTTACTATGTTTTGAAGGATTTGACAAATCGCTAGAGTTAATAAATGCAAACGTTATATTCGAAACGTTATTTCGAGAATTCTTTCATTTTTAAACTTAGATCAGCAAGTATACATATTCGGCGTCAGGAACGTCATAAAGCATATGCGCGTTACTATTGGTTACCAAGCGTATTTAAACCAATCAGAGCTGATATGCGCAGAATGAACAAAAATTTGTCAAATAATGATCCAATGATTTCTATGATTTCTTGATGAACAAATGTGAGTAAATGACTAATGTTGAAAGGTGCAGTGGATGAATTGTACGGAAGAAATGTGAATTATACAAATAGATAATTGTAAAAATATAAAGACGCTCGTCAAAATGTATTCAACAAAAACACCTTGTTTAAGAATTGATGAAGCTGATCTTAAATGTAAAAATGGCTGTGGATTTTATGGAAATGTCGAATGGGCAGGTTATTGTAGTAAATGTCATCGAGAATATTTACAAAAACAGAGATCACAAACAGAATCTAATGCTTATGGACAAGGATACGATTTGTACGTTATATTAATTATTAATATTAATTAATTAATATAGTCATTATGTTATATTACTATAACGAATATTTAGAAAATGTTTTCAATATAATTTTTGATGTAATGTTTTCATTTTAAACAACAAATTGAAATTAAAGAAAATAAAGAAGAAAAAATATTATTTTACAAAAATTGTACTCTTAGGTAAAATATTTATCATTATAAACAGCAGAAGAAACTTAGATAATTAATAAACTATAAAAATATACTTCAGCATAAAAGTACACAAATAATTATTGAAATTAAAATCACAAAATTTGCATTAATTTTTTCATAACTGTTACAATGCATTCTATTAATAATAGATTATGAGTATGTATACATTTATAATATATAAAAATCTGATAAATATAGGCTATTGGTAAAGATAGAGATTTTTTACAGATTACATTATTTATATTAACTTTGTAAAGTTAAATGCATAAGATAATTCTTTTACTGGTTACTGATAAAAAAAAAGTAGCGTAAAAGGTAGTATTATATTGTATCAAAAGAAATCCATATTGTTCCACCTCAACGAACAATATAAACTTCTTAAGATATTCTAACTAGCCATATAATTGCAAACTATCTTTCTTGCATCTATATTGTTTACCTAGCCACTTTGTTAATATATGTCTAATTTAAACATTGCTATAGCAATGTTATGATATTTTACAGTCTACTAGTAAAAAAATCAGACTGTATTGCAAATACATAAACAATCACCATTGTCTTTTAAAGGAAAAAATTTTTTTTAGTAACAGTTATAGTATTGAAATTTTATTAATACTACTATTGCTGATGTTGTAGTTAATTACAGGAGCAATTTGTTTAAATAATGTTTTAGTGCCGCTTCTAATAAAAGTAGTATTAGTGGCCATCAAAAGTATGAAGAGAAAAAAGTACAACAGGAAAAAAAATACAAGTTGTTAAATATATCTTTTCGAAAACCAGTAGCAAAAGGTATGTAATATTTAATTTTGCATTTGAGTTGTTAAACTTTTTTTTTATAAATTGAACTAAAGGCAAGATTAAAATTAATTTTATTATTTATTTAAATCAATTATCCAAAAAGCTATAATTTTTGGTAAAAGCACAGGGATACCAAGAATTATTTTATGAATTGATGAAAGAAAACCCAGATTTGATGAAAGTAAAAATTGAGAATCGTGATCTGATAGCTGTAATTGCAAAAACACCAGTGGAAAAAGATGTTAGAAAGTGTATACATTCTTTTATCATTGATATACTTCAAAATAAGGATGTTAAAAGAATTGAAGAACTTTCAGAGATTACACAAAATTTTTATCAAGTATTTGCCAAACGTTTGGAAAATAGTGCAAAATATGCAGGTATACAAAATTTTAATTGAAATAATTTAAAATTAAACATTACTATGTTAAAGGTACTTAAGAAATTTTATTGTTATTATTGTTTCAGATATTGCACCAGAGATTAAAGAAAAATTGTTGGATTATGTAGAAAGATATGCAATGACCTTGCTTTATAGAATTCTTTTTTGTCCTCCTTTTACAAACGATGAAGAAAAGGATTTAGCAATACAGAAGAGGTTTGTTTTAGATACAAATAAAGTTAGCAAAATTGCAGATTAACATTATGTATTAATATAACATTACAGTAAGATATTTTTGCAGAATTCGGCAATTAAACTGGGTCAGTGGGAAGAATTTAGAATGTAGAATACATGAAACGAGTTCTGAAGTTAGAGAACTTGTTTATACTTCAATTACAGGTTTGTTCATAAAACATTGAATTAGTGTTTTAATTCCGAGTCTTAATTATTATATTCGTTACTACAGATTTATTAAATATGGATTCCGTAAAAGCTCCACAAGAGAAACTTTCCTGTATTATTTATTGCTGTAGAAACATATTCTTAATGCTTCAACAATCTGTTGGTGGGCCTGCATCTGCAGATGAATTTCTTCCAGCCCTAATTTTTATTGTTCTAAAAGCTAATCCTGCTCGTCTTAAAAGTAATATTAATTTTATTACTAGATTTTGTAATGCAAGCAGATTGATGACTGGAGAAGGTGGATATTACTTTACAAATCTGGTAAATAATGCTTAAAAATAATGTTTTTTATAATTTATAAGATGTAAATTGATAACAGTGTAGTATCTAAAGAAAATATTTTAGTGCTGTGCTGTATCCTTCATTGAAAATTTAACAGCTGAATCATTGAATATGGATGAAAAAGATTTCAATGCCTATATGTCTGGAGAACGTGTACCTGCCAATACGTGGGAATCTGCTTTAATGATGTGTGAAGTATGTACTGACTTTCTTACTTTCATAATTTTACATTATATATCTTTCATATAATTTACTGGAACTGTTTACATAGAGCTTACATTTAATGTGCGAAGATATAACACTCCTCGACGAGATGAAAGCTAAGAATACAGAGATAATGAATGAAGCACTAAATTTGAAAGAACAAATGTTAAAATTTCAAGAAGAAATAGAATCAGAAGTAAATGCAGTTTTAGACAGAACTCCGTTATTGATTATTCATAGTCAGAGATTGCCTACAAATTTAGATTGCGAGGATATTGAAAGTTACCAGTTACCACCTCCAATTATTCCACAAGTATATTACTGTTTTCATTTAATACTTTTATCATAAAGAGTCAATTGTAATAAGTAATAATTGGTTTTAGGTTTGTTCTACTACCATTAATAACTCTGCACAACAAAATGATGTAAAGAATTCTCTGATAGAAGATTGTGTTACGCCATCTCCTACTTTTGACTTTCCATCTTTCATCGGTGACGATAGTTTCGATGTAAGCAAAGCGGAAGATGAAACTAGTCTTATAAGCTTAGATACCCAAAGCGATTTTAATATACAGCAAGAAAAATCCACAAGTGAATTAGTATCTACACATCTGAATGCGTGTTCAACTGCAGAATCGCAAAAAGAAGATTATCATGGATTCACTATTCAAGGTTCAAATATACCTACAATTCCTTGCAGCACTGGAGATTTATCTTTTACTTCTGTAGAATCGGATTGCGAAAATTATAAAGATTATCTCCATAATGTATAAAACAGAATAGTTTCGTTGAATTAAACATAAATCTTACAAAATGTTGTTTAATTTATTGTGATAAATATTATATATATATGATATTCATAGTAACATACGTAAAACATAATATAAATTACTTAAATTATTCTGGTTTTATAAGCTTATTTCAAGGAAGCTAATTTTCATTCATAAGATTTTTTATCATTTATGTTACCAATCTATGCAAAACGTAAATAGTTACTTAAATGGAAACGATGTAAGTCATAATAAATTCAGCAATTGATAAAAATAACTGTTTCGTAATTTATTTACATAATTTTAAGATGATATTTATTTCACCGTACATCAACTCAGAAATACAAAGATTTACAAGTTTTTACACCCACTTTTTCCAAAGCAAACGCAAAGGAAGTAAATTATCTCTTCGTTGTAACTTTGGATCAAAAACATTAAAATCTACTTTCCTTAATTGTGTTAAATAATTATTTAAACAAACTGCTGGTAAAAAGATCAAATTTGCTTTCTTTTCTATATTCTTTTTAAGAGATATTGCCTAAAAAAAATTATTTTGTATCAAAGCGTAAAAATAAAATATGTTTTTTTTACTTATAGTATTACTATATTTCTGTTTTAGGGAAATACTTACTGCATCTAAATGCAGTTTTCCTTGAGAAGCAACATCATATATTACATTTTTGAGATTTTTACTTAAATCACCTTGCAATATAGATTCTGTAGAAACACTATGCTTCATTAAAATATCTTGTGGTAACATATTAACCCTTTGTTTGGCATTATAAGGGACTGATCTAAGTATATTAACAATCCCATGTGCTTTACCCATATGACTTGCAGCATGATCAGCATTAATATTAATTATACCATGTGCTTGCAGTAAAAGATAATAAATAGAAGAAGTAGTGTATTCCGCATAGTTTTCTACTGCACTGATGTCATTAAATGAATAATCATGAAGTTTGTCTAACCGTGCAGTGATCAAACGTTTGAAATAATGTTTAGGGAGAGAACACTTCTGCAAAACCTGTAAATAACCTTATTACAAATATTACAACTTTTAATTGCAATGAAACTTAGAATAAAATGTTAAATAATATATTGTAGTAACAGTATACGCTAAAAAATAGAACAATAAAACTCTACCCTATGCAATTCCAACATAACAGGACTTTTTGGAGGATTCCCATCATATGTATTATTCAGTGCATCTGCCCAAAATTTGAATCTCATTTCCCCTATTTTATAATCACGTACTTGATCTCTAACTTGAGCCACTTCAACATTAAATGCATGAATGACAAATGCACTGGCTCTAGGTTCAAGTGGTAGCAATAATGTACATAAAAAATTTTCATAATCATGTTTTCTGAAAACATGGATGATATAAGAATAACCATTTAAAAAATAAGAAACAATTTTTCTATTAAAACACGTTTTATAATTTAAACAGTTAATGTTTTCACAAATATTATATAATCCAAGTCAAATCTTATTTCAGTGCATTGTTTTGTTATTTTACTCAATAATACAATATATTAAAAGTAAGACAAATAAAATTTAATTCTATGACATTAACAATGTTTAAAACAATTACAACTTGTTCATTATTATTAATCGTGCTATACCGAACTAATTCCAAACAATATTCAGCCGGCGTTTGTCTTGTAGTTTTACTTGAATACTTCGAAATTCGTAGAACTAGATTTCGTTTGAAGCATAATAATCTTCCATTCATAACAAACATGTTTTTTGAAGATTTATACTATTAACATTTTATTTTAACAGATAAAACGTAAACACACTCAACAATCAATGTTAACCTATCATCTGTAATAAAAATTACAATAGTAACATACAATATTTTATACACGATTAAATGAATAAAGTACTATTCTAAAAAGTATGAATTACTTTTAAATCTTTAAATACATTATAATCATTTTTATTAAAACTATGTATACTCTTTAGTTGAATCAGGTTAAATTCATGTGAAAATATTACCGTCGTAACGAGTTTTCATTCTGCGCATGCTGGCTCTGATTGGTGTAGCACGTTTCGTAACTAAGAGTGATTGTAGCGCAGAACAGATTTGAAAATTTCTGTTTTTTAATTTTAATAATAAAGAAAATTGTAATTTATGAACTTAAATTTATAAGTATTTCAGAAAGTATATTAATAATATTTTAAGTGTGAAAGCAATCTGAATAACAAAAATTCTCCAAAATAATAGTATAAGATAACACTTTATAAATACAGCATATTCTTATAAAAATAGTCAAACATTTTAGAATTCAAAAGTTCATATTTTTTAAATAAATTGAAAAGCAGCAAGATCTTAAACTGCCTCAAATTTTGTTTACACTGTATTATATTTTATTTAGAACAAAATTTATGATATAGATGTTAATTTCACATAAAATTACATTGTTTATTAGTAGAATTTAATTATAGATATCCCACAATGCTATATATCCATCTTTTGCTGCTGTAGCCATTATATATTTATCATCATATGTTTTCATTTTTTGTAAAGAAAAAGTAATATCATGTATAGTATCCTTATGTTGGTTTAAAACAGCAAGTGGTTTTAAACTTTTCCAAGAAAATATTCTAACTCGACTATCCCATCCTCCAACTGCTACAATTTTAGCATCGTGTCTTATTGTAATCACAGAAGTGCCAGGATTTTTTAAAGTTATTTTGTCTTTATCACGTAGTGAGTGATCAACTGATAAATTAAATATCTATAAATTAAAAACCTATTATTGTTTATTCTTCTTTTTAACCATTTCAAGGTTTTTAGCTATTACCTGAATTTGATCAGAAGGTCCACCAATAACACCCTTCATTAAAACAGTATCAAAATCTAAAGACATTGGACATGTTTCTACTGTAAGAGAACTTAAAATATTCTTGTTCCGAACATCCCACAGTATTAACTTTCCTCCTTCATATCCAACAAGTACCAATTGTCCGTTTTTTAAAAGTTTAATTGCCATTACATCTCCTAGCTTTTCAAAGTTTGATGAACTAAATTTCAATTCTACATTAAAAGTATCTAAAGATAATATTCCAAAACTGGATTCTTTGAGAGGTACAAGTATTTCATTTTCAGAAAATGTTTGAAACCTGTCATTAAAAACAATTATAAATAAATTGATAAAAGAAGGAAAAAGTAAAAAATGTTTTAACTGAAATTTTCTTAAAAAACTATTAGTAATTGCTTTACAGAACTTTTCCTTTAGACATGTATAACTTGAAAATTACATTAAATTGTTGTTACCTTGTTTTTGCTCTATAATATTTATATATACCTGCAATAATGACAAAAGTCTATGTCCACTGATTTGCTTTGGGTCCATTGACTTTCTGTCTTTCTATATTCTTTTATTAAACCATTTTTGTGTTGTATAAATAAATTATCATTACTTAAACTTTGCAAACATAAACAGGGATCCTGTTCTGATTTAATCCGACATATCTCTCGATTTGTCTTTAACAAAAGGAGTAATTGCTTTATATTTGTTTGTTTGAAAATTTGATTTAATAGATAATAATAATACTATATGATATATAAAATATAAGAAGTATCATAATTCTTTATTTACATTTAAATCCCAAATATGAACATTGCCTGTAGCTGTACCTGAATATAGACATTCTATGTTGGAAGTTACTTGAAAAAGGGTACAGTGAATGCAACCCATATCACCACGAAGAAGATATTTTGGATCTGGAGGAAACATCGCCATTCTGTGCTAAGAAATAATAGGAAAGTATAGTGGAACATTATTTAAAATACTGTTGTGAAATAAAATTGGTTAAAATATTAACTTGTATATACAAATATAATTTATACATATGATTATTCAGCGAACAAAAAAAATAGATCCATTAATCATAGATCTTTTATTCCATCAAATAACAGAACTAGAAAAACATGAATTAAACAAGCATACAAATTCTCTGATTTTGTACAATAAGAATTAAATGACTTATACTGATATGATTTTTATCTCCTCATATACAGGATGGACCAAAATTCATGGTATAAATGAAATCAGAGATACAGTATGCTTAAAATAAGATAAAAATCCAAAATAACAAAATTGCATTGTTTTCAAGAAATATGCATGGGCACATGGATACTAGATTTACTTTCAAATAGATATTTTTTAAAAGCAATACCTCCAATGTAATTTTGTTGTTGTATATTTTCATTTTATTTTGAACCATATCTTTCTGACTTTAATTGTATCATGAATTTAAGGCTACTCTGAATATATAAGTTTAGAAGATAATTTTTTAAACTAATTTTACAATATCATTATTAAAAAATGTCTTAAATAATATGCTATAAATATGAATGTAATGCAAGTATCATTGAACCCTATAGTTCAGAGGCAAATATAAATATATTATATCAAAACAACGATAAATGAATGTTCAATCACATTTAAACCGGTCACGTGCAATTTAAGTTCCCCTTAGTTTAAAGGAAAATGTGGGAGAGACTAATACACTCACCTCGCTTTTGTTCTTGCGAAAATAGAAGGGGTGTCTTCTATAGTCACGACTGCCCAACACTGAAAGCGATTGGTGGAAGAATCCTCTTTCTACACTTCCCTTTAGCAAAAAAGATTTATACACATGGATGTCTAACTATGTACACTATTACTAATTAACATATAATTCATAAGAAATCAAATATAATTTGTTTATTTTTCGTGACTGCAGTTTTATTATTAGATAAAAATATAAGATTACGGAGGAAACTTTTGTTTTGGTTTCTGAAGTAGCTCTTGTTTACTTATTTAGAGTATGTATAAAGTTTTCTTATTTAATGAAAAATATAAATTCAATTCAAAAAATGGAATAAAGAAAGAGAGCTAACGACGAACGCTTCAAAATAGGAGAATCCTTTTTTGCTAATCTGCACTACAATTTATGTAAAAAAAAAACGGCCGATCCCTCTCCTGTACCACCCAGTAGTACTGCTTGACGTTATCACATCTGGGGTCACCAATTGTGGCAGTGCGCTAAGAAAAGAAGATGGAAAACGAGAAGGATAGGAGAGAGCGAGAAAAACGTTTTTCTTCGTTTGGGTCCTAACTACTAGTAGAGGAGTTTGCCAGTAATCCTATATAGTAGGCTAGTGCCTTAGTCACAGGATAGTTAGTTGATTGTCGAAGCTTGTGTATATAGGAATACGCAGCTACGTGAGGACATACGAGAGGATGTTAGTTAGGTTTTGCACCGTATCCCTCTGATGGCGAGTACAGGGAGTACCGCCACAATCTTGTTGGAAGTTTTAGAATGGCTATTATCAGTTTAATAATTATCCTGACTGCGTGTTTTTTTAGACTCGTTCTTTTTTCTGATGGTAAGTAATATTATTTTATTTTAATTTAGAGGTTATATTGCAATTTCCTACTTGTTATTATGATGTGTATATACAATATTTTTACAATAAAAAAATATATATACACACATGTATTATACTGAAATAAAAACTTAATAATATTATTTAATAAAGTTATTAGTTCATTTTTCTTTACAAAATAGTTTAACACTTTTACTGCTGGCTGAAATTTCAATTTTTTTTATCAGGAACAGTATAGTTGTTTATTAGAAATATGCTTTTCTAGTTTTTTTGCTTTAAAACACTCAGTTTTCTTATTAGCCATTATTTGGGCAAGTCAATTATCAAAATTCAATCAGTAACAGTACTAAAAAGCTCTTATTATAGTATAGTATACTTCATTGAAACAAGATGCTAGAATAATAAATATTCGATAGAAACAAATGTAAGACATGCTTTGTCAATAGTACTACAGAAACAATTGACAGAATATAATATATTTCCAGTTACCAGTAGTGAAAATGTTAAAACTTTGTGATAATGTATTATTATGACATATTAATAGTATAAATTATTGTTTTTAGGATCACCAACACTTTTGTTTGTTACACAAAAGGACATTAGAATGGCTAACGCTTCTCGTACTAACAAAGTAACAACTATTGTAAAAGACCTTTCTGAAGGTGCAGCCATAGATTTTTATTTTGAGCATGAGTTAGTATGTTGGTCAGACAGTGGTTTAGAAATAATTCAATGTGTTCAAACAAATGGTACACACATGGGTGAAAGAACAATTGTAGTAAATTCTAGTTTAATTTCACCAGATGGTTTAGCTTGCGATTGGTATACAGGAAAATTGTATTGGACAGATGGAGAAAAAAATAGAATAGAAGTAACTAGTATTGATGGACATTATAGAAAAGTTCTTTTCTGGACAGACATTTATCAACCAAGAGCAATTGCTCTTGTACCAATGAAAAGCATACTTTTTTGGACTGATTGGGGCGATGTACCTAAAATAGAAAGAGCTGCAATGAATGGAGATCCATCAACAAGAGAAGTGATTGTTTCCGATGATATATTTTGGCCAAATGGTTTAACCATAGATTATGGAAATGAGTTAGTTTACTGGGTAGATGGAAGATTGAAATTTATCTCAGTAATGGATTACTATGGAAAAAACAGACGAAAAGTAGTAGAACAAGGATTGGATTATCCTTTTGCAGTGACATTTTTTGATCACAAATTATATTGGACTGATTGGAAAACATGGTGTATACATTCATATGATGTGCGACAAAATCAAACACATCCTAGAGAATTGTTACATGGAGAATATATTCCTGGTGATATAGAAGTTTGGGACAGTAGGAGACAACCGCGTGGAAGTCATCCTTGTGAAAAGAACAATGGAAATTGTTCACACTTGTGTCTTCTAAGTATGACAGAACCTGGATATACTTGTGCATGTCCTACAGGTGTTAAATTGGTGGACAATTTGACGTGTGCTGATGGACCAGAAGAATTACTATTAATAGTTCAACGGAATGAAATTTGTCGAATATCTTTGGATTCTCCTGACTATACCAATTTTGTATTACCATTAACAGGTATATATTTTTTAGTATTCTTTTATCTTAATATGCCAACTATTATGCAGGTTAAATGCTAATTAATAAAAATTGGAGGGAAACAAAAATTTTAGTAATCTTGATATTATTATATCAATAACATAAAATAGTAAAATAAAGTTTAAATTGAAAATTTAAATAATTGTATCCTAAATGCGAGTTATAATTGACAGTATTATGCATGTAGCTACATATATATCTTAATTTATTTAATAATAAAATGAAATTGCTATCAAAATAACTATAATTTTTTAATAAAATTAGGAATTAAGCATGCAATAGCAATAGATTTTGATCCTGTGCAAGAAATGCTTTACTGGACTGATGAAGAAGCTCATGCAATACGTAGAGCTTCACTGGATGGTACTAACCAAGAAAATATTATAATTACTGAAGTGGGAAATCCAGATGGAATAGCTGTGGATTGGTTAGCTAGAAATCTTTATTGGACTGATACAGGGACAGATCGAATTGAAGTAGCTCGATTAAATGGTACAAGTAGAAAAGTGCTGATAAATGAAGAATTAATCGAACCTAGAGCAATTGCTTTAGCTCCAGAACATGGGTGGATGTTTTGGACAGATTGGAATGAAAAACGTCCAAAAATAGAACGGAGTAATCTTGATGGAACAGAACGTACTCTTTTAGTAACTAAAGATATTGTTTGGCCAAATGGAATTGCTTTAGATCTTGCACGATGGAAAATTTATTGGTGCGATGCAAAGACAGACAAAATTGAAGTGTGTAATATGGATGGCACAGACAGGAGAGAAGTAATTACGGACAATCTTCCGCATCTTTTCGGATTAACTTTGTTGGGAGATTATTTATACTGGACAGATTGGCAAAGACGAAGCGTGGATAGGGCACACAAACTTACAGGTGGTGAAAGAGAAATAATCGTTGATCAAGTTCCAAATGTTATGGGTTTAAAAGCAGTTCATTTAGGAAAAGTTAATGGTACAAATCCTTGTGTAAAAAATAACGGTGGTTGTAGTCATTTATGTTTAAATCGACCAGAACACAAGTATGTATGTGCTTGTCAAATTGGATACGAGTTAACAAAAGATAAAAAAACTTGTGTTGTTCCTGATGCATTTATGTTATTTGCAAGAAAAGGTAATATTGGAAGAATTAGTATTGAAAATGCAAATAATGACAACATTATTCCATTGACTGGTGTCAAAGATGCAAGGTAAATTTTATATTTATAAATGCAAATTTTTGTTATTTAATTAATGAGGAGTTAAATATTTATTATCATACATTTTTGCTACTTATATTAGCGCCTTGGATTTTAACATAGCAGACAACCGTATTTATTGGACAGATGTTAAATTAAAAACAATTACAAGGGCTTTTATAAATGGTTCTGATATGGAACGAGTTGTTGATCTTGGATTAGATACGCCTGAAGGTTTAGCAATAGATTGGATTGCTCATAATTTATATTGGAGTGATACTGGTACTAGAAGAATAGAAATGGTTCGATTGGAAGGTTGTAGCAGAAAAGTTCTTATTTGGAGTGATATTATTGAACCTAGATGCCTAGCTCTTGATCCAAGCAGAGGGTAATTATGCTATATTAATTTTTTTATCATATTTGTATGTTAAAACAATTTCATCTTTAAATTAAATAATTTAATGTACTAATTGCTAAATGATGATTTATAGTACAAAGTATATTTCGTATATAAATCTTTATTTTCATTATACTTTGCAAGTTATATGTATTGGACCGAATGGGGAAATTCTGGAAGTATAGAAAGATCGTTCTTAGATGGTACAAATCGAGAAATAATACTTTCTAATATTGGAAAAGCAAATGGCCTAACGATTGACCATTCAACACGAAAATTGTATTGGGTAGATTTATCTACTCCAGCTATTGATAGTTTTGATTTACACACAAGAAAACGAAATGCAGTTATAACACAGAATATTATGTATCCATTCACTATTACTCAATATCAAGATTATATTTATTGGACAGATTGGAATACAGGTTAAAAATATATATAATAAATAATTACTGTTCATCACAAATTTTGATTTTGTTTTTTACTGTTATTTTTTAATCAACAGGTGACATAGAGAAGGCTAATAAAACTACTGGAATGAATAGAGTAAAAATACATAATAAATTAGAATCTGTGACAGATTTGTTAGTGTATCACTCTTCTAGACAAGCAGGTTGGAATCCTTGTGCAGCAAAAAATGGAAATTGCAGTCATCTTTGTATCGCTTTACCCGGAGAAAATGAAAGTATATCTAATTCTTTCAAATGCGATTGTCCTACTCATTATAATTTGGGAGAAGACAATGAAACTTGTATTGGTTTGTATATTTAAATTTCTTATAATTTTAATTATTTAATACCTTCCATAATTAACTGATGTAATGATTTATTATTTTTATTTAATAGGACCAAAGAATTTCATGATGTATAGTTTGCGTAATGCAATTTTTCGTTTCCTTCCTGACACTAATGACTGTCCAGACGTAGTTCTTCGAATTCAAGGTTTAAAAAATGCACGGTCTATAGAATTTGATCCTATAACTCAGCACATTTATTGGATAGATGGTCGAACTTTATCTATCAGAAAGACATTGGAAAATAAAACACATTCTACAATAGTGGTTTCTGGAAATTCTGGACATCCCGTGGATCTCGCTTTAGATTCTTTAGGAAGACTATTATTCTGGTCTTGTGCTGTCAATGATGCAATTAATGTAACGAAACTTGATAACGGTTCTGCTTTGGGTGTCGTAGTTAAAGGTGATGGAGAAAAACCAAGAAATATTGCAATACATTCAGAAAAGAGGCTACTTTTTTGGACCGATGTTGGAAGAAAAATGAGAATAATGCGTAGTAAAATGGATGGGAAAGAACGAATCGTAGTAGCAACTGATCTTGAACCACCCACGAGCATTGCAGTTGATGCAACTTCAAATATTGTATACTGGGCACATGGAAATCAAATTGAGTGTGCTGATTTTGATGGAAATAACAGAAGAATTTTGGTTTCCCCTATTGGAAAAGGATCCACAATTTATTTAGCTGTATTTTTTGATTTTGTTTATTGGTTTGATAGAGAAACATCGAATTTGGAACGTGTTAATAAATTTGGAAGTGGAAGAAAAATAATTATGAATAAAGTACTTACAGACTTAATTACAGTAAATACTCCGGAGGAAGATATAATGAAAACACATATTTGTAGCCCTTTTCGTGATCATGGGGGATGTTCTCATTTTTGTATCGGAACCACCTCTTCTAGGTAAGATTAAAATTTAAATTATTTGTATATTTTTTTAATACACGGTTTACATTTTCTAATGAAACATAATAAACGATATTTTTAGGTGTTCTTGTCCAAAGTCGTTGGTTTTATCTGAAGATGAAAAAACTTGTAGAGCTGCACCTGCCTGCGGAATAGATCATTTCACCTGTGCTGCACCTAGTTCTACCGTAGCAAAAGATTGTATTCCTGCAATATGGAAATGTGATGGTCAAGCAGATTGTCCTGATGGAAGTGATGAATTAGGTTGTCCAACTTGTAGTCGTGATCAATTCAAATGTCAAAGCGGTCATTGCATTGGTAAAGATATTAAGATACAAATCAAATGAAAGCGAAAATATAAAACAGTTAATTTACGAAATATTGTTAAATGTTTTAGATATGTCTTGGGTATGTGATGGAATAGATCAGTGCCATGATGGTCTGGATGAAGCTCACTGTTGTCGTCCCGGTCAATTTCAGTGCATTGGAAACGGTGTTTGTATCTCTGGTTCTGCTCTTTGTAATAACTGGGAAGACTGTGCCGATGGTAGTGACGAACTTGCATCTGTGTGTGCACCTGCAAATAATCCACGACAAGAAAATAATTCATTAGAGCCTGGAAAGATTACTTACGTTATTATTGTACCTGTTGGATTAATTGCAACAATTGCTGCAATTGTTTTCGGATTTTATTACTGTAGAAGGAAATTTATAAATAACGAGGAATTACCTGATATTTTGCACGATTCAGCGGGAGATCCTTTATCACCAAAACCGACTAGATTAGTAAAACCAATGTTTACCCAAAAGAACTGTAGAAAAGATTTCAAAATGGGAATGGAGACTGTAAGATTGTCGATGTTAAATGGAAGTAGTATTGGATCCAGTTATGATCGGAGTCATATTACTGGTAAGTTTTTTTTTGTTCAGTTATATTTCATGGTTATTTTCATATCTGTAACATTATGATACAAAAATTATTACTGTAGTCAAACAATAATATAAATTGCACTTTAAGGAGCATCAAGTTCAACTCGAGGGAGTTCTGCAGGGGGTTACCCCCAAGAAACATTAAATCCCCCTCCAAGTCCAGCAACGACAGCTAATTCTACTAGGTGCTCAAGTAGTAATGCATCTAGGTATAAACCTTATAGACATTATAGAAGCATAAATCAGCCTCCACCTCCAACGCCTTGTAGTACAGATGTTTGCGACGAGTCCGACACTAATTACCCAGCAAGGTATCGGTATGAAAGCGAACCTTATCCCCCACCTCCCACTCCAAGATCTGTTTATCAAAGCGATGCAGGGATCAGTTGCCCTCCATCTCCTAGTTCCAGATCTTCTACTTATTTTAGTCCTCTTCCACCACCCCCTTCTCCTGTTCCTTGAACTCATTAAAACCTTTTAGTATTTTATTTTCCAAAGAATCAATATGTTTTTATTAATTCCTGGAAGCAATTATTTTATTAAAATATTTATATTTTATTTGTACACGAAGTAAAAGATCGCTTTTATTGAAAATCGTAATTATTCAAAATTGAACAACTGTATATAATATTGAATAGTTTATATTCATACTCGTAAACGAAATTACATAAAACCGTAACTTTAATGTTTCACGGTAGAATTTCGTTAATTAAATATTAGGTGATATATTTTTTGAGATTTAAAAAAAAAGGTAAAATTTGTATAATTTTATTAAGAAAATTTTATCTGAAGGCATTTTTTAACATAATTAATTTTGTTTTAAATATTAATTGTATTTAAATAAGATTTTTAATTCCCACTAAGAAGTTTATACCATTGTGCCTCATAATATTAAAACGTATTTGTAAGTGATTTATTCATGAAATGCTGTAAATATTGTAACAATGTATAAAAATTGTATATGATTTTTAGCCGTTAAGATATAAGTTGTTTAAGAAAAAGTTTTTTGTATCGATGCTATTTTTTAGGTTTTTGACTATATACAATTTACTCTAGTAATATAAGTATGCATAATTGTATGAGAAATTTAATTGTGTAAATTTCAAATTTACAACCAAAACATATCAAATTTGTATTTACAAACTAAAATAGTAAGCGTAATGATAGTTTACTGTTTTTTAAGATAGCTAAAAGAATTGAAAATTATTTCTAACGAGAATAAAATCAAAATAATAGTAACGAACCACCTAATGAAAATGAACAGTATTTAAAATATGCATCAGTAGAAACTAGCATTTTCATTTAGTTTCACATTGAAAATGAAAAATACTTAAACTACTGTATTTATTTGCATTTATATATACACATCAACGAAAATGGGAAAAATTGCATTACGATTTTAAAATAATTACATAAAATGCAAAGTAATACAGTTCCTGCAATTCGTAACGGACTGTGCCATAAAATATGTAGGGATATTTAGTAAATTAAATTCAAAATTCAAATATATATGTACATACGTATACAAGGTATTTCAGAGTTTTTCCAATATAGTATGGATGTTTATTTTATGCGTACAAAATAAGGATAAAATCACATACAATAGACGATTGTAACCAATTTTTTTTACTCTATATTTAACTTATAAAATATACTTTCGTATTATATCGAGAGAAGCCTGGTGCACCTTGTATATGTACAAGTTGATTTATATTGTACATTGTCATGTATAGAGGAATCTCGCTATATGGCTCTGGTCAGAGCTGTAGGAGTTGAAAGAATTGTGGAATATAAACGGAACTTCTAAATAGTGCTTGAATGTCAAAACTCAGTTGTCGAATATTTAAACAATTTTTAATTCCTAAATTACAAATTAACATTAAATTTGAAAAATTAAAAGTTTTAAAATGCTTAAATTTCTGAATTTGATAAATGTTTTACATTTAAATTTCAAAATTTTATTTCTACAATTAGAAATGGAAAATATTTGGAATTCATACATAAAAAAGGAGCTATATGGTGAGACTGCACTGCAGAACGTACGATATATAATGTATTGCGATTATGAAAATGGTTTTTTACCTCGCACTGCCATTATACGAGACTCGAGGAAATTATTCAATTATTGTCCTTGTTTGGCATTAAAGACTGAAATAATTCTTCTATATTTTTTTTACATTTACATCAAAAAAATGTACTGTCACATGTATAATTGTATAAAGGAATAAAACTTTTGTTACATATTTTATATGATACTTATTATTCTACCGTTAAACATTTTTCATATATTAAAAGAATTCCTTACTATAATTGAGAAATAAATTAATAACTGTTAGTTCTGTTTTCAAGTAATGTTTTGATTCCTTATAATCGTTGTTTATTTTTTCTTTTTTTAAGTACAAAAGCATAAATGTAATTAAACATATATTTATTAAAAGTTGTTCACTATTTACATCCGCAATATCTGTGTACATTCGAAGAACATAGAAATATTAATAAAAACATCAAATAGAATACTATGCATACTAATTCACTATACATACTATTTACATTGGTCCCTGTTTATTTCTATCTATTTTACAGATTTTACAGGTCGACGCGCGCCACAAATATAAACATCTTTTCTTTTTCTTTTGCGTACATATGGTTTATGTATGTATATATTATATAATTCCTTATACAGGTACGGCTCATTCCCAACGGTAATTATATGTTTCAATTTAATCAGTTAACAAATTATATTTTAAAAATGTTAAGAAATCAATCATTATTAATGTGACTACTAAATTTTAATCTTATCTAATATAAATTTGACTAATTATAAAAAATGCAACTTCAAATATTTTATGTTCTCAAAAATTCTTAAAATAACGTACGAGTATTTTTAAATTGACATTACAAATTTTCAATATACCCTTATTCCTTTCTTGAAATAAAGAAAAAGTACTATACTTTTATGTCTATTCTTAAGTTAATAAAAATTTTATTGATGATTTAGAGCAGTGAATTTTGTCTTGAATACTAATTCAAATATAGAAATTATACGAATTCTATGTGCATCAATACTAAATAATTTTAAATAAAGGATATTATCTATTAAGAAAAATATAATTTATTATTGAAACCATTTTTAATATCTGATAATATTTCATTGAAATTGATAGTTATAAATGTTCAGATTTAAAAATGTGTTTAAATAATAATAAAAATAATTATTACATAGACTAAATAGAAAAAAAATCATTACAGACTTTGTATTGAACATTGTGAAAAGATTGGTAAATAAATATGATTAAAAAATTTACAATTTACAAGTCTATTGATAATCTTTCCTACCATCAATAACAATCAACTGATCGTTTAATTAATACAATAACTATTAAATTGTTCCAGAAATTACTTCAATAAGAGGGTTGGAGGGATACTTAAAATTTTGACGCGCGTATTTACCTCGATTTAAATCCTCGTTTGATAATATCTCTTCCGTTCTTAACTATATAATGTTACAAAATAAGGTGCAAGTACAAACAAGGATTAAAATCTCATGTACCTAACACTATGGTTTTCAAATTTTTTTTTCCTTATAATCAATTAAATGATCAATAATTGCATTCAGTAGTAATTACTTAAAATAATTTTATACACAGAAAACTTGCAATTTTTGTTTATTTTCCCTAACTAATTTCTATATAATCTATGGATTAAAATCTTTGTATATAAAAATATAAATTCTTCAGATCTCGCTTTATTTTATGAATAACGGACACATTAGACAGTTTGGACTATTCATTGTAACAAATATAAAATCCTAAGTGTGCATTAATTATACAATCATTTAATAAACATTCGAACATACTCTCCAAAAGTTATTTACCTTCCATTTAATCTAACAAAATTTTACATCATTCTTTCAAATTGTCATGCTTCTTTTTTAACTATTTCCGTTTTTATTGCACGTGTATTCTTCACTGTTAAAATAGTTTACTAAATTGGTTAGCAAATAGTCAACGGCACCCACATCCAAGAACAGCCATGTCCTGATAATTTTTTAAAACCACTTTGTTTTCTTCATCAAGATATAACATAGATATTGAACTCAGTGCTGTAGGTACGCAACAAGCTTTTGGCACCATGCTTGGTTTAGTTGAGTAAACCAAGTTTTGAACAATTGCATGATTAGTAGAATTCAAATGATCTGCCAATGGAAATGGACAATCACCATGGCAGTAAAAAGCATCGTAACCAGGAGGAGCAACGATCCAGTCATTCCAACCAACATCCGCAAAATCGACGTAAAGTGGATGTCGCCTACAATTTTCACGACCATCTTTTCTGCGATTTTTTCGAAGAGCCGCTCTTCTAGCACGACGATCCATTATTTGACTTGCAGAAGACATCTTGTATCTAAATATTTAATATTATTAATGTAACAATAAAAGTACTATTTTCAATATAAAAATAATGAAAATAAAATTTAGATTGCTCGCATTTTAAAGGAATATAGAAATAACTATTTTTCGTACCTGCCATCATCTGTATAGGTAAATAACATTGGACGACTAACAACCCACGTATCGTTTCGTTCATCTACACTTCTTTTTAAACGTACATGTTCCTGTTTCAGTCCACGTACATGTACCAAGAGTCCATGATTATTTTTAGGATCATTCATCCATCTTTCCACAGCAGGATGAACATCTAAACTGACTGTATCATTCTTTCTAATATTTATTGGTTTACTATCAATTAAACGTAATAGTGCAGCACTCTGTCCTTTCATACCAGGGCGTAAAATGTCGTACACCAATATTCGACTTAGTTTTTGTTCAGAATCTCCATTTAAAATAGGTATACGAGAAAGACTTAATTCAGCAGCTTGTAATTTTTCTCCTGATGGTATGCTACTTAAGTCAAAAGAGAGACGAAAACGATTTGGCGACTGAAATTTATGATCCAACTCGCTTTCTATATTTAAAAGAATAAAACAAAATTAGAATGTTATATTTAATATTACATATTACTGACTATAAACTGATAAGATTAATTACCATTTGGGTCAGGACATATAGAATTTTAATAGTTTTTAAGTATATACTTACCAATGTGTTGAAAAGAACGAACAGTGTTAGCAGATCTGGCATGGATTCCTGGTTTGGCAATATCAGCCATACCAATAGTATTCTGTTTAATATAAAGTTTTTTCAATGACTCTGGAACATGAGCTGGACCTTGGGGTTTTGGTCGTTTGGCAAAACCAAGAAGCGAAAGAAGGCTAGCTTCAATACCAGCAATTGCTTGTTCACGTTCACCAATGGCAAAGTGTTGAGCAGCATCAGAATGCAAATGTAAGTGCATGTTTGCTTTGGTAGTTGCCAGCAGCAGACCTGCTGCGACGAAAACCAATCTCAGTGGCAGCAACATACGCATTGTGATGTCGTTGCTCACGGATGTTGCCTCCCTAATAATGGGAAATTAAAAGATTTTTATTTCATATCAATTATATGTTTTTCACCTTAAACATGAAAAACAAAAATATATCATAGTTACTTTTATAATTTAATTATATTTTTCTTTTAAAGCAATAATTAATGAAGAATATAATCAAAAATTTAATTCCTACATTTCTAAAATAAGACAAACTTAATAAAAAATTTTTGTTGAATTAAAGGAGCCACTTTCTGTATAATTATTTAAAAACAGAATAATTTAGATGTTCAATTTTCGCATACGTTAATTTAAAATTAAGAAACAGTATTAGAAAAAATGATATAAAAATTTGTTTAATTACAAATTGTTTAAATATAAGGTATACTTTATCCTGATATAATTTTCGATTTTATTTATTTTGTTTTATTAAGTATATGTGAAATAAATGAGAACCACTTTAATAGACCTGTTGCCTATAAAAGACGGAGGTTTAGAAACTAGTGCCAAGCTGTCTGTTGTCGAATGATCGCAGGATTAATCTAACCGCGGATTTTCAACGCATGCGTATTGCATACTAAGTTTGGTGCTTACTGATTTAAGGTCATTTCACACGAAAAAATTGGATCATGTACTCTAACAAAGAATTATTCATATTTTTGAAAGTGGAATAAATTTTATTTAAAATTATTATAATGCTTATATTAAAAATACAACACAACAATAGTTTATTCTTTATCTAATTTAATTTAAAAATTGAAAACGATAAAATTAGCACTTTTCATTTAAAATGATTTTTCAAAATCCACAGTGGAATACTTTACTGCCATTATTATAGACAAAACAATCTTTATGATTTATATCCCGAGTTAAAATTTCGTAAATTACTGAAATTATCAAATGTTAATTTGTTCTGTTATAAAAAAAAAAATATGAAAAGAAACGAAGGGCAAGAAGGCCAATAATTTTTAAGATAGCACTGGAATGCACAGGCACTAAGAATTTTCAGCTATAGCTGACCTTAAACTAACTCGATGGTATTAAGCCATGTACTTAAATATTTATATATTTAAGAACAGTACCGTTACTAATGCCGAGCAAATTTTGTGGCAATATAGCACGTGATAAAATAACGCACGGTAATACAGCGTGATGGAGTATAGCACACGGTAATTTAATGCACGATGGTATACAGTATAATGATACGGATCGTGGCGATATAGGGCGCGTTTGATTGCGGCGATATAATGAAAGTCTATTGCAGATATTTCCAATATCGATTTTTGTTCTGGTCCTCACAAATTCCAACGGCTCTGTTTTAGGAAACCCATTCTACTTCTAGGAAATAAGTCGTATACCTGCTCTCTGCAAGGAAAATTATTCAACTGTCCCTATCCTACTGAGTTCCTAATTTAGAACAAAAGGTTTGGAATGTATATAACGACAGATGTACAAATATAAATGTATTTTAAAAGTATTTTTAATTTTATTACGAGAAACTGTTTTTTTTTAAACATTTGAAGAAAATTTATTATTTGAATATTAATTTAGTAATTAAGAGTACAATTTACCATCGTTAAACGATCAAATTTTTCATGGTTAATATATTCATGCAAAATAGTAAATATTGGACAGTATGAATATTTCAAACAGATAAGAAATAAAGGAGCGATAATGTACGCTTTGATAAAAATATTGCATATCTTTCTAAATAATTGATCATTTAATTTCTAATAAACATTAATAGAAATTGATGTACAATGCATTGCAATTTATATTATGATTTCGATGTACATAATACGGATATGCGTAATACTTTAATAAATTATGAATGAATAAAAAAATAATATTCTAATAATTATTTTTTAATCGATTTAATCCATAATTTTTATAAGACAATTCGTACATATTAAAAATGATTTCAAGAAATGGATAAGAAAGAAAAGTTATAAAATTCCAGGAAATGGAAAAAATAAACCTACAACGGTAACGTGAACGCAGACAATTATATCGGATGATCTTATTCACAAGAATAAATTGAACGTAGGTAGTCCTTTACATTAAAAGTAACCGCAAAATTTCATGTACATTAAAATAAAACCAGTTAAAGTACGACCGAAAGAAATTCGACAATTGTGCAATCTTACAAAAAAAATTGATAGGTCATATAACAGATTCCAACTGCTTATTGTAAAATTAATCGTATTATATTTAAATATTTTAATGTAAAATTGAAGTTATAAGTAAAATAAATAAAAATATAATAATATTTAATTCAATTGAAAATTTATCGAATATTTATTAACGTTGAATGCAATAGATAAAACAGTAACTAATACCGTATGCCATTAAACAATTACTAATTATCGTTTATTCGTTACTTTTAATTTAGCAAATACTTAATAAGAGATACACGATTTATGTTAATTAAATTTAATATTAATGTTTTTTTATTAAAAATTTCGTTCCATATAAAGTATTAGATGTAAACAAATAATTGTCATTGCGATGAAAATCGATAGTTAATTGCAATATGTACAATTTACAAGATCATATTTATTTCTAAGTTTTCGATAATAACATCGTTTTACTTCGGAATAATAATTTTGGATATTGCTCAAAATAATTAACAACGTTTCACATATTTTAGTGTTTATGTTGTTGCTTTTATCCCTAACATTATTCCACTCACAAAATTATTATTAATTTCCATTCCCTTCGCTTATTTTCTATACATCAATGCCTAGATAGAAAACACTAACAAGTGGAAACGTTGGTATCCTGTTTAACTCGAACATCGCACAGTTGCACCGAAGGAATGCGGCACGGGTAGAGTAAAGATACAAGGTGTCGAGTATACATAAGCAGCACGTCATCGTCTAAAATAATCGGGCCAGCAACAATCAAGAAAACCTACTCTTTCGAACCAATGAAAATCGCGTGTTTTTCCATTCTAAATGATCCCACCGTAATTTAATTCCACACAAATGTAACTTACCTGAGCTAATCGTAAGTCCGTCGTTTGAGGAACCACGACATTTCAATGAGTCCATGTAACCTCACTCGGAAACTATTGTCTCAAAACCTCGCCCGCGGGAGTCTTTAGTATCGATACATCGATGTTGGAACTTCGTCGCGCTATCTGATATTTTCGCACTTGTGCACCGAAAGGGAAAGAAAAATTAGAACCAACGGCAGAATAAACAGTAGAAATTTTAGTTAGAATATTTTTTGTAAGCAACACGCAAACTTTAGTTAAACGTAGTCGTTAATTCTCTAAACACTGCAATCATTTATGCAAATAGAGAACGTTTAGGATGGTACGCACTGATGTTGAACTCGACTCGATACGCGGAAATCTTCGAGAAGTCGAGAGGAAGAGTACAACTGTAGTTATTGAGAGGGGAGAGAGAAAAAGAAAAACGAGTAGAACGAAAGATCCGTAAGAACTATCTCCCACTAGTAGGAGATACAAGTTAGCGCCACGTGTGATTAGTTTGTAAATTAAAGTAACATAATAGAGCTATACTTTTTAAATCGCTGATCATTATGGTGATTCAACGTGTAAATCTTAAAAACTTTTTATGCTTTTAAGCATCCAATTTTATTTTAAATCGTTTTTGTCGAAATATTTCTGTTCATATTTTGATATTAATCTTAAACGTATTCTTTAGTATTTATGTAGTCCTTAAATAACAAAAGTCGTGTATTTTGTATAGTCATATAACAAAAGTTTTTCGTTTTAATTATTAATGTAAAATGTACGATATTTGTATTTGTAATTTAATGATTGTTGTTGGTAAATTTTATTTATATAACATACCTAATTTTAGGCATATTGCTTTAATGAAATATTTAAATATTCAAATTGTATATTTAATAAGGAAATAATACTGTTATATATATTTAAGTACATACAAGAATTAAATATGATAATAGTCAATCAACCTTATTGTATTATATTATGTTGCCAAATAAATAGTTAGGCATATAATTTTAAAAAATAATAATTGTGTGTCAATACATTTTCCTATAATTAATGTTATAATTATTATACATGTATCATACATAATATCATACATAATGTATTATACATTAATATTAATATTAGAATCACCAGTGTAATTATATAACAAAATCATCATATCAAATTTGTCACAATATATTTTCTATATTAAACATATTTTATTTTAGGTCAGGTAAAATTTTTGTAAATTTTATTCAATATTGTTTATTATGAAAAATTTATTTTTGAAGTCGACATTTTCTAAGCAATATATTAAATTATAAGAATTCAAACAATTTTTCTCAATTAAATTTTAAATCTTTTAAACTATAACTTAAATGTTATAATACACAATAAATTTGAATTGCTACATTTAATTTAATAATAATTGTAGAACAGAAGAATAATTTTATAAAATTGGTAAAGAAGATTTTTGTTAAATTTATATTTTATATAAGTAATAAATATGTCGTAATAGAACGTTCATATCAAAACTATAAATAAATTTTGTAAATTATCCCTTATTTTTTAATATGTGTAGAATTTGATAAAATAATACAGTAATTTGAAATCTAGTAAAATTGTAACCATAATATTTTTTACAAGATAAAAAATAAAGGAGAATTCTCAATAGAGTAGATTCGCTTGAATAAATTATGTCACTATTTTTCGTTTCACAACAGATCATACTCAATTTGCGCAACTTGACTAACTTCAGTAGACTACTCACCATTTATATAGTGCTGCCCCACTACTGTACATTTTCCATTTCGTCGGTTATATATACAGTGGACAAAATAAAGGAATAACAAAAAGAAGTGATCTAGGACAAGTATATAAATGTGCTTACAAGCGTTGTGTATCATATAGCATACATGTAATATACAGTATATAAATTCAATTTGGATATAGTAGGTTCTGATTATATTACTGCCGTTTATGTTGGCGGTTAAACCAATTTTCAAATTTTCAAATTTAGGAATTTAGAAATTTGAATTTTTAAATAATTGAAAATTTAGGAATTTGACAGTGTTGAAATTTGATAATTTAAAATTTTGTATACTTACAATTAATCATACCTGATATTGTAAGTACACAAAATAAAAGACAACTGAGTATATATACTCGGCACAGCGAACGCACATACGTGATCCTTTTATTTACGAAAGATATCAGATCCAATTGGAGTCAACCTGCGCAGAACGACCGAAAACACGTCGTCTGGTGAATATGATCTTTCTTGGAATGAATAGTATAGCATAAAATCTAAAATAGAAACAATAAGTTCGTTCAAATTTCTTTTCTTAGTTTGTTTTAATCTATGCCAGTTTACTCGAATTTTTATTCTCGGCTTCTCTGTTTCTAATGTCAGTTACATCGTGATGTTGGACGTTTATTAAAGCAGTTTTTGAGTTGTTTATAACCAATCGTCAAGATTTTAATACATATGAAATAAACGTAAAAAATTTTAGTTGCATGTGCATTCTTTAAATGCGTTTTATTTATTGAGCGAAGTAGTCCTCGCTTTTTGTACTTGATCAGGTACGTTTATATTTTCTTTTATGCACATTACTTATTCTTGTAGCACAAATTATTGTCATATATTTTGTAATTAGATTGTTACTTATTATCTCATGGTAATAACGGTCACTTACTTAAATTGTATTCTAAATTTTCATATGATTAACTAACGTTTTCACTAAAAACAATGCTTTTTAAAAATTAACATGAAAACTATAACTGTTAAAAAAATATGTAAAGACCTTCATGATAAGATGAGTTTAAGATAAGAATATTGTAGCAATTTTTCTTTGAAAAAATTTAATATATATAATTTCAAATAGATAGTGTTTTATTTTGTTTAAAAGGTAATAAATAAATGAATATATAATGATATTCAACTTGTTTATATAAATCTCTGTTAAAAACAATGTAACAAGAAATTTTTTAGTTAGTAATTTCTTCACTTTATAAATATAAAACTGTAATTAATGTTTTAAGTTACTGATAACAAAACTTTCATTCCATTTGGAATAATGTGTTCAATATGTATTGCATTACTTTTATTTGCTCTTAAATTTTATTTTGTTTAGATTTAAATATTTATTTTATCGATCAATGTAATACTTATATTGGTCCTTGTTAATCAACTTGTAAACTATGAATTACAACAAAACATATTGTTTTATATAAGTAGTAAACATATTTAGCATTACATAAATAACATAATATCATATAAATTAATTATACAAATATCATCAGATAATTAAAAAATATAAATATAAAGTTAACGAATTTAATTTTCAGCAAAGACTATTATTTCTTAAGATGGCTGATTCTAGCGATTTGGATCGGCAAATAGAACAACTAAAAAAATGTGAAATTATTAAAGAAGCTGAAGTTAAAGCTCTTTGTGCAAAAGCACGGGAAATTCTCATAGAAGAAAGTAATGTGCAAAGAGTTGATTCTCCAGTCACTGTATGTTCTTATATATAAACTAAAATGAAAACAATAATTATAATTACAATTTATAAAAGCTATACTTTGGTTTTAGGTATGTGGAGATATTCATGGACAATTCTATGATTTGAAAGAATTATTTAAAGTTGGGGGGGCTGTTCCAGAAACAAATTACCTGTTCATGGGAGATTTTGTTGACAGAGGATTTTATAGCGTTGAAACATTCCTTCTTCTTTTGGCATTAAAAGTAATTATAAAAGTTTTGTATTGATATAATAACCTTTAAGATACAGCAAACTTTTATAAGAAATAGATTAAGTGATTTTTGTTCGAAATTAGAAAATATAAAATTTATATATAAGATATAAAGAATATTTCTAATTACAGGTTCGTTATCCTGATAGGATTACATTAATAAGGGGCAATCATGAGTCTCGACAAATTACACAAGTATATGGTTTTTATGATGAATGCTTACGTAAATATGGCAGCATTACTGTTTGGCGATATTGTACTGAAATATTTGATTACTTGTCTCTTTCTGCAATAATTGATGGAAAAATATTTTGTGTTCATGGTGGATTATCCCCAAGTATCCAAACGCTTGATCAAATAAGAACTATAGACAGAAAACAAGAAGTAAATGGAAATTATATATAAATTTATTCTAAAAGTATTTATAATGTAATATATAAATAATTTTTACAGGTTCCACACGATGGTCCAATGTGTGATTTACTTTGGTCAGATCCAGAAGATACTCAAGGTTGGGGAGTCTCACCACGAGGAGCTGGTTATCTTTTTGGAAGTGATGTTGTAGCACAGTTTAATACTGCAAATGATATCGATATGATATGTAGAGCACATCAATTAGTTATGGAAGGATTTAAATGGCATTTTAATGAGACTGTTTTGACAGTTTGGTCAGCACCTAATTATTGTTACAGGTATATATATCATTTTAAAAATATGAGTATAAAAATATTACATGTCTTTAGTAAAATGTTTTTTAATAGATGTGGAAATGTAGCTGCCATATTAGAATTAAATGAGCATCTTAATCGAGATTTCATAATATTTGAAGCAGCACCTCAGGAAAGTCGAGGAATACCTAGTAAAAAGCCTCAAGCTGATTACTTTTTATAAAATTTTCATTAAATATGACTGTATAAACCAAAACATCTCCAAATGTTTTTTTAAAGAAGAAGTAACCAATTACATAATATGTATTTACACAGACATAAGCATGTTGAATAAAAAAAAAGGAGCTCGATTATGAGACTATGATAAACACAGGACAAATTTGATCAATTTGTAGTTGAATATTATCAACAGACTGCTGACGGTATTGCAAATACCAATTTGATATAATAAATATTATAAATACATGTGTTTTTTAATATTATGTTTTTGTTAGTAATGAGATTAATTAGTACTTGAATATTTTGTGCGTATTAAATAATTTTATTTCTAAGGTTTATTTACCATTCATAATTGTTTTAATACACGGAAATTTATAATTATAGAACAATTTTCAATGGAACAATATATAATGCAAATACTTAATTTGACTTTGATATTTATGACCAAGCATATAAAAATTAATGTGCGTAATAGATTATTGTATCAAATGTTTTTTTAATTCCTGCTGAGTTAAAATATCCTATTAAATTTGATATATTTAATATAATAATATATTTAAATCTAACACTATTGTAAATGTTAAATTTATGTTAATTTATGTGTGAGAAAGAAGTATAATTTAAGTAGTTCTCAACTGAAGTATCAATAAAAATAGTCTTAAGATTATTGCAATATATTTATAGTGAGGCACGACTTTTACACGTTAAAAGATTAATCTTACATATTGTATGTACATTAAGATCAAATTATATTATAAGTAAGATAATTGTCAAGAATTTTTTATATATAACATCAACAAGCAATATAAAAATACTTGAATTTTACGGTATCAATCTATATTAAATATATCAAAGTGTTAAATATAATAATATATATAGTATCGTATTATTATTTTTAACTATGTTTATAGTTGTGTTTGAATTTAACATTTGATTAAAAATTCTTGTTAAAGTAAAGAATGATAGACAAATCAAAATATTTGGTAGTGTTTTTATATTGTAGTGATACATAGGAAATTATTTATAGCCTATTTTTACTAGTTTAAAGGTAAAAATATTTACTTTGAATAAAGAATTTAATTCATATTTATATAAAAGTAACAATTTTCATTTATGTATAAGTAATTTTCTAAAATATAAAATGATAATAATTTGAACAGAATTTATATTTTTAGAAATTTGTAATAAATAGTTTTATAATTTGTACTTTTATCCAATTCAATTTTAGTATTTTCAAATTGAAAAACTACGAATTGCGAAAAATGCACTATACGTTAAAGTTAGTTTTTTTTTTAAGAATGTTGGCAACCATATTGCGTTTAAATAGTAAAGTTGCTTTGATGCGATGGTGAAATGTTTATTATGTGTCAAGTGTTAAACGTTTTAATTATTTAAATAAGTATCGATGAAATTAATGAAGAGTTCACATTTATTGAATTCTGGTCAATACCGTGTTATCAATTGTGCAATGACATAAATCATTCATATGATACTAATTGCTTGTTTATATTAAGCTAACCTATAAAATTATGGATATTCCAACTCCTTCGAATGTAAATCATGGATTTTCTCAGGGTACTGATGGATTTTTAAACATACCTATTGAATCTACAAATTTGGATCCATTGTCTACAAAACGTAGAAGGTGCTTATTAATTTTGTGTCAACTTGTATAAATATACACATTTGATTATTATACATTTATGGCGTGCATCGTTGTATGTAGAAAAAAATCTAACTTTTCAATTGTATACAAAAACATGAGATATATTCATATTCACTAAAAGACCCTATGATATTTTCATAATATATATAGGAGAAGAAATTGTTGCAAAGATTTTATTAGTTTTGCTGGAAAGTTCTGTCCATTTAATAATCATTGAGGTTTTTCACTCGTAGATATCACATAAGCTAATCATAAACAATAACTAGTGCAATGTGTTTATTATGGGTTTGTGCTATATTAATTAGTAATTTTATTATCAATTAATTAATCTATTACAAATGACAATAGCGTAAATATATTGGTTAGCAAGATCCATTTGTATGTTTGTAAGTTTTAACAAAAGGAAAACTGATTATAGGATAAACTTGATATCATTTAGTGCAGAAGCTGTAAAAATTGAGAGTTGCGAGTTGCCAATGATTTGCAAGTGGGAGAAGTACAAATTCATTTCAGATAAACGAGCTTTGTTCAAGCAAATAGTTGAAAGTTAATTAATGTATCGTAAAGTATATAAATGTTCATATTGGGTATTATCTTAGTAGGTATTTGATATATTTTTAACATGTATGGACAGAACTTTTTGATGTATTTAATATATTAATGTTGCAATGTTTATTCATATTAATCTGATTGAAATTTGTATACTTTATATGAAGTTAGAATTAAAAAGAATTTGCAAAATATTTCATTTTACGTATTCCAATTTTGTTTTAAAAATTTAAAATGTTATCAAACATCATGTATTTGTGACATTGGATAGTACATTTTTGTAGTATATATACAAATACATATATAATATTAGATAAAATTATGAAAATTTTATGGTTTGATTAAAAAAAAAGTCCAATTTCTTTTCCTTAAAGAAATGAAGTAAATGTGTCAAAGAAGATGCTATAAAAGAAATATTTTATCTCAAACTTCTGAGTATATAAATATTATTATTTTATTAATCATTTTATCATTTTTTGTACAATTATAACTTAAAAATATTTTGTAAATAATTATATGCATTGCATTAAAGCTTAATGCTTATTTATAATAAAAATAACAATATTATAATCATCATTTTACACAGAATATTAACATGCAAACAATATAAAGTTGTATTCAAAACAACAAATTTGACTTTAAAATAATATTAGTACCTTCATCTGTAAATTGATTGTTTTGTATGTTCCTTTTTATACAGAATTTTTTTTGTTTCTTTTTTAATTTTAAGGATCGTTTAAAAAGTTTACTGTATATATTTTTTCTAATAATTGTATGTTATTTAAAAAAATGTATACATAAAGGTAGCTAATAATTAAAATTAACACAATGAAAAGTGGTTGAACTAATAAAATGTAATTTAATAAAAGTATTTAACTACTGTTATTAAAATTATAGCTCTTCACGTACAATAAAACGCAGAAAATTTGATGATGAACTTGTTGAAACAACATTTAACTTACAACCTCCTGCTGCGAGTACAAAATCCAACTCTAGATCTAGAACTGTTTCAATTTCTACTACTCCAATGGAATCTGCTGTTCCTCAGCAAAATGTCCCAAGCCCTATTCAAGTTTCTGCAAATATCTCTCAATCGGATAGATGTAATCGACGTACAAGTAGACCAGGGGGTTCAAATGCTCCTGGACGGAAAAATAAAAAGAGTAAAAACCATTCACATTCAGTCAATGCTACAAAGGATTTAGGAAGATGGAAACCAACAGATGATTTAGCATTAATCACTGGTGTACAGCAGACAAATGATTTAAGAATGGTATTGGTCTGAATTTTATGAAAAATATTTAATATAATGATTCAGATAACTTTTACAGTATTAACATAAAAATCATATAACGAACATTTCTTTAGTTTAAGAATTTTTTAAATTACAAATATTGTATTATTATAATACACTGAAAGTAACTGGTTTTAAATAGGTTCATAGAGGTACAAAATTCTCGTGTCGCTTTACATTACAAGAAATACAACAAAGGTGGTATGCCTTGCTATATGATAGTGCAGTTTCAAGAGTAGCAGTACAGGCTATGCGTAACTTACATCCAGAATTAATTGCTAGTGTACAAGCCAGAACTTTATATAGTAAAGCAGAAGAAGATCTCCTTGGTACAATAAAATCGGTAATTAATTATTTATTTAGACAATTTAGATTTAATGACTATTAATTTACTAACTAACAAATATCTAATAATCTTTAACTTTTGTTCATTGCATTTTGTTGATGCATTTAAATATACGGAAATTTTACATTCTTTTCCTTAGACTTCTCAACCAACTTTAGAAGTATTTCAAGAACTACTTGAGGCAAATGCCCATACATTTTATTCTGCAAGAACTGCAAAAGCTTTATTAGCACATTGGCAGTTAATGAAACAGTATCATCTACTTCCTGATCAAACTGTACAAAGTTTACCAAGAGGTGAACATGTTCTTAATTTTTCTGATGCAGAAGAGATGATTAATGATACAGAATTAATTGAACAAAAAGATGAATTGGTAGATGCAGAACTTATTGCAGCTGACAGGAGAAATAAAAGAGAAATAAAAGTATTAGAAAATGAATTAAGTAGGTGGCAAGTTCTGGTTGATAGTGTAACAGGAGTAAATCCACCAGATTTTGATAATCAAACTTTAGCAATACTTAGAGGAAGGCTTGTAAGATATTTAATGCGATCGCGAGAGGTAATTTCTACACAATTACTTAATTTTAATTTTGAGTAATAAATATTTTTACTTTTAATAACTTTTAATGATATATAAAAAAAACAAAATAAAGTTTTTTCATGAGTTCTGATTGCTTTTGTTTAGATTACTGTAGGCCGTTCAACAAAAGATCATAGTGTAGATGTAGATTTGACATTGGAAGGACCAGCATGTAAAGTTTCACGAAGACAAGGAACTATACGATTAAGAAATAATGGAGATTTCTTTTTATCTTCGGAAGGAAAGAGACCAATTTTTGTAGACAGTAGACCTATTCTTGCAGGAAATAAAATGAAGCTTAACAATAATAGTGTGATTGAGGTATTTAGTTTTTTTTTTATGAAGTGTTTGAATTTATTGTGTATAAATGAAATAAAAAATTAATGTTTTAACTTTTTTCAGATTGCAGGTTTGAGATTTATATTTTTAATAAATCAGGAACTCATTTCTGTCATACGTCAGGAAGTAGTTAAATTAAATTTGAAGCCATAAATATTTTGTTCCATTCCTTAATTAGTACTTGGTTTTTTTATATGCAAAAAATAGTTTCGTACATATTTATTACATTATACAAAACTTTGTATAAAGTACGTAATTGTTCAATTCAAGAAATAATAAATTTTGCTCAATTTTTTACTGCAGTTTTGTTGCATTATTATTGTTAATCTATAGTTGTAATAAGCTGTATTAAACCATTTAAATTTATGGCAATATTAAATTCAGAATCACTCAGTAAGTAATATGTTTTATTAATACAATTATTTCTTCTTCTATAATACAATACAAGAAACAGAGTACTCTACATAATTTGGAAGAAGAAAACATGTTATTTAAATATTTTGAAATATGTAAAAAAAGCAATTTAAATATGTTTAAGTGATGTTGGGTATGTTATAACTTGTATTTATAAAGCTACAAAATATCACTTTACTTTTCTTTAAAACGGAATGTGCTTTTTAATTTAATTGTTGATGTAGGTTTTTAAATACAAATAGCTTATTTAACATGTTAGCTGTTATAGGAGTCGGCTAAATTGAGTGTAGCAAAAATACAATTAAATAAAATAAAAAGACACAAAAATTTTGATCAATGCTTATGTTATGTGTAATTTAATCTAACAGACTAAAAGCCTAAATGGCAGACAATATGTTAATATTTTCATTTTACTTTTATGGTATGTACGCATAAAGGTATTATTTTTCTTTATTGATGTAAATTACTTTAGTTTCTTATAATTATCTTTGGGATTTATATTATATCTTCTTGACACAATAAGTGAAATAATGCAAATATTGTGTATTTTCAAACAAAATTTATAATGAATTAGGTTGTGTCTTTCATTACATAATACAAATTTTAAATAGTTCATGGTTAAATAATTGATAGTAATTAAAAAAAATTGAAATTATAGAAATGTATAAAGTATAAAGGTGTAGAAATATATGTGCTGCATAATGCTATGCTATACTTTGCCATGGTTATAACAATGAATAATAAAACACATGTTACACAACATGTAATAAAGAAGTTAGTTACAACAATAACATTTCTAGATTTATTTAAAAGAAATAAAATAATAAAAAATACATTATATATAATATGTTATAACATTTATTCTAAAATAGTTTCCTGTTAACTGTAAAGAGTAAATTGTATATAAGAATGTAGGTATATACATATAGGTGTATTTAAAATAAATGAGTAATCAGTGATCTTACTTTAATAAACTGGTAATTAATACTATTATATTTATAATAAGATAAATGCAATTATTTATTATAAGTAATAATGCCTTAATAAAAGTATTATTGTAAATAAAGATGAAAGTTTGCTAGATATTTTATTTTTATACTAATGCTTTTTTTTTTTTAATTCACTAGAAAAGCACAACGAATATCTACACATAATTAATATTTATATTTAAAATAGTTATTACTAAATGACTGTTAGTAGTAAATATGTCATTTAATCTCCTAAGCATTGTAAGACTTACTGTATAAAAATAAATATGAAAAGAAGGTGAAGATTATGTATTTAATGTTATTTTTTGTTATGGAGATATACACACATAAATACATTATTTTACATAATACGATTAACGAACTTTGAAATATATTCTACAAAAACTAGAAACAGGAATATGAATTCAATAATGTTATGTGAAATAATATAATAATGCAAGGTGCAATAAATATATACAGTTTTTAATGTAATGATTTACATGATTATGTAAAAATTTGGGATTATACATTTATGTTATGATAAAAGCAGCAGTAGTAATAATAATGTTAATTATATGAAAGAATGATGTAACGCCACTTTTATTTATACATTATCATTTGGAAATTCTAATTAGGAAAATTAGATATTCCAATTGTATATCAGTTTCTGCAATGCAATATTTAATTTTAACTTTTCTCATTTAATATATTTTGATTATATATTATTCCATTTCATAACGGTTTGTAATCAGAATATATGTTTAAATGTAACATTAAACACAAGTACAAATGGTATATGAAGATATTTATTGAATTAATTTTAATCCTACTTGCAATATTACACAAAATATTGTATAGTTTGTAAATAGGTTTTATTTAAAAATAATGAGTAATTAAATGATAAAATACATCATTATCGAAGACAATGAAATTACAAAAGTTGTAATACAATTTTCTTAGTTCAATGTTTAGATCATTTATTACTGAATGTGCAGCTGATTTTATCTTTTACCACCATCCTCTTCCTCTCCAGCCCCAACCACCTCCCCAACCACTTCTATATCCACCCCATCCTCCCCAGCCTCCTCCTCTGTATCCACCCCAGCCATAACGCCATGGTCTGGAATACCTTAAAATATCAAATAATGAATTAGTTAGTTGTGTTAGGGGCATTGACATAACTAGGATTTCTATTTGGAGTATTTTAATTGAGTGTCTAGTTACAATAAATATTCTAATCCAACAAATATATGTTTTAAATTTATGACATAATGCACCTTAATTAAAGGCTTTCATTATATGAATAATACTGACACATTTAATCTGTCCTAACTGGACTTAATTATTTTTTAATACTTTATGAGTTTTACAATTAAAATACTTAATTATTCGGTCGTACTATGTAGAAAATACCTTTTTCCATAAACAGAAGTACGAATCTTTTAAAATGTGATATTTCTATAATATAAAATGTGATTCTACAATTCTATAATAATATAAATTTATTTTTAGTATTCTTAGTACAGCTATATAATAGTTTATTTTGATTACTTCAACTTACCCCCAGTAGGATGCATCAGCTTCTAAGTCATTAGCACCATTCAAAGCTGGATCAATCTCAGCATTAACAGGTTCTGAAGGACCTTCTGAGGCAGCCACCAAGACTACCACCAGTAGAAGAAGGAGCTATACATAAGAAAAAGTCGTTTTCTATTTATATAGGAAAAAAATATGTTGTAAAAGTGTTTAACAGAAGATGTCAAACTTTATGTTCTTCTTTTCTTAAAATTAAAATCAGATGTGGCCATTGGTATAAGGGTAACCCTATCTGTCACAAAATAGTGCCAAATGTAATGATGGTCAAATTAAACATTTATTGATGAATTTGTGAGTACTAGGTCACATTTCCAATTAATTAGACGAATACAGTATATACAAATTTCTATAGCACATTTTCGTTACATCGTCAATTTTTCATATTTAGAAATTTTTTAATTTTTAATTCTCTAAATTTTTGAATAACCAAATTTCGAAATCTTTGAATTACCAAATTTGAAAATCCTCAATTTCTAAAATTTCGAAATTTTTCAATCTTTTAATTACCGTATTTTTAAATTTTCAAGTCTCTAAATTTTTAAATCTTCGAATTGCCAAATTTAAAAATCCCCAAATTCTAAAATTTTTAAACTTTCAAATCTGCAAATGTTTAAATCTTCAAATTGATAAATTTTCAAATTCCCAAATTCAAAAATTCAAAAATTTTAAATATTAAATCTCCAAATTCTCACATTCGATTTTCAAACTCCTAATTTTGAAATTTTTCAAATTATAAAATTACAAATGCCCCAAATTTACAAAACTTGAAAAATTTCAAATTTGAGCAAATTTAATTTATTTATAAGAAAGTGTCTTTCTGCACAATGTTTCGACAACTAAAACAATTTTCAAAATAATTCCAGTTTCGTTTAAGAAAAGAGTTTTATCTTAAACGTTTATAATAACGATAATATTAATTTGGTGCAATCTTTCTTTACCGATTATCGTTTCAAATATAATAAGGATAAAATATTTTTATAAAAATGTAACTTACTTCAGAAATTATCTAATAATAATCAAGTTTAATATTAAATAAGTTTTTCACATCCCAATTCTATTTAAAATAATTTTATAACGAATTTGCTTAAACAATTCGATTTAGGATAAAAGTTCACATTGCTGAAGTTACCAATGTCTCAATTTATTTGTATGCAGCAACGTAGAATTGAAAGATCTCCCTTACGTTTCGTTAACAATCAAATGATTGATTATTTTAAAAAATCACCCATGTTATTCGTGCAAAAGACATATTGGAGGATTTGAATAGCAATTTCGATCACTGCATATCACAAATTTACTCACCAAGTGCATTGTTCGCAGCATATTGGCAACTGAGATGCGTCGATCAGGACCGGCTTTATATATGTATCTTCAAGCATAAAGCAGTCCGGGAAGATCCGGTGGAATAAATACGAAAAAAAATAATGAAAAAATTTGAAATACTTTATCACATAATTTTCACATAAACCATTCGCAATATTTGCAAATTTATTTTCATTTGGAACATATTCTGTAGGCGTTTTGATACACGTAAAACTATTCGTGATTCAATAACTGATTTATTACGATTACATTATACGCAATAACAAACTATTTTACAATTAAATTTCGAGCATTGAATTTAAATTATTTATTGCAAATATTAAAAATGTTTCTCATTTTGTATTTAAGTGAGTTTTAAAATTTAATGGTAATTTGAAATAGATTGTGAAATATGAATTTATATAAGTACAAATAATCTTATTTCGCAGTGAAATTATTAAGTTAAATGTATTTAATAATATCCGCATTATTGAATTCATATTTGTTTGAATTTTTGGGGTTTTCAATTTTCATGAGTTTACAAAAATGTAAAGATCTACCAATCTACCAATCTACAAATCTAGCAATCCACCAATCTACAAATCTACAAATCCAGCTATTTACCAAACTACAAATCTAGCAATCCACCAATCTACCAATCTACAAATCTACAAATCTACAAATCTAGCAATCCATCAATCTACGAATCTACGAATCTACGAATCTACGAATCTACGAATCTACGAATCTACGAATCTACGAATCTACGAATCTACGAATCTACGAATCTTCGAATCTTCGAATCTACGAATCTAGTAATCCACCAATCTACAAATGTTCAAAAATTTTTACTAATCAACTTTTTAAATTTTTCAATTTCCTAACTTTTAATTTTATAATTTTTCAATTTCACAAATTTGCAAATCCAAAAGTTTTGAAACTTACATCTTAAAAAATCTCAAAATATTTAAATTTCGAAATTTTCGAGTTTACAAGCTTATAAATTTAGACATTTACAATTTACAGATCTCCAACTTTCAAAATTCATGAATTTGCATATTGCCAAAACTCATTCACCGATTTTCGTTACATCGCGACTATTCACCTTGGTGTTATGCGAGTTTACCTTCACACAGGCTGTCAGCCACTATTTCTCTTTATATATTGCCAATTTCAAGAATTCACTACCGCTGCAATTCTGCTCGTAGCATTGTAAGTACACTCTGTTCACCGCACTTGAAAGTCATTTAAATTCTGCGGCAGGGAAATCGAAGAATTATTAAATATACGACGAAAGAATTTTAAAACAAAATTGAAAGCTCCGGATATAGTTGTCTCTAATATAATCCTTTTAATCATTGAAATATCCGCATCTCAGAATAAACGAATTTTCGAGTTCATTTTTGAATGTGAAGTAAATAGCGTAAGTATGTACACATAATCTTATTAGAATTTGATTAATTAATCTTTTAATTGATTGTAATGAATTAACTCATCATTTGACTGAACTAGTTCTTAATGTATTTTGCAAAAAATTACCTTCAAAGTATATGTATATTTTTATTAAAAATAAAATATATTTGGACTGATACCATTTACTGATGTGGATTTATTTTTTATTAGAGGAACAGAAAAGTGACTTTCTCTTGATAAAAATATTGTGTACTCAAATTTGACTTTGTCAAAATAAAAAGTACAGGTAGTTATTCTACTTAAAATGAAATTACAATAAGTACATATTATTTAAAAAAACTCCTTTAATGTATATAAATTTTACTTATATATTAAGAACTTATACAATAGCATGCATATTACATTTTAAGCTATAGGTATTTCAAGCGTTAGATAACAAAAACGTTCAATTGAGACAATGTTGACAAAGGATGCACTCAAGCGCACGAATGAGTCAAAATAGTTTTTTTTTTTCAAATTCGTCACAAAGAAAGTTAGGGTCAATATATTAAGCGCATACGCATCACTTTTCAAGGTAGGCAGGTTACATTCCAGTACTCTTCAGGCACAGTTCGTTTTTCCTTTTTTGAAGAAAGGGATAAATATATCTGTGTTCTTTTTTTGTCTAGATGAGCACATTCAGAAAAAAGGATGATCAATCCGATTTTGCATAAAATATATCCTGTATTCCAAATGCTAGTCATGACGAATGTTGAATTATATAAAACTGAACGAGTAAACAAAACATTTAAAACGACAAGTTCTAAATAATAAATATTTATGATAGTATAATTTTGGTGCCGGAATTGATTTTTTTTAATCAATTTGCAGAAAATAACTTCTTATCTAAAAAAAAGAATGTTTTATTAGAGCCGAGAAGGTGTTGGGTCCGACTCACCCTAGACTGTGTAGAGATTTCAGAAAAAAGAAAATATTTAAATATGTTACATAGAGTTACGTTACGTCACAATTTTTTATTATTTTTGTCTTTTATTTTATTTTCTTTATTATTATTTTTACGTAGAAACATTTTCCTATCTTTAAGAAAACTTCTTTTAAAATATGTTTCTCTTATATGAGGTTCTTTTACGGAGAAATCGGATTCTAGTTATTTTTACTCAAAAATCATTAATCAGTCGTTGAAGACTTAAGCTTAAAATATTTTCGTAGCATTTTAGAAAAAAAATGAACAAGTTACAAGAGAAATAATTTAATGTGTTTAATTTTTTAATGCGCGTGTATTACGTATGTGAAGGTTCAATGTATTTTTTTAAATGGAATTACATATTTTTAATTAAATTAGTCAATTTAGTTTGTCATTCTTTATTCAACTATTATGTTTACAAACTGTTACTTTAGGAGATACTTTAATTTGAATATTGTGGGATAATAATGATTGATTTTTCTAGGAAAAATGATGACATGGGAAAGTAAAACCGCCATTTGCTTATAAATAATTACTAAACAACAATTTTATTGAATATTTGTTTTATTATTTATATATTTTAACTGTAAACAGTAAATATGAAATTTAATAACCAAAAAGTAATTTTAACTATATTTCAATATCGTTAAAATCTTCTTGTATTAGTAGAATCTATATTTGAATTATTCTACTTTTATATTTGAATTATTCAAATGAAGGTAGAATTCGAATTTAAAATATGAAGACTTACTTGAATAAATTGGCAAGTATCAAATAAAGTATTCTCTTTTCGTTCAATTCAATTTTATAATGCATACTCAATTTAAATCGAATGAATCACATTGCTCATATTACTTAAATTTGTTCGAAATGGAAATAAATCACCTTGCAGATTTAAGATGCACGCAAAAGAAGTCTCAAGTGAAAATCAACGAAAACAGATTCAAGGTTGGATTTTTTTCCTTATCGAAGTTTATTGTGACGTACACCTACGTGTAGTATACATATATAAAATGTATCGTTTATTACGTATTTCCATCTCATTATTTTATTTCAGTTTACGCACTATCCGCAACTACGTATTCACTTCATAAAATTTTATTCTAATTATACTAGCATATTTGAGGAGCACGAGGTATAATATAAACAAACTAATTATTATTATCAACAAACTAAAGTTTTCTTTACCAGAATAGAATTTCAATTAATTACAAGTTAAAGCTGACTGCAGAAATTGTTATTAACACACGTTTCCCATTATTATCTTTCAACATTAAATATCTAACTTTAATAATAGAATAGTTGATTCAACATCCAATTTGGAAGTTACAGATTAAGAAGTTTAGAAATTTGAAAAGTAGAAAATTTGTAAATATAGAAACATAAAAACTTGGAAATTAAAAAAGATACTAATATGGGAATTAAAGAATGTAGAAATTTGGTATAATACTTTAAAAATGGATAAATTGAAAAATATCAAAATTTCAAGATACTAAATTATCAAACAGCGAAATTTTCTATCAATGTTATAATAATGTTAAATCGTATAAAACCTAAGTGTGTAAGATTTTTCCTTTTCAATGAATACAGAAATCCATTTTTTATATTTAATATAGTAAGAATATAACTATTTAAGTATTTATAATTATCATTACAAGATATGCATATAATTAAAAATTGCACATTAGTTAAGGGCCAGCAACCCACTCCGGCCAATTTTGAATCTGTTCATAAAGTTCGCGGCCTGGACTTTCCATACTTACAACTTGTCTGCCTCCGAGTACGCGAACATCATCTCGAAGCACTCCTTGTGATTTTCCGCAAGCGATTAATTGATGTGCCGCGTTCAACATTTTCTGACTTGCCTGTTTATCTAAAAGAAAAATTTTTATAGTAATTAAAGACTGGTTACAAAAAATAAATTCATTAAAATTGAAAGTAGTTTTCGATATAACACCAAATACCTTGATAATTTCCTATGAAAGCGATTCCGACGGATTTTTTATTATATCCGTACGTATGAGCTCCTTCGCGATTCCAGCCCGTACCTTCATAAATATTTCCGTCACCACCGATTACAAATCTATTAATCGTACAAGAATATCAGATTAATCATTTGCGTTAGTATTTATAATTCAGTAATTATGTTTTAGTAATCGTAATTAGTTAATGTTTGCAAGTTTGAAGGAAAAGTCGATATTATTGTGAAAATAAAAGTTTTTACATACAAGGTCAGATATTCGAATTATTTTCAGTGCTATGAAATGATGATCATAAATTTACTTTCAATATTTGATCATAAACGTAGAAGTTTCCACCAATTATTTCCTTGTATTCCTAATAGCAGTGAAAATAATTTGAATGCGCAATTCAAGTGTGACAAAAAAATTTATATAACTTTATATAACTAAGTAAGACTAATTTATGTAATTAATTCAACACAAACTCGAATCTGACATATAAAATTTTTCACACAACCAGAATAAAAATTTCAGTGCTAGTTTTATACATTATTTCAGTTATAATTTTAAAATAAAACAACAAATTCATTTTAATAGATTTTGATTATATACTGTTAAGTTCATATGTACTTTTACGCAGACTTTCTTTATATTGCATTAAAGTATTGAATGGAGATATAATGGCGATATAGCGCGTGATGATGCAACATGTGATTGCTCAACGCATGATGATTTAACGAGTTGCGATGCATTGCAATATAATACGTGATTATATAATGCCTGACGATGTCATGCTTTAATCTTGTTAGTGATACTATAACGAGAGTCTGCTGTATTTAATTTTCATAAAATTCGAAACATTTAAACACGGGGCCCAGCATCTTCTGATTACGACACTGTAAACATCCCTATATGTATACAATAGACATTTTGATGTTTTAAGTTTATCCTCAGATCTAGATAACGTCGTTAAAATTTGTACGAATACCTGTAGAATATTTTGTGTAATTGTTTTTTCCCAAAATATGTAATATACTATATTTATAAAAAAAATACTTAAGAGTATCCGATGTCATGCCATCCAAGGACATCCATGTGATAAGAACGAATACTTTCGACTCTAGAAGTGCACTCAGCTTTTGTACTACATTCCGGGGTAACTGTATGGTGAATTATGACATAAGGAAGGGGAATAACTAAATAATTCACACTCTTTGAGTCTGTAGTACTCCATTGATTCCGCTTAATAATTTTAGGACAATTGCAATCTCCATCTGAAGCATAAAAAAGTACTAAGTTAATTTTAAAATAAATCGATTGTATAAAATACTATCTCCGGTATTTTTAATTAAATAAATCAACTTTATATTTTTGATTGCACGATTGAAACAATATTTGCAAAATTCCGTTTAAAACAATTTGCAAAATGTTATATTATCGTTAAGAGGAGTTTGTTTTAATAGTACGAATTTCGAAATCGCCATTTTAAATTTTGGAAGTTGGACTTCAAATTTGTTGCAGCGACAAGCAAAACAGGCTACGAAAATTCAAGTTATTGAATCGAAATAAAAAGAAGGTATACGCTAACGCGGCGATGAACTTTGATTTCTTTAACCTCTCATATCTCTAGAATAACTTGTCGATTCATGTTTCGTCACAAATAACAATTGACATAAAATTCAATTCCAAAATTACAAGATCAAAAATTGACGACAAGTATAACATAAATTTCATAATGACTTAAAAATATAAAAATTGCAATTTTAAGAAATCTGTTAAAAAAAAAAAGAAAAAAAAACGGAAAAATTGAGACTATTATTTGAAAATAAATTTTTTAACAGTTACTTCAATAATGTTGTTTAAGAAAATGATGAAAGAATTAAAATTACTGTTAACTGTTAATTTGATTCAAATAAAAGTTATTTTTAAAAATTACACAGATAAGTACTTACGAGTGATACAAACGTACACTAGAAGAATTATTGTAAATATGTTTTTAAACATCCTTTTAAAAATTAAAATAAAGATTATATTATACGCACTTATAAAAGTTATAGGAAGTATTTATTAGATAAAGAAATGTATTCAATAACTACAACTGCACGATTGTAATCAAAAGTTAATTGTGGGACGTTTGACGTTCATGCAACTTAGACTGTCCTCGGTTTTGCGTTCAGTGCCTTATTTACTTTTTCTTTTAAAAATTAAAAGCTAAGCAAAACATTATAGATAGAAAATTACATCTGCTGTCGAATTGTGTACATTAGCTATCTTACAAAATTTGATATTAAAATATAAAGAAAAATAATTTAAAAAGTAAATGTCAATTTCAAAATTCATTTGTGTTTCGATATATCGATCTTTTTTTATTCGAAATTCGAATTTTTCGACTGTTCTCTATTTCAATTTATACAAAGAATCATAATTATAAGTAAAATTTGAATGACATATATGAATCGTAACACAATATTCTTTGGAAATTATGAAACTGATAATAAAATAATAATATTGATTGTATTTTTTGAAATTATAATTTTACTTTTGGAAAAATTATTTCATGCATAAACACTTTTAAATATTTCACTTTAATGAGAAGTAAAGAGATTATATTTATGTATGATTTATATAAGTGAATTTGTGCATGATTTGCAATAATGAATGTGAAATATATTATTAGTTAAAACAATAAAGGTTAAGTTCGACATAACCTAACACCATGTAAGTACTCTTCCTGTAACGAGAGAACGTGATTCTCCTGCGCATCTCAGTTGAGTTCAGTGGTCTTTTTATTATCAATGTGGGGCCAATCTATCGTCTGATTTTCATTTCATGGTTATATATACAGTGAACGAAAATACATAAAGAACAGAAGAAAGTTACATTTTATATAATTTGTATTATGGCTAAAATTGATAGTCTATTATATTATAAAGTACAACAACCAAACTGTAAGCTCTACTTATGTATTAGCTAAGGATATCTATAGTATACCCTGTAATGAAGTAGCAAAGGTCCAAACACTTACAGGACCTCGGTTTCCTTATATGTCATTTAAATTAAAGTACAAACCGCAAAGAATTTTATTTTCCCAACTGCCATTTAGGAACTTCGGAATTTTTAAATTTTGACATTTGTTAATTTTTAAATTTTGTAAATTTAAGACTAAAAAATCTCAGTATTTTTTTTTTAGTTCTCTTTTCCTAATTTTTTTAAGCACGTGTTTATGTTACGTAATAATTAAGCTTCAAATAACGGTAAAAAATTAAAAAGTCTGTATGATACAAAATTTTTAAAATAGATCACTGAGTATATTTGCAAACATCACGAAAATAGCTAATGCGCATGCGCGTTGCTCTTAGTTACGAACAATGTTAGATCCAATCAAAGCGGACCTGCTCAGAACGAACGAAAACTGGTCTTCCGGTAAGTGTATTCTCTTGTGACGGACAGTATAGAAAAAGAAAAAGTAGTCTGGGAAGTTTTTTTAAGAACGATTGGTATTGCATTTTCCTAAACAATCGTACCGATAGTGCATCCATCTAGGAGCGTTGACTACCGACGTTCGCCGCAGCGGCGATAGAGTCAACATCCGGCGACGCAGAGATGCGCACGTTTCGGCGCTCGCCGAGGGAAAAGGGACGCCGCGATCGTGACTTCGGGACATGAGAGCGACGATGAAGCCCGCTAGCCTGCACATCAGCACCTGAGGAGCACACTCGCTTCCAGCAGTACGTGCAACAACGGATTCGCCCGCGTTATTCGGGATTTACATAAGCTCGGTTTTTGGTCCTAAATTTGATCTTCGAACGATCAAGAGACTACCCTTCTACCAACGAGGTAACACACCTCTTCCTCTGAATCATGAATGGTTCTGTGATCCTCTTTTTAAAACAAAATTCTCAGATAATTACGGTTCGATCATTCGTTGGTCAATTACCAAATCCTTCTATTCGATAACAGTAATTCGTTTCATGAATCTTATAGATGGGTTGATTAGTAACGAGTATGGATTAATATATTTCAACTTATTCTTTCGTATAGGTCGATATATTTTTATAGATTCAACTTTTTGACAACTATTTCTTAGATTTTTATTTGAAGTACGTACTTTAATGTTCTATTAGTACTTCCGGGATTATAGGGTTTAATTAATTTGTTCTATTTAAAGTTTTATTGACTACAGTTTGAATCAACAAAATGTTTAGTAAGTTGATATAGTGTTTACTACATTTGCTTGGTTATTCTTGTTATTTTTTGTTTAGACAGTGTTCAGATCTGTATTTATATAATCTTTCAGTTTAATTTTAAATAAAGTGATGTTATATTTGTAAATTAACATTGATAATTTAATTTCCATTATTCTTTTCAATAAAGATAATAAAGTATGTAACCTTATTTTGGTAATGATACTGAAGTTTTCAAATGCAGTGGTTTGAAGATTTATATTCTTTTTGTAATTTTAAAAATGCATTTAATTATTTCTAAAATTAACATTATTAAAAACAGTTTATTAATTTGCATTAGCAAAGAAGATATTAGATTTGTGTTGCTGCATCAGAGACTATCATTTAATGTTTATTAAAACTGTATTTTTAATCAAATTTTAGGTTATAGAATTACTCGTTCCTTGATTCTTAGTGTGGGTACACTATCGCTACTAGTAAGAGTGTTTTTTTACTCGTGTACCTTGTTCCAAGAGGTTCTCAGGGTCCATAACTAAGGACACGAGGTTTGTTTTAATGTTTAGATTATAATTTACAATTTTATATAATTATTTATATATCATTTGTAGTAGATCATAATGTTTTCACTTAATAATAAAATTAATTTATTTCAGAGCCATGTCATCAGGCGCAGGTTCCAGTGGAACTGGCCGGGGGCGTGGTTCATCACTGGCAGACAATAAGCCAGAGAGCAAAGAAGCAAAGCCAAATCCAAAGATGTCAAAAGCTTTAGGAACATCTGCCAAAAGGTAGCACATCCATCCTCCAAAATTAAATTCAGCCATGGAGACACGTGATCAGTCTAAAACTAATCTTCTTGTCGCAGGATACAAAAAGAATTGGCGGAAATCACATTAGACCCACCGCCAAACTGCAGGTTTGGTTTTTTCTCCTTATTTTAATGTTAAGATTAATAACACTTATTTTTGTATAAGCTCTGTAAGTTGTCATTGTTTTTCATTGTAATAACTTGGAAATAATTTATATCATTTTATTATAGTGCTGGACCTAAAGGTGATAATTTATACGAATGGGTATCAACAATACTTGGGCCTCCTGGTTCAGTTTATGAGGGAGGAGTATTCTTCTTGGATATACACTTTTCTCCAGAATATCCTTTTAAACCTCCAAAGGTATGTTAATTATGCATTGGTCATTCCAATTATTTAGTCATACTTTACAGTTTGAAGTGAAAAAAAGATATAGTATAAAATTTCCAATCATTGTGGCCACAGTATACTTTGTGTATGCAATAATTTTTTTACTATTTGTATTGCATGGAATATTAATATTATCTTCTAATTTTGGTTGATTAAACAGTAATATAAAACATAAGATGACAAAAATATACTATTTGTATAATTTTGCTCCTTTAAAAAGAATTTATTTTTAGGATATTTAAAAAATACAATAATTGTATAGCCGATGCAATACAAATAATTATGCAGAAACAGAAAAACAATAATTACACAGTTAATGATTTATAGCCAACCATTATATTTTTGTATTATTATTTTGATCTACTTATGTGGATACACCATACAAACAAAAAAAGGATCTTTATGGACTTGTTTAGAAAACTACAAAGTGTAAAATGATTTATAAAAAATTGATTGTTAATATAATCTTTTTAATACTTTTAGGTCACATTCCGAACGCGTATCTATCATTGCAATATAAATAGTCAAGGTGTAATCTGTCTAGATATATTAAAGGACAATTGGTCTCCTGCGCTTACCATTTCCAAGGTTTTATTGTCCATCTGTTCTCTCCTAACAGACTGTAATCCAGGTAAAGTTTAGATCATAGTTATATTAATTTAGGAACCTTGAACGTTATAACATTCAGTTTCTTTCTCAAATATAATTATTAATTAAATTATATCATATCAAATAACTGATTTTGAAAAAAAATTTTGAAAAGTATTATCAAGTTGAACTTATGATATAGCAATATCAAGCTTAATGAAGCAAATGAATACATAAACATATCATTAATATTTTTAATACAAACTAACTTCGTCAGAGGAAAGAATGAGTCAATCAATTTTCAATTTAGTATTGGTTGCTAGTGAATACTGAATTTTCAGTCATTTATATCTTAAAGTAATAATAGTAATAACAAAATCAAAACATTGTTATATACATTGAAGATTATCTATTTGAATATTAAAATTGATAAAAATTAATTGAATCGTATTTCTGCTTATTTTATAACATGCAAATCGGTATTTGTTAATAATATAATAAAAAGTATGCTCTTGTATCAATCCATAATTTAGTATTTAATACGAGTAACTTAGATTGCGCACTGTATTCTGAAAATAGGTTTATAATGCTGTATAAATAAGCGCTAATTGAAATTATTAATCATATTAGCGTTCTTTATGTTTTTATTAAGAAGAAAGATCAGATTATATAAATACATTTTATTTTTCATTATCTTGTCTCTAAAAATTCGAAAAGTAGCTAGAATCAATTGTTTTATAAATTGAACTTAAAATATTTGTGGACACTTATTATTGATCATAAAATTACATAAATTAAAAAAATAGTAACTAGACTTATAAATCTAATGTTTCACATAAAGCTGTACAGTACAAATTTTTAATTATACAACCATATAATTTTAATTATACAAACATATAGGATATAAGATATAATAAATTAATTATTATATTTCAGCGGATCCTTTAGTAGGAAGTATAGCAACTCAGTATCTACAGAACAGAGAGGAACATGATCGCATAGCACGGCTTTGGACTAAGCGCTATGCCACATGAACGATTTGTCAGAATTTTTCCCGTTCTCTAAAATCGAAGAACGGCCACTTAAGGGAGCCCGTTTATCTATATTAAAGTTTTGATTATTCAAATCGATCGAATTTTTTCGATCGATTCTTTCAAATCGAATCGTATTTTTTTTATTATTCGAACGTTAATTCCGGTAGGTTGAAATGTCTATGAGTTATGTTTTACTTAAAATTATTTATTATATTTTATTATCACCTATGGATTTAATTCCCGTCTGTTTAATTTATGTTGCTTAATAAACACGATCAATGATTTGATCCATTTGAATAATCATACTTTTGGCTCTTCGCACCTTCGACAATTTATCGTCTGTATATGTATGTCGATCGAAGGATTGCTTTAAATGAAAGACTCTTCGAGATCGTCGATTCGATCATTGTGATGTGCTTTTATATCGAGTATGTAAATGTGCCTAAGATGAATGAATGTGCGTGTACGTGCAACTAATACTCCCTTTTTCACCTTATGACTCTTGAGGTAAAAGTCATATCTTCCAGATTGTATTTTTCTGCATGGTAAACAAATAATACGTTATAGTACATTTTAGCACAAATTTCTAATGATAAATCATTTTTGCTAAGTGCAGATACACTCTTCTGAATAACTAAATGAACTAATAAAATGAAAGAATTTTATTTTTTCGTTTCCTTAGAAGTGTACATCCTTCGGTATATGCATTTAGTTTGACTTCGGATTAACTCGTCAAAAATCGGATATACTTGACCATCCATTGAGATCGGGACCATTCCGTAATGTAACGTGGGTGTAAATGGTGGTTTTACGCTGTATTTAAAAGCATGCGATTTAGACGGTAGATAATATTGCCAGGATTTACGGTTCGTCTCACAGAGGGTATATATACGGTCACAACTGGTTAATGGTTAACTGTTGAGCTTGGAAACCGTGTACATTCGATTTTTGTTGAACCAATCCGAAGTTTGAGATTCAAAGCCATCTGTACGCTTCTGCTTTTTAGCTATAAAATGTATTGTTGAAAATAGTAAAATTAATATTAATTAATTGCATAGCTGTAACAGAAAAATATTTTATTTTTATAGTTATGTTTGAAATCATAACCGCGATATTGTTTGACAGAAATTATTCGTCTGTTTCATAATTTAAAAAAACATCACGTAATTATGAATCTCATTTAACCAGGTAAAAAACTAGGCTCACCTGAAATAATTAAAGAAATGTGAATATTGAAACTATTCCTCTTAATATTTTGTACATTACCATATAGTCTTATTTAGAGGTGGGCAAATGCGCCTATAGACGGTCCATTTGTATGAATAAGTGCTGTAGATTTTCGTTATATTGCTCTAGACGAGGTTGTAGGAAACGATTCTTGAAATTGGTAATATGAAAAGAGCTCCCATTATTTAAAAGTTTACAAATTTGAGAACTTATGGATTTATAAATTCCTGAATTTCTTAATATGAAAATTTAGAAACTAAATTTGTAGATTTCAGAATGTTTAATTTTGAAAATTTTCAAATTTGAAAGTTTGTAAATTTATATTTATCTTGTCCTCAAGAACACGCTTAGTGGGCATATAATCTGTCCATCACTGGCATGTTCAACTGAAAAGAAAGTAATAATTTTTATAATAAGATAAAATGTATGATAAAACTTGTCAGAATATTGAAAGAAAAATTACTGCCTGAGGTTTCCTAAATAAAAATTGTTACAAAATGTCTTCCAAAACTAAAAAAATGTTCTCTTGAAATAACAAATTCATTCCCAAAATTTGTTTGAAAATATGCCTCAAGAGTGAAAGAGTGAAAGTGAGAGTTCTCCGTTCTTTTCTTTTGTCCTCTGCTTGTTTTGTTCATCTGCTCGTTTTAAGAATTTGCGATGAGATAGTATTTAAAATGGTACATCCATTGGTAGTACCAAATAATATTGATAGGTTAGGCAATATTATGAACAATACGAATAACCCGACTTGTAATTAAGCTGGTAGTTATCAAAAGGGGCCCTACAAATTTTTCAATGCACTATTTTACATAATTTTAGCATAAAATACGAATCCTAAAATCGTATTGTTTAAAAATGCTTGATCGATCGCATTATTTTGTTCTATCAAAATAAAACAGAAACTTACTCTTCTTAAATAACAAACATTATCGTACTTATATTTATTCGATAATGATAATCATCACGAGATATTACATTTTTACGGATCTAACGAAACTGATCTAGCATTAAATATTACATGAGTGGCGATTGCAATTACTTGAATATAACGCTTAACTAGGTTCATTAAATTGAACTTTTAATAATTTAAAATCTTTTTTTGATAAATGATGTAATCGGCCCCATAAAATTTAAATCGTTGTAACTGTAAATAGACATAATTTTCTGTATATTAATGATAAATTGCAGATTAGAGTTTTCGCCAAATTTCTGTCTATTATATTAATGAAATTACTATTAAACAGTGGTATTAACTAAAGACTATATAAAATTGTGTTCTTTTTCAATATGAATTGAGTAAACAAATTAGTTATTCAAATTGTAAAATAAACGTTTTATGTCGACTAATTATTCAAATAATTTTAATAGATTACAAGATACATAATAATAATTGTTCCTTTTACAGAACAAATTTGTAGAAAAAAAAATGTTTATCGATGAATGTCACAGTGTTATATATCGCAAATAGATACGAATGATAGAATTTTAAAAAAATTAAAGATGTCTAAAAAGTAGAAAATTCACTAATTCAGTTAATTAATTACTGTACAGGTCATATGGCGCAAAAAAATTTCACTTTTATTTGATTGGAATTACTGTTGAGGTTCTTGTAAATATATTCTGTGAGGTTCTTGAAAATATGATCTACAAATCTTTTGGACCCCTAAAACTGTATATAGCTTACACGTAGAACTTGCTCTTTTGTAATTAAATGTTAAAAAATTAAAACCATTTTTATCAAAGAGTATTCCACCGAAAATATTGGGTAAATGATAGGAACACGATTCTTTGAGTAATTCAGAGAAACAAAAAGTTAATATTTTAATAATTTTTTAAGTATTCTAAATTTAACTACTTATAAAATCTTTATAAACTAGAGATTCTATAAAAATTTAAAGACTGTATTCATGAATGTTTGAATGTTTGGAGATTTTAACAATATTTAAAGGAGAATTTTAAACGAATTCCAATCCTACTTTTTCTTTTCATTTTTTTTCTCGACAAATAGTTATAAGACGCTACAAAAGAGCATCATATATAAGTAATGAATGTTAGTCTGCTAATCTTATAAGTGAATACAAAATAAAATAAAAGAAAAGTACTGCTATATATAATTGTTATTAATTACTTCTTTTAACGATATCGAGTTGAATACTTTTATTCTAACTTTCTTTAAGTTTGCAAGTTATTACAGATTCCCAGAGTGAGCTCTGACCCATTGGAAGATCACAAACAGATTTTATATGGAGTATATTGAACATTAAAATGCGAAAAAATTTAAAACAGTAAAATTAAATTTTCTCTTAAACAGCTGCTTTCGTTTAAACAAGTAAATCTTAAGATTGCTGTTTTTTGAAAGTGGAATAAGATTTTAGAATTTTTTATATTTAGGATTTTGAGAATTTGGAATTTTGAAAAATAATTCATTACAAGCCACTGAGTTGCACAAATATGGCCATGTTTAAAAGTGAGGTTTTGCCAAAGTTTGGTAAGCTCTTCTTGTTGAATTAAAACTTATGTGATTTTCGAGAAAGAAAAACAGTATGGAGGTTTGAAAATAATTTCAAGGTTTCATAATGAAATATACTTTATGTTTACTTAACATACTTTATTAATATAGATAAAAACTGTACGAACAAGATGTGCTAAAGTGATTGGCTCCTAAAGAATGTTAGTAATATATTAATTAATCAATTCATTAAATTACTAGTAGAAAAATATTGCAAGCGACTAAATGTCACAAAAAATCAATCGTTTACTTCTCACTTAATACTGATACTTTTCTTTTTGATTTTACTACGTTAACATCAGTCTTTTTTCCTTTGTTAGCCAATCATTAAAATGTAAAACATTTAAATACAAATCATGGTCATTATGATTTACAATTTTTGTTGAAACAATTACATTAGTATATTATCATTAAATGAGAATGTTTTCTTTTCATCGAATGTTAAAACTTTATGATTTAACACGTAATATGTCCCCTATGCGTAACTTCTAATATAATTTAAAATTACATACCTAACATCAAAATTACTTTAACATGAATATTCTATTCGTGTATGTATTTATGCAACTGACGACGAATTAAAACATTATATAATTTCTACAATAGAATAAAAAATGTAAAGCACAATCAAACAAAATATTAATAAAAGATCTCATAACTTAAAAATGAACAATTAACTAAAAGAACAAATATTACATATTGAACTGTTAGCTTAAAGGAGCGAACATTTGTAAGTGCTTCATTTTAATTAAAATAATTATTTTAATTGATTATTTTGGTTCATGTTAAGAGGTTAATTAATGATTTAAATACATTGCAAAACATTAGGCACACCTTAATGTTTCAGTATTATTTATTACGACGTATATACTAATTCTCTTCCTGTCTGATGTTTCATTATTTAATGCATTGACTGTCACGCAGTAATTATTGAATATTTTATTATAGGGAAAACTATATTAATATTGACACTGTACTTATCATTGTCACATTCAAATTTTGAAAAGATTTATGTTAGATACATGTCAAATATGCATTTATTTTTTAACATAGTATACTTCTAATTGGCAACGTTATACTTCATCTCTATTTATCAAATTAATATAAAATTAATATGGTGCCAAGTATTGGTACATGTAGCTTCATTGATCATGCTGAACGTGCCAATGATGCTTATACAATATATTTCATAATGAAAGATTTTTTATTAAAATAACGGTTCTCTTATTTTACAGTTGCTATAAGTTAATTTTCACATTTTTTAATGCAACATATAAACTTGCAAAATATGTCTAAAACCTTTAAAACAGAGTTTTAGATTATGGTGTCAATTTCTATATAATTTACCCACCATGACTTAAAATTTTTGTAAAAAGTGAAGCACCACTCACATTTGAGTGACTTGACAGTCAAAGCATTAAATACTATTGAAACCTCGCTTATTTAAATTAGGCTTTTACATGTTTTCTTCGATAAAAAATAGAATAACAATCATACAGAAAATTCTAAGAAGCTGCATTACATTTATAATCTAAACTTCCTATAGTCTGGTTCACAATCAGTTTGATTAATCAATTAAATGTTTAAATACGTTGAAAAGTAAATTACGCTAAAGTAATGAACTACAGAAGCTTAAAAATATACCAGCTAAAAAATGAATTATTTACAACTATACTATGAAGTTAAAATATAAATATATATATTATTGAAATTGTGATCATTTATGATGAGAGAAATGATTGTTATTATAATTGAATTATTTAAAAATTTATCAAATAATTAATTTCTTTTTCTTATGTTTAATTCTATCTGTTTTCTTTCTATATTAAAATATGCGAGATTTCAAAATGAAGAAGAAACAGAATTGCAATTATAATTACAATAATTACAATACAATCTGAACAATCGACGCAATGCCATAAGTTTGTAATTTTATTTCGCAAAGCTTGTAATACTTTTGGAAGCTATTCTGCGTGAAGAATAAAAAAAATTTGTCGTCGCAAAATTTTTTTATCTTTCGTGCCAGATCGTTGAATTATTTTGTTTCATCCAGGAAATTAGAATTTTGGTCCCAACTTAATTTATATTCTTTAAAGTTACGCTATCAAAAAGTAATTAATACTGTCAAGTTTCGTATATTCTTTTAAATACTTTTTGTTTGTTTTTTTTTTGTTTTTTGTTATTTTTATTTCTAGGTTTCAAATAATTTTGCAGAATGCAAATATAATTCTTTTTTTTTTGTTAATACTAAAATTATGCAAATTGCACCTATATAAAAGAGCATAGTTATTTTAAATACAATTTGTAAAATTACTTAAAAATACTTTCATGTTTATGGTAAATGTGCTGATAAAAATTCTTTTTGTCAAGATCATTAGTTTGTTGTATAAAGACGTTCTTTTTTAAACACAGAATTTATAATTTGAAGCTGGGAAAAAACATCTTATATTAAACAATAATTATTCAGTGTACTACATGCACTGACGACAATGTGAACAAATTAAATAAATTTTTTAATACAACAATCAAAATTTAAAATTAAGGCACAGTATAAGCCTTTTAGACTGGGACGAATGTAGAAATTAAATATATTCTTCCAATCCTTTTCTCATTCTTATACCATGAGCTTAAATTTCATATATAACATAGTCTAAGAAACAGAAGTTTGGTTTCAACCATTTGGCAGATAATGGCAGTACATTGAATTATATTCTCCAATACTCTGATTTGTTCTTAAACTAGGCTGCAGATGAATATTCGTTAGGCTATGGCCAAGTTCTAAGTAAATGGTCTTGCGACGACTCTAGAATTATTCGCTTAATGAATGCACGACGAATAATATTTTATAATGCCTCCTAATGGGTGTTGAATCAGTGCGCTGCAGTTTCGCTGGAAGTAGAAATTAATTAAGTCACCTGTGACAATGTGTACTTTCTGATAGATTACATTGAATGCCTTTTTCGTGGCGAAGCGAGAGGTGCACAATTTATGCTTTCCAAAGTAAGAAATTTTGATAGAACGTCAAGATTTTTAAATTATTCAATTATCAATCATGTAATTATTTAATCATCTTTATGAATGTTCAATTATGTTTTAGTAGTATAAACTCAAATTCTAAATAAAATTTATAATCATGTACTAACACTAAATACAATACAGTCTTACTATACGGTCTGTTAAGTGAGTTTCAGTCATCATATATTTTCAAATATAGAAATTTGAAAATTTCAAACATTTCACAACCAAGCACTTTATATAATATTTCTAATAACTTTTGTCCAGGACGATATAGCAAGACTCCATTGTATTATGGTTATTATTTTTTTTTGTAACATTAACTGTTAAAGTTTCTTACAAAAATTACAATTTTATTAGAAACAATGGACAATGGAAGTATTCCCATTTTTTTTGCAGCGATATAACAAAGACAAATAGATTGCCTTCAAATTATCTGTTTATAACTTCTTTCAAGTTTACATTAACATAAGTACTGTTTTTTTAAATTGTACATAGAAGATAATTAAATTGTATGTATATACGTTATAAATTATTAATTGTTGAGCTCTGCTCGTAATAACATTTCAAATAAAAGTTTGTGCAAAACACTTAATGCAAAACCATTTTCAATTTATTTGGAAATAGAACAAAATGATAAAAAACAACGTATTAAATGAAGTATCATATTATTACTAAACAATTATAGTGTTTGGGTTACGAGACGGGTACAAAAATTACTGCTAAAAAAGGACAAAATAGTCAATAAGGAATTTGATAATCCTTTTTTAGAAAAATATTAGATAGACATTATAGGAAATTAAATGAAATTATTCTGTCGAATAAGTGTCTTATATCTTAAGTGTATGCTAATTAAGAAACTAAAATATTTATAACTCTTAATTTATTAGTCATGTACCACCAAATTTCAGTCATTAAAAACATTGAGACAGCCAATAATCACATCTTTCAATTTAAGTCTAATATTCTTTTTGTTTATTAAACCTTGTGGAATTTGTACTTGAAGAATTATTTATAAAATATATAAAATATTCAGAATAATTTACTCAACTAAGAGTCAACTCTAAAAAGAACTAATTATCACAATAAAAAATTATACAAATGCAACTTCTGGTTACGTTTTATCAAATATATGTTTTATCAACACAAAAAAAGGAAGATGAAACAATATTTTAATACAAATATTCATTTAGCCTTCAATTAAATGGAAATACTTCTAACATTTAGAGTCCACATTATGGAAAGCATAAATATTAAAATTAAGTTTATAAAGAATCATACAGCATCAGTGTTAATTGAACACAGTTGTTTATTAATAGCATTGAATTTGTATTGGTGCATAAAACATACTGTTCGAAGTACATTCCAGTGTTCTCGAAATTTGTTAATATACAACTGTGCAATCATATCATACTGTTATGTTTACTGCTTATAATAATAAATAATTTATTGTGTCAACATTATGTAAATTTTATATGAACAATGGAACACCTTTTTATTTCTTAGATAAATAGAGATATTCTTAAATCATTTTTCTGTGACAATCATTTATCTTCCTGTTTTAGATACAATGATTTAATCAAGTAAAAGACATAACGGTACTGACCATGACTAATACAATACTTTTTTGCTGATTTTGTCAAATTTACGACAAAAACATTACAACTTAAAGAAAGCACTGATAAATAAATTAACAGAAATTAAAGAGCGTAATTAGAAACGTATAATAAATACTATGCTTATTTTGCTTAACGATTAAACCATAGTACCTTTTCAATATATTATTTCTTTTTAATTAGAAATTATATTATTTGCATTAATCTTATCTTTGTTTGGTATTCTTTTAAATTTTATCTATAATTTAAACGTTAACAAATTAAAAAAATACCATACAAACACCATTAAAGTTACATTATTTTTAACAGAATTATAAAAAAGCTTAAATTCAATATAGAGAACTAATAATGTTTGCTTAATACTTTTAACGATTATGGTAATTTTTAACGTAATGTTAATAAAACATTAAATACTACACATGGATATTCAAGATTATGTTCCATGATAAAATTATATATAACTAGTAACGGAAAGCATATGAATATTCATGTATCCAACTTTGACATCTTAATATATATTTGTTTTTGGTTTATAGTTATTAATTTCTTTCATGCACAGTTTATAAACAAAGTATAACAATTTCTTTCCATTGACATAGAATAAAAGCGATCAGTCTTTAAAAAACAGTCATAAGGACACCTTACTGCACAAAAGTGTTTCTTTCAGTTGACATGAAAATTATGATCATTGAAATAGAATTAACGTAAAATTCAAGATGAAAATGTAATACCACTAACATTATTATCATTACTAATATTATAGTAATGACAGTAATGGAAGTAGTAACAGTAGCAGTAATAACAGTAATAGCAACATTAACAATAGTAATAACAGAATTGAACGTGATTATTTACACATACATAATGAAGTATAAAACAGTGTTTAATTGAGTTGATAATATTACCGATAACAAGAATTTTTGTATGTTTTTTGTGCAGCATGATAAAAAGATACATAATGTGCAATTTGTGCAATATTTGATTACTTAAAGGAAAACATAGGAAGAGTTGATGCATGAATATGTGAAACAGAAAGAAAAAGAGCGTATTTTCAAGTCTGAGTGCAATTTTTAGACATTTAGATTGTAGATATCTGTCTGCTTACACAGTCTGGTACTCGCGGCGTATTGAACGTGCTAAACAGCAAGCAAAGATTACTCCAATTAACTGAAAAAAACAAATTTTATATTACCTGAACTCTTATACATTTTGATTAAAATGTTTATAATTATTTCGCCATAAATTAATATTGTTGATATCATATTTATATTTTTATAACAAAAATCAAAATATTACCTGAATAATAGCAATACCAATTCCAACGCCACCCAAAGTTAGAGCATTACTTTCAATAGCATTCTGAAGACTTATCATACAACCATCTCCATATACATGAATTGAATTTGAATCACATGTATTTCCTTGTGGTACCTCTTTACAACAAGAATTTGGTACAGTATTGTCTGGGAATCCAGCACGAGCCCAGTCATTTGCATCAATCATTCCACAACATTTTAACTAAAATTTGACAATTTATGTGCATTATATAATTAATGGAGGTTCAAGCTTAATTATTATGGTTAATGTTATTACAACAAACAGTGGTAGATAACATACTTACATGGTTATTTAAATATTTTTTAATTAGAAATTTTGTTAATGCATTTAATAGAATGATGTTATTATGAACACTTACATCATGTTGCATGATATCCCAGGATTTATGGATATCTTCATCAGTTAAATATTCTCCCATAGTGGTATTCAATCGATTTGCTACCATTGTACTAACTTCTCCTTGCATCATATATCCAGCAATACCAGCACCAAGTTCCATTGCAAAGATTACAAGAAGTAATACAGAGAACTGCACACAAAGTAAAAGGAGATATTAATTTCAATTATTCTTTAAACCATATTTAGTACAATTAAAAAGGTTTGTTTTAAATGAATTTTTAAATATTAACTGAACATTACCGTTATTATCATACAATGATTTTCTTTAACAGCACCACAGCAACCAAAGAATGATACAATAAATACAACAACTCCTACTACTATCATTAATACTGGTGCTGCAAAGAACCAACTATCCATAAAATTGTTGTAACCACTGTAAACCACAAGAATCACAGTACCAACTGCGATAAATACAATTCCAGTTATCTGTAACAAAAGAATTTATATAAATTTATACTTACAATAATTATATTAACTGTAGTAGAGATAGAAAATATGGTTTATGAGAATATGTATGACATTGTTTCATTTAGTTATAATGTAGGACACTACTTGCATGTTTGACATAGTATAACTTAAACCAATATTACACGATTGATATTTCTAAAGATTGTTTTATAAAAATAATACACAGTGAATGTTACATGAATATTACTATCATAATTTTATTTTGACATAATTTACTTTTAAACAATTTCAACTCTTTATTATACCATTTCGTTAAATGACAAAATATATCTAGTCCATTATAGAAGGCAGGAAGATTGGTAAACATTTAAGAAGGAATGACAATATAAGGTTCTGGATTCATTAGGCTAATATTGTACATGGATATATTAAGATGCAATTTAATACAAATGTTTAAATATTAAATAACTGAATTCCAAGCTTAATCCTAAAAGCATATAGCTCATAGACTAAAACAATTATTAATTTAACATCTAAGAATTTTATCATGACACTCTAAATCTAAACTTAATCGAAATGTGCTAATTTGTAATTCACTAGAAAAGTTTATTTTTTAACTGAATTCCTGCTATCCCATGTCTTTCTCACCACTATGAAGTTTCAAGTAAGTTCAAAAATTAGTTTTGACCATTCATGGTTTTCAAACTATTGAAATTTACAGGATATTAAGTTAAGTTTGATATGTAAGTTCCATCATATGATATTTAAGTTCTTATATACAATTTTTTAAGAAAAGAAACAAGTGAAAAACAAAAATATATTAAATTTAAAAGACTAAGAAATATTTTATGGATCTCACAGTATTATAATGAATAATAAATAATAAAAGAAACAAGATTATAAAAAATTATTAACAATGTTCAATTCATTCAGTTCTATGTCTTTAGGAGGAAAGTATTCATTAAACAGAAAAAGCTTACATTACATTTCACTGTAAAATTAATTTTGATTTTAAAAAAACGTCGTCTATTGTCCAATTGCATATGGAATTATTTATAGTTAAGATATGAAACAGCAAAAAATGCAGGTGACCTTTATTTGTCACTTGTATTTATATAATGGTGCAATGATTAGTGAATTGTCAGACTCACAATAATAGTTATGCTAACTTCAGTGTCTATAATATATTATCAAGGATTAATAATAAAGGGTCTAGCAGAACAAGATGGTCAAATGTGTCTTTGAGCCAAATGAAACTTGCAATGTCATTCGATAGCATGTCTAAAAAACACACCAAGTTTTAATCCTTCATCTCAACTTGTGGAGTAGCATCAGAAAAAAATTGAAATTGCAATTTTTACTTTGTTTTTCCCATTTAATGACACTCAAAAAATATATCAATTAATTCTATTTTATGTTTTTACTCTTAGTAGTATCGTACAGCAGGTACCTATACAAGTACAACAAACAGGCATTAAAGATAATAACTTTAATAACATATCAGTAGCTTATTATACAACAATTATATCCAATTTTAGCATTTTTAAGTGAACCAGGTTTAGAAATTCAATAGTACTTTATATTGTATTAAATAAATACTTTATGCATTATATTTATTATGTTATATATGTAATACAATTACAATAATTTGCAGCTAAATTTCACTTATAATTAACATATTAACGTATAAGTAAAAGTATTTAATTAGCAATATAAGTTAGAATTTATAAAATTATAAACAGTTATCTAATTAAAATACCAGATCTCAGAATATACAATAAATAAAAACATTATATTTAACAAATTTAAAAAATAATTAAAAACTATGCATTTTATATAAAGAGTCAAATCTCACAGATGGACATTAAGCCATTAATATCTGACGTGTCATTGAGATATGTGAGATCAAATTAATATATGATATAACACTGATTTATTTTTATACCAAAGGAGAAGTGAAACACATACAATAATTTTTTGGCACATTTGAACATCCACTGACTAGTATAGGTCTTATCACTAATTTACATTTTAAAAAACCTATCCTCATGCAATTATAGTTTAAGTTCAGCTTCTGGAATTTTTAGCTTATCAAGAACTAAATTAGGTAATAAGTAAGCATATTTTTAATGCATCAACACAGAAAGTATTAGAATTTTTTGTTGCTAGATTTACCATGAACCATACTTTTACAAATTTTGTAAAAGTCCAAAGTCGAAGTTCCATAGCACAAAAATTTCAATATTCCAAATTTTCACAATTCTAACATCTTAAAATCCCATCATTACATAATTTCAAAATCCCAATGTTCTAATGTTAAAAAATTCCAAACTTTTAAATTTTGAAAAATTTCAAAGACCCAGTATTCTAACATTCAAACATTTCAATGTCTCAATGCTGTAACGTTCCAAAAAATTTCAAAGCCACAGTATCGTAACATCAAAAAATTTCAAAGCTCAAAATAAAAAATTATTAGAGTCTCAAAATTGCAAAAATCCACAGTCCCAAAGTTTTATAACTATAAAATCCTAATTTCAAGATTTCAAAATTCTAAAATTTCAAATTACAAAATTTCGAAATTTCAAAATTTATTGTTGGAAAATTCCAAAATCTTGAAATCCAAAAATAGAAATGTTACAAAATCTCAAATTTACATTTAAAATTCCTAAAATTCAAAAAATTGCAAAATTACAAATTCTCAAAATCCACAAAATTGCGAAGTTTCATTTACAATTTCATTCAACTGCCTATTATTTTGAATTATACACACATATATATACAGAAACACCAAAAAGTTTGAAATATATATTTAGGACATCTAAACTTCTTAATCTGACCCTGTCCGTGTTTTCCCTAAATAGTTGTTTTGGGATTCGGAATACAGGTATTCAAACTTTTAAACAGATTTACGATCTTGCTATATCGAGGCTGAGACTATACGCTATCTAACTGTCCTCCCACTCCGTATACCTTTCTAAGACCATGTCTATATACGTACGTTTCCGTACCGTCTCTTTAGACAGGTCGAATCTTTTCCTCCGAGTTTTTTAATTTATTGCTATCGAAAACGCTTGTTTGCTTTCCTGGTGATTCATCTTCTAGGAATTCGTATCTAATTTTAAATCATTTTTAATCACTCTTGCGCCATTTGTTAATTTACATGACAAGTGGTTGTGTAAATTACACCATAATTAAATGACTCTATAAAGTCTTTTGATAGATTTAGAATTATTTGAAGGTATTAAATTTAAATTTGTTGAGTAAATATGAACGAATTATAATTTTTAATAAATATATTAAAAATGGCTTGAAAAAAAAACAACTTTTTCTTAAAAACAGATCAACTCTATCGTTTTAAAGGTGTGTCAAATAATAAAAACGTCACGGTAAAGTAACCGAACAAACGAACTTTCTGGGGTATCTAATTAACTTCACAATAAAATAAAAATATATTGATTTTTCAATTTACACAAATTTTATAAACATATGATATAATATATTTACAGCTATATATGTATAAGATTTATATACAACATAAACAACACATTCCATTCACCTGATCTCAGGTACACGTAACCCATGAAGCAATAACTCATTTCGATGTATTTCAAATAAAATAACGAATTAATTTTTATACATATTTTGCAAAACTCGCAAGTTAGTACTTCTACAGTTTGTAAACAAAAATTTTTGAACATAGAAGTAAGAATGAAAGGAAATGTCATTTATCAAAAACTTTCAAATAAATAAGACGTGCATAACAAAATATTTGTACCACCGAAATTATAACTGAAAATAACATCTAAAAACTATAAATTAAATATTTTCTCATTTTGATTCAAACAACAATTAGTAAATCTTAAATATGAGTATAAGAAAAAAACAATATTAAACACAAGAAAAACGTATACAAAAGGTGTATAAATCGTAAATACAACATGGAGAACTCACCGCGAATATCAAGTTGAAGAGAAACGTTAAATATTTAACGCAAGCCATTCCTCCGGACACCATTTTGTTGAATTCACTGTTAACTGTTGTCGAGAAAAATACGATTGACCACAAAACTTGTTAATAGTAGCACAGAAAAACAGAACGAGTGCTGTATGCGTCGTTTATAGGTATTTCGTTGAAGCAATGTATAACAGGTCAGACGCACTTCGATAGCTCACTGAGGAATAGCCGTATTTTCATCAGTCCACCCTGGCTGATTTGGATGCGCGCGCACCTTCCCAATAATTTACTGAGAATCGACTACGTTTATCACACAGAACTATACCTTTCCAATTTTAACTTTTTAATATTTGAATCTATGAATTAATAAAATCGATTGTTATTTATTTATTGTAACAGTCATTGCATGCAGTTAGAAATATTTTATTATTATTATAACCGCTGTTTGAAATAAGTTATTATATTGAATGGATCACGTAAGTTCATTATTTATGTTTGTTTAGTACTTTATTTCTTGTAATTCATGCCTACGTTCATGTTGAAATAATGATTTAATCATTTTTAATAATGTTAATTTGTGGTTTTGTTAGTTTTATTTATTTCATGCTTTGAAACAATATAGTGTATCAGTTTGCATTATATTTTACAAAACATGTTCATCATCAGTATTTAAATGTTTTCAATAAATACTGTTCGTTTTATACATTTAAAAATTTCCAAGTTACCAAAGACAAACTTCTCAATCTTAAAATTCACTAATTTTCTTCAATACAAATTTTTATTCAGCCCAAATAAAGAAACGTTAAATATATAAGTTTGCATACATTACAGGTTATTAAAATTTTGATTAATATTTAAATAAAAAATTTATATTGTCTTGAAATATTAAATACATATACAGTATAAGTTAAGCAATTAAAATAAACTGTTAGTTGTCTAAAATCGAAGAAATGCAATATATCTTGCATTTGGCAATATTTTATTAAAGTTGAAAATAAAGTACAGAATATACATTTGAAACAGGGCACTACTTATAATGATACGGCCCTGAGCACGTACAATGCAACATCGTCGACTCTGCACCTTTTACATCATAGAATAACGGTTTAATCTTGCTATTGATTGCCATATTTACATCGACATTTGCAAAACTCCACTATAATTTATAATGCAAATGATATTGTGATTAATTTTTCATATTTAATACACTTTTAACTTTCCGACTGTAGATGATAATTTTTGAACTTATACCTTCCATTATTTCAAACATTGCGACTTTGAAATTGTTAAGATACCAAAAAAATATTTTTCTTACGTGTAATAAAATGTAAAATTGTAAAATTTAAAATTAATGTAAAATATAAAATTGTAAACGTAACAGCGTTTAATTATGAAGATTCATATTTTTTAATTACAAATTTTTTCTTGAACGACACGTGTTTGTAATATATTTTTAATTTTCTTTTACTGTACTTATTACAATAAATTATGGTTATTATAAACTGCGGAAGAAATAAAGTTATTATATTTTAGTTTTAAAATGGAGCGTAGTAAAACGTAAAAGATTCTAGCAGTTGCAATGCGATGCGTGTGTAGTTCAGTCTATCCTTATAATCTCTTAACATTGATTCCTTGCATTATAATAGGAACGATGCATTGCATGTCACCTGCTCTAGTTCGATACGACGCTTACCTTATGATTATTATCGATTTAAATTTTACTTTTTCTTTGTACTAACCATATTTATTCTTCAGAATCCCTCGTAAACCAATGAATCATATTACAATTACTTTTAAATTAGTATGCACGTTAAAAAATATAAATTGATTTGCGTTTGTTGTCATTTAATTTTTAAAATAATATCAAACTAAATTATTATCTGAATAAGTTGAAAGCTATGTTAAAAGAATTGACAATTAATTATTAAAATTTTTAATGATTTAATCTATATGTATCTATTTTAAATAACAGTAACAATTGTATATTACATACATTGTGTGTATGGACATGTACACCTGTATGTTTGAACATAACCTATGTTGCGCAATATTTTTAACGAATTATTCTTATATAACCTGTATAAAGAAAATAAAAATGGTTTAAGTAATACACTATACATTTATTAGTGCATTTATTAATTTTAACAAGGTTTGCAATTATTGATGTAATTCAAAAACCAATGTGATAATATAGCAATTATCACAGTAATTATAAAAAATATTCACTTCTGTATTGTTTGTATGCAAATAAGATATAAGATTATTAATCTGTCATTCTTAGTAATTAAAATCTGTGAGTATTTTACAATAAAACAATCTCATTTATTATTAATATTAGTATTTTAACTATAATATTGCAACACAATTTTTAATTAACATAAGAAACTAAAGTATCATTGCAGTCAAGAAACGTATTATGACATACACAAATTTGAATAAAAATCATGAAGATACGATAGTAAAAAGGAAGTATAGCATACAATTTTATAAATCTGTAAATAATTAATTTTGGTTTTATTTTTATAGTTTTTAAATTCTCTTATGCAATTGTGATTTCATTCGATAGAAAGTTTTTAATTTGAACGAGGGAAGTCAGAATTGGGATGACGAAAAATGGAAAAAAAATTGCGGTTGGTAACCTTTGAAATTTCACAACCTTGGTTAAGAGCATTATATTCGCGCATGCGCGGGCACACGCAGCCACGCGATAGTCTAAAAGTAGTGAATTGTCGTTGTGTTCTTGGCCGGTTTGTGCGCCTTTTTTTAATGTTAAAAAACTAGATAAAAACGTAGCGAATTGGTATTTTTTTATCTGTTGCAATCGACAAATACTATTTAATTTACACTGTCAGTGATTAGTAATGGTTAATAATATGAAATTATCTATCGGTTCACGATGTGTCAAATATCTCATGTTTGTCTTCAATCTGCTCTTTGTTGTAAGTAACATTTTCTTCCTTATCTTGACTTTGTTATCTTGCTATTTAAATCCTGTTAACGTATTTTTTGTAGAGAGTTATACTTTAAATTCTTAACATATTTAATAAAGTTTAACGTTACATGCATATTAATGTACAAGAAATAACAAACTTGTGATTTTAAATGATTTCTACCTGAAGGATCATAAGAGAAACGTGGAATGTTCTCCATATTTCGGATGTTTACATACATTTTTTAAAATTGTAAATTTATTATGAATTTTGTTTGTGTTACACTGTCATTGATAAATGACAAAATTGCACATATGTGAATAATGAGTTATATAGAAAGATTATTAATCTTTCTACAAATTTTACTAACCTCCGTATAACCTAAATATTGGTACAAAATCGATATAGATTCTAGATCCTTACGGATGCTGTAAGAATAATGTAGGTCTAATATGAATTAAAATTTGGAATGAAATGTAATTAAGAATGGGAATAACCGTTCGTCACAACGAAGTAGTCTGTTTTCCTGTTGATCATTTTATGCGTCATACAATATTCGATATATCGATGCACATTATATATACACGTATATTTTTACGTCTTGTTTACACATATACTCTTATATTTATCATTAGTTTTATCGAAGTAAACACATTACAATTATTTTTATACCTATTATAAATTTATCTTTAAATTTATTAAAAGGTTCAGAAAAATTTATAAACGTTCAAATACGTATACATATAAGTGATAACTTCCTTTAATTTTTTATGCTTATTTCAGTTGAAGAGGGCGTAACATTCAGTGATATTGTGTTCCTCAGTATAGTTAACGAAAAAAGAAACTAAAAAATTTTCGTTCTTACAGAAATATTTACTTTTTCATAAAAATGCATTTTAAATAAAACATTTTAAATACATTTATATACATAGTTTAAATACATTTGCCATTAATATTTTAACAAAACAAATATTTAATTCATCTTGCGTTTCGCAAATATGAATATAAAGAGAAATATGTTGTTAATTAAGTTAAATATAAGTATTTTTATAAAGAAAGATAGATATATGAATATAAGAATGAAAATTAGTTTTGTGATGTTCTTTTTTAAGAAAAAAAAAGTTCGCTGCGGACAGGATTCGAACCTGCGCGGGTAGAACCCAATGGATTTCAAGTCCATCTCCTTAACCGCTCGGACACCGCAGCAATTGAAAACGAATTTCTTTTAAAGCGTATATAAGACGTGTACAATCGGAACATGAAAAAATATTCATACGTTATCTTTCATTATTATTTTAGTTACTTTATTTAATTAATTATTTTTAATAATAACTAAAACAATATTTTAAATAAAATCTTGATTGATTAAACATGTATGATTTATAAAATACTTTTACATTTGTTTATTATCTATCGAAATAAAATTAGTCATTATAATATTCGATACAATTTCTCGCATGTTAACGAGTGTGAACGATACGTATAAATTTACACTAGACATAATTATTTAAAGTAGTATTTCTTTAAACTATGGCTTAGCCTCATTTCACCCATCTCGGTAATTTCTAAAGATTCTCTCGGCACCTAAAAAACACTTAATCTTATTTTCTGCTGATCCTATTTCTCATGTAAACAGAGGTAATTGATTTGACCCTATTAGCACGCTAAAATAGAACGTTTAAATAGATATTTATTAATGCAGATATTAGCGGATATCATTTACGTTTATCTAAGAACTATTTTGAAATTCAATAAATTTAATTATGTCAAACATAAATCATATTTACACTACAAATTGATTACATCGTTAAAAAAAAATGGTAAAAAACGTATTTTCATTTTCAGATAACGGGAATAATTTTATTATCTATTGGTGTCGTGTTTCATGGAGTTTATCACAATTATCAGCATTTCTTGGATAATAAATTCTTGTCAGTTCCTTCGCTGCTCATCGCAATCGGTGCAATTATCTTTCTCATTGCCTTTTTCGGATGTTGCGGCGCCGTTCGTGAAAATTACTGCATGATTGTTACGGTAATTATTTTCACACTATTATTAGATATTAGTTATTAGATATAAGTGATATTCACGTTTTCAAGATTATGATTTCAGGTCAGATCAAAAAGGAGCAAGACAAGACATCAATTTTCAAATTTTTTAAATTTGAAAAATTTCCGAATTGCAAATTTATTGATTTAATAATTTTTTATTAATTACAAATTTTAATTACAAATCTTTAGAATTGTAAATTATTAATTTACAAATTCTAAAATTGGGAACTTCAGAAAAACTTAAATAAATTTAAAAACTGCCAAATTTATATATTTTCAGAATCACAAATCTTTTAATTTTTAATTTTTGATTTTTCGAATTTTGGAATTTGTAAATTTACCAAGTTTAAGATTTTCCATTTTAGAATTTATGAAATTTTAAACTTGGCAAATTGAGAAATTTAAAACTTCTTAAAGTTTGAAATTTACAAATCTGAAAATTTTGAAAGTCGCAGTTTTCAAATTGAAAAATTTAGAATTTGTCACCATTTAAGATTCAAACTCTTAAATTTGAAAGTTTTAGAAATGACTAAATTTTGAATTTTTAAATTTTCCAATAAAAAAGTTGGGAAAAGTCCAAAAATTTTTAATGTACAAATTTTCAAACTGAAAAATTTAGGACTTTTTACATTTTAGAATATACAAACTGCAATTTTTTAATTATTTAATTTATATTATTTATGCAAATATATACAAATTTATCAATTATGAAATTAAATTGGTAAATTTATGAAACTTCAAATGTTGAAAGTTACAAAATTAAACATTTTTATCTCCTTAAATATTCAAATTTTTAAATTGAAAAATATATATTGCATAGAGAAATTCCATTCCAAATTATACATATATGGCCATTTCACAATTTTTATTATTGTTATAGCTCTGTTTCAGGCCATTGTTGAAGGCGAGGAGATCCGTGGACGAATAAAGTCTCGTAATAACAGAAAAACTATTTATTCAAGAACGATTACAAAATTACAGTCAAATTACGTGAGGAAAATTAGAGAACAAAATTGAATCGAAACATGCGAATACAAAAAGAAATAATTAATGGTGATTAATACCGTTAGATGGAGACAAATGTTAAAGTTAATTCGTGGATCGCTTTTATTTCCAATACTTCCCCTCAAGACACGCATTAATTCGCACGTTTTAGCAGGAAATCGAATTTGACATTCCATATTTCTTCAGAGCTTTGTCCAATCGGTTAGACCACCACTTTCCAGCCTGTCGTAGACCGTATAGAGATTTCTTGAGACGACAAACTTTGTCCCCAGACGATAGTTCCTTTAACATGCGTTGTGTTTTAATTTTAATTTGACTATTTTTACCTTCTGACTCGATAAGTGATTCCAACGCTTCATTTAACATTTTAGGCGGTGACATAAATATTTCTTCATCCAATACACCATTCAAATATGCTGTTGTGACATCAAGCTGTTCAATAGCCATTCCATAACGCGCTGCTATAGCAATTAAAAGACGAATAGAACTTAATCTAGCTACAGGAGCAAATGTCTGATTAAAATGAATTCCCGGACGTTGTGAGAACGTTGTGAGAATCCCTGAGCAATAAGACGCGCCTTCCTTTTCTCAATAGTTCCATCCAGTCGACATTTATTTCGTAAAACCATTTTACTCCCGATAACGTCACAATTTTTCGGTCGAGAAACCACTTCTCACGTATCATTTTTAATAACTGACTTTACCTCGGTTGCCATAGCTCTTATCCATTCGTTCACTTTTGGACTGGACATCGCTTGCTTTATGGTAATTTCCGATAAAAATACATAGTTCTCCTCAACATTACCTGCAAGTTCGCTTGGCACTTGAAATAATTTCCGTGGTCTTCCCCTCAAACCAGTACGAAGTATTCTCGGTCTTCCACGTGATCTTCCACGACCTACTCTAGGCGTTTCGTCTGGTCGTTCCTCTTCGACGTTTTGCTCATCTGGCAAATCTTCCTGAAAATCGTCAAAATCATTACCCGAAAAAGTTCATTACACGAAAAATCATTGTTTTCAACGCTGATTGATGGCTTCAACTCAATATCAATTCCGTGAGGCATTTCTTCTTCTTCCGCTTCGTCTTCTTTGTCGAACGTTACTTTTTCATGATCTACAAATCGAGTTCCTTTATTTTCCAGAAATTTAACGTCACGCGCAATTTCTACTTTTCGATCTTTCGGCAACCAAATCCTGTATTCTTTGGAATTATCAGAATAGTCGACAAAGATACCTTCCTTGCAACGCGACTGAAATTTATCTCTGTTAGATTCTCAATTTAAAAGAAATACTTTACAGCCAAAATCCTTCATGTGTCCCACGTCCGGTTTCCGATGCGTCCAGGCTTCGTATGGCGTTTTGTTTACCAAACTTTTAGTTGGACAACGATTCCTAATATAATTCGCTGTATTAACTGCTTCGGCCCAAAAAGATGAAGGAAAACTTGCCTGCAACAGAAGACACCTTGCAGTTTCCAATAAAGTCCGGTTCTTTCTCTCAGCAACACCATTTTGTTCCGGATTTCTTGCAACAGATAATCTTCTTGAAATTCCGTGTTCTCTCAAATAATTATTAAATTCGCGGCTCATATATTCTCCGTCATTATCGGATTGTAAATATTTAATTTTTTTACCTTTCAAATTCTCGACGAGTTGCTTAAATTCCTTAAAAGCTTCAAAGACTTCGTCTTTTGATTTGAGAAAACGTACCTCAGTCCATTTCGAATGAGCGTCGATGAAAGTTACAAAATATTTAGCTTTCCCATTCGAAATAGTCTTCATCGGACCACAAACATCGGAATGAATGATCTCCAGTAAATCAATTTCCCGCGTTGATTTTTTCGGAAAAGGTGTTCGTACAATTTTTCCACGAATACAAATATCGCACTCCTATTCCGATTCACGTTCCGGTAAATCAATTCCTTGTATCATTTTTCTGCGTACCGCTTGGATAAGATCTTTACAATTTACATGTCCAAGACGACGATGCCACGACATTAACGTACCCGGCGCGTTTGACGATGTATTTTGCGAAATAGCATTACACTCGCCGTGTGAATTTCCGCGCACATAATATAATCCACCGATACGATTTGCTACTAATTTCGTACTTCCGTTACTGTCTGTCACCATGGCTTTAGTAAATGTAACCTTAAAACCTTTATCCGTAATTTTCGCGACTGATAACAAGTTTGTTCGAAGATCCGGCACGTATAACGCATCATTCAACCGAATGTTCTTCTCATTATTATACGCTTTCGTCAAGAAACAAACCGTTCCTCTTCCCGTTATTTTGGTCGATGTACTGTTCGCGAGATTTAATTTTCCGAGACTCGAATATTCGATGTTCGTGAATTCGTTCAAGTTGTTACATAGATGTGAAGTTGCGCCACTATCTATACACCAATTACCGGCATTACTCGAACTGTCTACTCGCAACACTTCATGTTTATCAGTACATTCGAGAAACGTACATAATCCGACATCTTCAGCTTTATTTGCATTTGATCCGCGATCGTCTTTAAATTTCTTACAATCTGCAGCTTTATGACCGTATTTACGACACCGATGACACTGATATTTGAAATTTTCCTTAACACTTACGTCTTTCTTTTCCGTTGCCTTCTGATTCCGTTCTCGAAAACTTTTATTTACAACCATGACGCCTTGAACGTTGCTTCGTGCGTCGTTTTTACGAGCGTCACTTTCTTCAATAATTTTGATGCACAGAGTTTTCGGTGATGGCAATTCGTCATGAGACTCAATAGCACAACGAAAATTTTCGAAAGTAGTTGGCAAACTATATAAGAGCATGATTGTTAATAAATCTTCATTTATATGGACTTCCATCTCGCTCAGTTTATCGATGATGTCAAAGAATTTCCGAAAATGTTCACGAACATCTTCGTTTTCATCCATTCGTTGTAACATCAGTTTCTTTAATAATGTGGCCTTTCGCGTTGGTCCTTTAGATTGATAAATCTTTTCCAGTTTCATCCACACTTCGCGAGATGTTTCGCAATTTTTAATTGCTTTAATTCCGACTGGCTTATCGACAAAATAATGTCCGATTTTGCTTTGCTGTCGTTTTTTTGTCCATTCCTTCACAGCATTTTCTGACACAATGTCTCCGGCAACGACGTTCGGTTTGTTGAATTCACCACTCACATATGTCCACGCATCGTTCTTTATTAGCAAAGCCTGCATTTGCATCTTCCAAGTATCATAATTCTCTTTGTTAAGAGAATCGATTCGTACAATTCCAGAAGTCATGATACCCGTTAACACAAAAAATTAACCGTTTCGAGAAACTATCGATCCGGCTTTTTAATTAATTATTTTCCGTACACTTTTAATTCCGCAATCTTCTGGGCCCATAACCTGTTGAAGGCGAGGAGATCCGTGGACGAATAAAGTGTCGTAATTAATTATGTACAAAACAGAAAAACTATTTATTCAAGAACGATTACAAAATTAGTCAAATTACGTGAGGAAAATTAAAGAACAAAATTGAATCGAAACATGCGAATACAAGAAGAAATAATTAATGGTGATTAATACCGTTAGATCGAGACAAATGTTAAAGTTAATTCATGTATCGCTTTTATCTCCAATAGCCATACAGCGAGACTCCATTTGTTCTGTAATTTTCATTGAAGAAACTTACTATTACTTGAGAACTTTTAATTTATATAACAAGCTAAAAATAAATAAAATAAAATAAGTTTATATAATAGGCTCTCGTTATATTGCCATTCGCACAAACGCGAATCGATGTTCCGCCGATATTATAGCACTGTATAGAACCGTATAAAAGGACCATTATATCCTCAATTACAAAAATTTTTCATTGCTGCAACTAGTAAGTGGGATCGTAACGGGAGTTTATTATAGCATAATCGGACAAATGCCAATGCCGAATAATTTTTACGTATTTTATTTAAAATTTCAGAAGTTCACCTCAAGTGATGTTCAGGCGACTGTTTATAAAACATACAAATAATTTTTCTTTTTTCTGCTTCTAGTTTACATCGTTCTTAGTTCTTGTTTTTATTTTGGAACTCTCAGCTGGCATATCTGGATATGTATTGCGAAACAGAGCATCAACGATTGTTGAAGAGAAGATGATAGATACAATGCAACTGTATAGAAACAACACAGAAATACAGATGGTGTGGAATAATCTTCAGAGCGATGTAATTTTCTTTAATTTTATATTTTTATTATAAGTTCGTAACGTTATCGCTACACCATATCGGAAACGCTCTCGTACATTAAATTGTTTAACTTCATATGTAATAGGACAGCTATAATCTCTATGGTACGCCTACTGTGTTCGTTTCGTGGCAAACGACTATAGTTGTCCTTTGTTAGTAGCGAAAACGTCAATAGCTTTATCTATTTAAATAATTTTCAAACATCGTTATTTTTATATAAATTGTTAAAGACAAAGAAAATTTGACAGTGACGGTTAAATTATATGATCCAAAATTTTTAGCGATAAAAGATTTTGTTAATTTTAGTATTTATCTGTAACACTTTTGAAGCGGTAAACAAGCATTTGTCATAACAATTCCAAATTCAATTTGTATATTAGTACATAAGAGTGGCTAAACGAGCACGACACACTTTTCAAACTTCGGAGAAAAAAAAGTTAATGATGCAAAAAGCTTGTAACTTTAGAAACTTTTTGAAAACTTCAAGTGATCAATACATATTGTCAATGTTTCAGAGTTCTTGAGAACAATATGTACACTCAGTACTATCAGCATTTTACCTATATTTCAACATTGTTAATAAATATTTGGAATTCTGAAATGATGACAGTATCTTATTGTTTGTACATATTATCAATATTTTAATGTTAAGCAACATTAGTGACTCATTTTGTTGCTACAGTTTTGTATCTTGTATAAATGATGTAGAATGGGATATAGTATTTTATAGCTTTGACATATCATTTAAAAAGTGTTCCAAAAGTATTGTTATTTATGTTATAGACTTAATTTCAGGGAAAGTTTACAATTGTAGAGCTAAAGAATATTGTGGGTTTAATACTGCAAACAGTACCTATGAAATTGAAATGTCCTATTACCATAAAATGTTATATTAATAATAAAAGTCATTTACATAGTTTAGCGTAGAACAAAATATAGACTTAATATAATTTTTGTACTAAACTCAATTTAGAATGAAATTACTTGTATCACTGTAAAGAACGAGAAATTTGACATGAGAAATATGTATAATATCATTTTTTAAAGGAATGTATTTAATGAACTTGGATTGTAGGGTTTAGATATGTATTTTTAATTTGCTTTCATTTAACACTGTATATGAGTTATATAAGATAAAATGTTAATTATTGCAGTTTCATTGTTGTGGAACAAATAATGCGAGCGAATGGATGGCCGTTTTGCAATCTATCCCTGCTTCGTGCTGCGATAATCTCGTGAAAGAAGCAAATTGTACCCTTACATCTCCTACTTTACATCCGAACGGTTGTTATGGTGGGTTCCTGTCTTTTATCAAATCCCACGCCGTGCAGCTAGGTGGTGTTGGTATTGGTATTGCAGTAGTTCAGGTAATTATATATTTAGGAGCTAAAGAAATGGTGTATGTGCCTATTTAAATTGGCCCATTCGACTATTGATGATACAAAAAATATTTTACACAAAAATGACGTAATTTTAGGGATCAAATTATTTAATGAAGGTAGCTTCCTTCTAAATACCTATTAATATCCTTATGAACGTGTATAAAAGATATGTAGGCCATTTTTTTAAATGGAATTATATATTTCTTGAACACTGTTCAATGCAGCTCATTGTTCTGTACAGGAAAGTAATTAATTTGCATTTCACTTAATATCATGTGCTTATGTGAATATTTAAAAAGAAAGCTACTTTCACCCGACAATTTCCCCCTGAAATTATGTAACTTCGAAACATTTTTTTATATTGTCAATATTTTTTAAGATATTTGTATGGGTTGATTTAAATACGCCACCTTGTATATTTATGTAACTTAATATTATTTTATGCCAGATACGTCATAAGAATTTCCTCTTAAACGTTGTTTTATTTATTTTGCAGGCAATAGGTATTTGGTTTTCAGTCTATCTGGCACGGTCGATCAAAAACAGTTATGAGAGTGTATGAAGTGTTTCAAGATCTTCAAAGGCGATTACTCATACACAAAATACCTTTAATTGAACCATAATTATAAGAAGAAACATCGTTATATTGTTAATTCCTTAAAAGATAAATTTCATATACAAAATATTTTATATATCCAAAAAATATTAAGGAATCGTGAATTCATAAAGTATATTATATAAATATACTGTGCCAACGTATGCTTCTTTTAAAACATAATGTAAAGGACTTATAAGAATATAATAAAAAAACAAAGAAGACATACTGTACCCAACAACCTTTCTGTGAAATAAAAAATATTTAAATTTATTGTAGTATTGCTGACAAAAACTTCTTATAACTTGGTAACTTATAAATAGTTTACAATTTCTTTTCTTGTATATGCAATTATGCTTACATAATTACACATACAAAAAATTTGAACTGTTTTACAACAATGTATAAACAAGTTTACAACAAACTATTTGACAACATATAATTTGAACTATTTTATATTATAAATTTTGTAGCTACATACTTTCATAATAGATATGGATTTATAAATACAATTTATACATAGCTTACTGCTGTTTCTTATAAGCATTCAATACTGATATGTCCAATGCACTTAAAAAATTACGATTGGTTAATGGCGAGTTTTCCCCCAACTTGTGTAAATTATAGCCACCCTATCAATATTCTCTTGTTGCATCGTAATCTATATCTATTTTCAGTTCCTTCGTCATTGTATCTGTCGCGTGGTTTTAGTGAAATCAGTTTTCTGAAACAATGTTTATATAGAGCAACCTACATAAGTGGGGCAAGCTATAGCTTTAAAACGGTGGAATTTAAATTGCCAATCGACCGTAGTTGCGCTAATTTGCAGTACATTCTGAATTTTATGATCTGCTTGTATACAGTTATGCGAATTCCGAAATCTCTAAATTCTCATATTCAGAATTTCTTAACTCTAAATTAAAAAATCTGTAAGTTAAAAAATTTACCATTCAAAAACAAGGAAGTAATGGAACTTTTTTCTTTCGGGAGACTTACAGCACCTACGCTAATATACGTTAAAATAAACTAAGTACGTCATGAACATCGATTGACGTAGTTATGAATAGCAATTTTCTATAACTGTTTCAGACTTAAAGATTTTTTAAAATTTCAATATCTGCCATTTCCTTGTGTCAATCGATTTTTACGAAATTTTTGTGCGTAAGTTAATCTTTGTAGACTACTTGTAGATCTTTTTATTAAGAATTTACATAAAAAAATTGTAAAATGTGACCTTCACATTCTAAAATGTAAGCTTCAAGGTAACAATGTACTTGTTTAAAAAAAAAATGTGTTGATACATAAGTTAAATAAATATCTACTAATAAAAACGACATAACTTAACTAATTCATATGTATGTTCTTTTTAATACTGCAACACAATAATAAGATTTTTATTAAATGGAACGGATCGACGTTGAACGTGTAACTGATACCGGACAATACTTAGCGAAGTATACGATTGCAGTTTGACATGAAGTTTAGCGTATATATAGTCTGTAATACTTTTTCACGTATGAATAATGAACGTGTGCTGAATTACCCACACTATGATACGCATGAGTCATATGCTGTTTTCACGCATGAGCTTAGAAACCGGTCGATGTCCACTGCTGACCACTTTGAAGCCCTTCACTGTAAATAGATCATTCTTCGAGCAGCTGATACTAGTTGTACAAACAGAGCTGCTTAAGGAATTAAGTTTAGAGCGATCAATTATAATTAATATTTCTACCTGATTACTCATTATTTATTAGCTTGTTTCATATAATGCTCTCTTTACTCTTAACGTTGCTTGTTTATGGATTAATTTAAAATGTAGTTTAATGGTGGATTTAAGCTTTAGCACACCAAGGTGAAATCAACGTTCTGTTTTAAAAGGGGTTAAGGATTCCGTCATTCTTCAGCACTGTTTCTATTTATAACATCTTTTTAAATTTTATTTTCGCAATTCTTACATTATCAAATTTTTAAATTCTAAAATTTTGGAAATTTTTGATAAAATCCAGAAATTTACAGCCTAAAATTTTCAAATTTTGACGCTTCCCAATTTTTTAAATTCGATAAATTGTTAAAATGGACATTCAAATTTTCAAATTTCCGAAAATTTGATTTTTCAGATTTCAAAATTTTTAATTTAAAAATTCTCAAGATCTCCACTTCTCTAAATACACGAATTAATAAATTTAAAAATTTTTTAGATTTCATAATTGAAATCAAATTTACCAATTTTTTAAATGCAAAAATTGTTACATTTCTAAATACCCAAATTTCCGAGATTTACAAATTTTCAAATTCTAAAATTTTCAAATACTCAAATTTTCAAGATTTACAAATTTTGAATTTCCAAAATTCCATAATTTTTGAATCTATAAAATTTACAATTTCGAAAATATTTAACTTACTAAATTCTCAAAATTCCAAGAGCCTAAAATTTTCAATGTTCAAATACTCCAAAACGGTACAAAAAAGCATTGCACATGCGCTGTATGCATCAAGCACATGCACATTACATAACTTACTCTTTAAATACTATAAATTTAAAAAATTAATTTCTAAATTAAAATTCAGAAAAATTATAAACTTGAATAACTAAATTTGGATTTACAGTAATTTTTTACATACCGAGAATTTAAAAATAACCGTTATTTACAGCAATATTTGAAAATTTGTTTATTCCATTTTGTTCGTGGTCGAATATAGTTGAATATAGATATAACTGAAAATGAAATAAATTAATAAATATAAATCATTTTCATTTTGATGGAGTGAACTGTTAAAGAAGTTAAGATGACTTCTGTTAGATTTTTATTTTTACTAACAATAATAGATCTGAAAATGTATCACCTTAAATAATATTGCTTTTTGTGGTAGTACATGAACAGCAATTGGTACAAAAACGCACCAGCAAAATAGTGTAATCAAAGGATAAATAAAAAGGTATACGTATAACACACATAAAATGTGTAAATAATACACATGTCAGAATACACATATCAGAATTAAAAAATGCAATTAAGAAAAATATTATCGACATTAACGAGATCAATTAAAAGATTCTTGTACCGTTCTCTCATACAAATATACATTGACTTTTGTAAAGATAAAAAATTGTACATACTAGTTCATATTTTATCCTTAATTTATATACGAATTCTTTTACTTCGTTGTCAATCTAAAAATAAGTATGCGTCGATCCCGGTAGTTATTGTGATAAACGTACTTCTTTAAATGTTTTGCGGTTTTGATAATTTAATAAAGCCTTATTATTTGTATACAAATAAAACTTATATACAGAAATGCGTAAATATTATAAATGTTAATTTTATATTTATTATTTATACATTTATAATTTATAATTTATTATTTATACATTAAATTTTACATTTTGAAAAATTTGAATAACTGTAAATGAATAACTTTTGATTAGGTAATATTTTATGAATAATATAAATATTAATTTTATATAAATACTATGAATATGAATTGCCGTTTACCAGGAATATAAATACAGATATAGTACAACATAAATTTTAACAGCTCATTAATGATTATTTAATTAGCGTTTATTTAACTAACTGATTAACCTCGATGTCGTCCCTGAGACATTCCTAAAAACAGAATCAATAGAAAAAAATTATATTTAATGAAATTATAATTATAGCTACAAATTCAAGAATACATGTTCTATTTAAGAATAATAGCATATAATCTTACAACTTCAAAACCGCTGGAGATATCAAGAGGAAATAAAAAATAAACTATGACCAAGTACCATTTATAAACTGTGCGAATTTCATAAAAATTGGTCGAGAAATTTTTTATTTAGACCTAGACAAACAAACAAAGTTGAAAAAAACTGATTTTTATAAGTACGTACCAAATAGTCATTAACAGACATTCTGCTAATTATCAGACATTACAAAATAACAGACATTCTAATTTTATAATGCTTTTAAAAAATAATAAAGGTAAAAATGAATTGAATACAGATTTAATGTGAAATATTTAACTCTATATATATAAACGCTAATGCTTTTATAAATTAACAATAATTAACATACACCACTTTGGAGTAAATATTTTCAAACTAACACATACTACATTTTATAATATTTAATCCATATAAAAGTATATCATGCTTCCCAAAAAAATAAGAAATCATAACAATATTAATTTCGGGAAAAATAAACGTATCCCGAAAATAGAACTGATTATCGCGCTGATTAAAACTAATATTTTTATCCAATTCCATATACGACTAGAAATTCAATCGAATGTAATTTCGGTTGATTTTCCGTTTCATTTGTCCACCACGAACGCAACGATGTGTCATACTTGACGCGCGCGTAATGAAAAAAGGCGTACAAAAATACCATGAGGAAAGAAAGAAATAAAAGAGGAGGAGGAAGGTAAGCACATTTGTAAAAACACGTAACCGAGTAGCGCTACGTGTGTTGTCGGTACGTACACGTCTTTATCAGTAGATAATGCGATACATCGCATAGAGTTTAGGTGTTTTCCACGTTCAGTTGGTTCTTCCTCGTTGTTCGAGAGTGAGAAGGAGCAGTGCTGTTCCGCAGTGCACCTGCGTGTAAAAGGATTTATCGACAACGTGCACCAAAATGGCTGCCACGCATCTGGATGTTGGTCTACGATGCATCAAATACCTGCTTTGCGCGGTTAACTCGCTTTTTGTGGTCTGTAACCACGTTATTTTATCTTTTTACATGTCCCTTGAACGTAACAGCCTTACGTCGTTTCTACGACGTGTACGATCGATTAATCAAACAAATGTCCGCCCGATTATATCGATTGTTCATCTGTTACGTTCAAATGGTACGATCAATCGTTTTATTTCTTTATTTAACAACTTATTACTTCCGTTACTTTTCACTCGATCGAAGATTGTTTGCATTCACGTTTTAAAACAATTATTGAGAATTAGTCATCCGATCGATTGTAAGTTATGGATATCGATATCTTATGATACGACCGAAATCAGATTTCTGAAGTTACACAATGATCGATTTTGGTCGAACATAAAAAAAAATTAGTATATTCTTTTACGTAACGATTTCTTGCTTCGTTTCAAACGCATGTGTTATTTTTACTCTGTGCGTTTATACGCTTAATGCGAGAGATATCGATTAGAAATGGATATTAGCATTAACAATCACTGGAGAAGAATGTAATTGAACAAAATTGAATTTATTCATTTCTAAAATAAGTTATTCGAATGAATGTAATGACGAACATATAAACGAATATATACTTCTATAGCATTGATTTATTAAGTTAATTCAATTAATATTTTCAATTTATTATAAATTAATATTTTGGGAAAAGATACAAGTTGAAAAAATACATACAGATATGTATTAGAATAAATCTATAAAATCGTAAATATTTATGTGTATGTTTTCATTGCATATAGGTTAATATTGTTGCGTGATAACCTATAACATTGAAGAAAACGTCGTTTAATTAAAACTGATATGGTCAACATAATCATTTTAATCACACAATGAATGACTAAAGCATTGTAAGAAAGAATTTTACAAACAAAAATATTTACGCGCAAGTACATCAATCTGACGAACTATAGCTGTACATACACAAGCCACTTGCGGTATGCGGTGTCATTCAAATAATTAAGACAAGGAAAAGTCAAGTAAATAAAAGATATACGTTAATAACAATGCAAAGATAAAATAGAAATGACGAACGAAGTCGAGGCTGACCACGACTGTAATTGCAACCACGTCAATTTTCCTTCGCGAGAATAACTATATCGGCCCTGAGATTCGGAAAGTTAGGTCAACCCTTTATGCATACATGAACAAGCGTGATCACAGTTGCGCGTTGCCATCGAACGAGTAACAGAATCGATATCGACTGGGTGAGGTCGACCCCGATGAATTATTACATTGTACAGGTTTACGACGCCAAACATTTCTTCCACCTTGCTCCTCTTTTCTTACTATGTATCGCTTTTATTACCTGTACTATCAAATATTACTCAAGTAGCAATTTCCGTCTGTTTGCTTATTCGCAAATTTTATCTTAAAAATGAAATTGGGCCTATCTACCGTTTTAGATTGTGAGAATCGATTCAGCGAACTCTCGATTTTGCGACCGATTTTCGCAATCTACTAATACTAACATAAAGCGATATAAATCACAAAATTAAAAAATTCTAAAGTCCCAAAGTTGTAACAAGAAAAAATTATAAATACAAAAGATTCTAGAATTCTAAAATCCAGAAATTATTCTTTAAAAATTTGAATGTGTTCATAACCAAAAAATAAAAATTTCAAAGGACGAAAATTACTAGTCATAAATATTTCGAAATTAAAAAGTTTCTAAAATTTCCCAAATCTAAAGAATTTCAAAATATCCAAATTCTAATATCTTAAATTCTCAAAATGACAAATTTTAGAATGATACCGTTTATTAATAACCGACGTAATTTTGTTTATTTGTTAGTAATAAATTTATCGACCTGAATTTATTGTTTTCTTCGATGCACGAAAATTTTCGTATTCTGTAATCGGTATCACAGTCAGAAACCATTGCCTGTGAAAATGGTTTGTCTTATCAGTCTAGATAAACCTGTATAATCTCTTTGATACTGATAACAGAATTCTCTTGTCTCGGTCTGTGCAGATATCTGTTGGTATTAGAGGAAATTATTTTTTAAGCGGGACGGGTTCGACAACCCTTATTTGAGGGATCTGCAATATCGTTCGGATTATTTCAAATATTGTATTAAGAACAATGAACGGAAACAGTCCAAATTTTATAATAATAATGTTGGTATCTTTCGTAATTTATCAAAATGATATATCAATGGCATTTATTTTGATATCAGTTATCCTGTACAATTAAACTTAAGTCTGTCATTCTTAACAATGCTTCTGATAAAATATTATCAACTAAATGAGTCGTTCATGCAGATATTACGTTTTAAACGAAAAATATTATTCCATGACGTTTCATAAAATTAAATGACCAAATCACTATGCAACAATAAATAATAAATATATTTAACAGTATTGTTTAATGTTAAATGTAAAATTATAATTAAAGGATAAAATCATAAATATATAAAATATTTTCTAGAATATGAGTTTTTAAAAATATACTTTTTTCATTAAAAAAAAATTTAATGAAATACAATATTTCATTAGACTGGACTTACCTTACACTTTAATTTTCGATTTTTGAGTAATCTTTAGTGATAATTTATTTAATAATGGTTGGCATTAATTAAAAATTTATTATATGGTACTCTAATCTAGTAATATTAATCTTCTAAAAATATTCATATGTTCATACAAAATAAATTTGTTAATATTTACATTGGAATTTTTAATATTTATATACTTATATTTATATAATTTATATATTTATATAAATTTGAAGAAACTAAAATACAACACCAAACATTTATTGTTCATGTAAGTTTATTATTTCAAACAGAATGAAGGCAGAAAGTTTTTTAAGATTTTTTAAGATCTTAATTTTATTCAAATTAAATTGTTTTCTTCTAAGTTATCCAAAAGCAGAGTATTCGCTTTGTAGATTTTTTAATTTTTATATTTTAATTTTATATTTTATTATTATATTTAGTATAATGCATATATACATGTGTATGTGACAATGAATATTTAGATTTTATAAAGCCAATGTAAATTTAACATCTGCAAAATGTCTATTATGTATATTAGATTTCGTATATAGCATAAGAAAGTTGTATATATTCATGAAGCTAGTAGTAACTAAAAACTGTATTTCAAATTGTATGTCACATTTGAAATATTAATTATTATTCAAAGTAATAAAATAATGAAAGCTTTCATGGTGTACTTCAATATTACTCATTTTCTGTTAAAAAAATATGAAACACATTTAATCTAACTGATTTTTTGTTTTCATTTATTCATTAATATTAAAATTTTATTAAGTTGTTATCTGTTTACAGTTGACAGGGATAATGATAATATCCGTTGGTACAACAATTTATGCAGTTTATGAAGATTTCTCACATTTTCTGGACCCCAGTTACATTTCTCCAGCAACGCTATTAATCATTGTTGGAAGTATTGTTTTTGTGATAGCCTTTCTAGGTTGTTGTGGAGCTATTAGAGAAAGTACTTGTATGGTTCTTGTGGTAAGTATTTCTACATTCACTCATTATATAATTATTATTTAATACATAAAGTAAGTTAAATTTTAGTAAACTTCTATATACTTGTAATTTATCTTCTATTTTATCTATGCATTTAACATATATTATTTATAATTATGCATATTTCTTTAAAACGAGATCTTATCATTTCATTAAGTAATCAGATAAAAAACGTTATAATTACAGTTTGCAGTATCACTATCACTTGTTCTTATATTGGAATTATCTGCTGCAATTGCAGCTTATGCTCTTCAAGATGGAATAAGGAATCTTCTCGCTCAAAAAATAAATGGTACTATGCATCAATATGGGAAAAATGAAGAAGCTACAGATGCTATTGATTTTCTGCAATCAAGGGTAATTGGTTTGTTAAAACATACAAAAAAATTATCTATAGTGACAAAGTAGATAAGATTATTTTTTATCGGATAAACATTTAGATAAGGTTTCTTACTTCTTAGTAAAATTGAAACCTTTTCCAATTTTTATATATCATTATATTATATATTTAAATTATTAAATTATTATATTATAGCTTTATTGTTGCGGATATAATGGATATGAAGACTGGGCAGATATTATGAATGCAAATAAAATAGATCTTCCAAGATCTTGTCGACCATGGGCAGATATTAATGAGAACAGTACACATACTCCTGATAGTGATGACATTTCTTGGACTCCTTATGGAACTGGATGTATCCACAACCTATCAGTTATTATTCACAGGAGTGCATTGTATATCAGTACAGGAGCTGTGGCCATTGCTCTTATTCAGGTTTATATTTGTTCTATTAGTATTCTTTTTATTTAAAAAGTTGTTAACTATCACATAATTAGCAATGAAGAATCAGTACTTCATTTATTAATAATCATATTTAATTTTAGTCACAGCTTTATTTATAAATTCTAGTACATTCTAGGATGTCCAAACTAATATTCTTTAAATAGAAATTTTAAGATGTGAATCTTAATAATTTGTTTGTTTTTGTTTTCAGTTGACTGGAATAATGTTTGCTTGCATGTTAGGCCGAGCAATTAGAAGACAAAAGACAGAAAGGGAAAGACGTAAATGGGAATTGAGAGAAAGTTTAGTCAATGGTTATCAACCATTAGGAAAAGCAGATCCGTTCACAACATTTCCGGTTGTTTATATGTCCTCCTCTGAACCTTCAAAGAACCCTTAGTATTCTTTTCTACATTAAATTTTCAATTAATACTTTCTTGAAAATATTCACTGTTTCATAATAGTATTTTCCATTTTTCTAAAATATTTATATATTTTAATTGTTTACAAATTTGGAAATGAGTAATTCTATATTATAGTAAATGTTGTTTACTGCATTTTTTAGTTTAACGTTTGTTACCAAAAATTCACTTCTGTAAATCTTCTCTGCATTTAATATTACTCATTTACTTTGACTTTAAATTCTTTATAATAATAATTTTAACTTATGTTATGTTATATTTATATAGAACTACAGTTGTAGGTAATGTGTATAAAAGATTTAATATATTTCTGTAAATACAATGAAATGTATAATTAAATATATCTTACAGTTTTAATATTACATGTTTTGTTGAAATATATGGTTCTTAAATTTTGATTTGTACATCACTGAAAGATTAAAGCTCGTTTTAAAATCTCCCTAACTTCTTCATTTTTTAATGTATCATTTAAATAGGGCGGTGTAAATTCACGGTAAGCCAAACAAATTCGTCTAGATGTTATATCTTCTCTCAAAACACAATGTTCCCATGAGTACCTAAAAAGATAATACTAATATTTCTTTCACGGAAGTAATAAATAATACCTAGTAGAAATTTACTCGTGCTATATTTACTCATATTACATCGTTCATCATTTGTTTTGTGAAGTATCTTTTTCAAATGGTACTCAATATTAATTAAATCATTAACTAAATTGTGTAATACTTACAAAGTAGAGTCATTTTAATTCATAAAAACATAATTTTGAATAGAATTAACTTATAAATATTTGAATTTAATGTACTAAAAAAGTTCAGCTGATTTTATAAAAAAAAACACGTGAAATGAATAACAGATAAGAAATTTCTTTTACCTTGCCAAACCATAAAGAACCATAAGAGATCCCTCTGGCATTGGGAGTCTCACCACTATATCATCATTATTATCGTCTTCACTTTCTACATCAAATTTCAAATCCTTGCATGTTGTAGAATATTCTGTAATGCTTTTTAAATTGTACTTTGTATCCAAACCATGATAGGGAGTCATTGTTAAAACTGAGTTTCCCATAACATTAACTGTAACTATTCTTTCACCCCAAATCCAGCAATCATCAATATGTGGATCTATTGAAGCTCCTCGTAAAGGGTCATATTCTAGAGTACATTGTTCTATTGTTTGAAAATCAGCAAGTATGGGCACCTTAGACAATTTTTCTTGTACAAACTTTGTAGGCTTTGGAAATCCATTAAAGGAACCCAAACGAAGCTTTCTTTTTTTGAAATTACATTTTGGACCAAAGTTCTAAATTTTCAACAATTTATAATTTTACTAACTGTTATAGAACAAACATATATATATATGTATAAAGCCCAGATTCAGAGTATATTAAGTCATACTTTTCAAATTTTAAAGCATAGCAAAGGTGTAAAGTCCTAATAATTTTGGATCCATTAGAGATATGGAATATTTTGATCACATAGAAAAAAGATATCATTTTATTCTACAGTGGAATAAAAAATAAATTGGACTTCCATTCAGCACTGATAATGCATATAAAATTTCAACAACTTAATATTAACTTCCACTTCCAATTTTTGATATGGCCTTATCTAACTTAATACCATGAACCCGATAATAATATTAATATATATGATGGACTTAATATACAGTTGGTATATGGACTTATGATTAACAATTACAATTGCAACTGTATTATACTACTAATTTTTATGTAAAAAGCATGTAAACTGTCACTTTCTAAGAAAAGTAGACTTAATATAGTCCTGTTCTGAAGTTCAAATTTTAATTATTATACTTAATATACCTGTTTCCTTCTTCCACTTTGAGAAGTTTCCCAAGGAATATTGTCAAGTTCTTTTACCAATGAAGTAATCTCACAAGAATTCAGGAAATCTAACTGGTTACAAAGAATAACATAAATCATTTCTCTATTAAATATTCTTTCTAAAATAACTAACAATAAAATAAATAATTTCAAACGAAACTATGCCTTAAAATTAGGGATTACTCAGATATTAAAATAAAGGAAGCAATAGCTACTGTGACAATAACAATTTACAAATACATATTCACAGAATGCAATAAACTTTAAAAGGACAAGTTACTGCATAAGAAGAGAAAAATTAAATATCTCTGGTAAAACTCTTCTGAACCCTTTAGAACATTCATTTATTCTTTAATTACATTACTAATTGAAAACATAAGTTGTTAATTTATTCCTTTTTAACTACAAAAATAAAATGCATATAACAGTTTCAGTCAGAAATTTGTAAATCAATTATGTTCCAAGCAATTAATTTATAATGCAATATTTTTCCACTCATGTCTTCAACTATGAAACATTAAAAAAAAAATCCTTTAAAATGACTTAATATTATGTATAAAGACCTGTATATATACACCAGGATATTCTATGGCTTTCCCCTGATGATTTGGATGAGTTTTATATAAATCAGCATCCCACCCAGGCCACGATTTATCACAAAGAGGGCAGTACACATAACTGGAGCATTTCTAGAATATTGAACAACTATAATTTATAACTGCAATAATATAAATAGAAAGTACAAATATTATATACCAACTATACCATATAATGACAAAAGAGCAAATTAAAGATTTTTACATTCGATACATAAAATTTTTGTATTATTTATATCACAAAACAGTTCATATTTACAAGTTAACATTTACCAATTGCCTTTATCAATTTTGTTACTTATAGTTGAAAATATTTGGTGTTATATTAATTCTTTGCATACAAAAAGTATTTGCATCTATAATGTATCCTTAAATGCAAAGGATCAATGACACAATTTTAATAGAATTTATAGTGATTATTAAAGTCATTTATCTATAACTGTAATTAATAAATAATGAGGTAATTTGATAAATAACATAATTACAATAACATCTCAAAGCTTTCTTTCAATGTTGACTTTAGAATCAGATATTTCTTTAAAGCGTTTATGCAAATTCAAATATATAAGGTATTCTAGTTAAATCAACGCACTCATTTCAAGTCAAATACGTTGATAAAATATAGAATACTCTTAATAATAATTTAATTTGCACTAAATATGCATCAGTTATATAGTAAAAAGTAAACTGTGTTTAATAAACGTTATCAAACAATATTTTAAGTAATATTTTACTACTATTATTTTTGTTAATCAAATGTTTAGGTCACACCACATAAGTGATAAATAATACATACAACTTAAACAAAGATGTAACCAATTTTTATTACCAAAATTTCATAGAAAATTTAAATCAACTATAAGTTTTATTAAGGAAGCATTAAAAAATTTAAATTAAAACAAACTTAACCTCTAAACAAGATTTAAAATCAGGTTTCACAATATTATATTCGGCTTCGCAAATAAGACAAGACCTTATGCCTTTACAACCACATGGACGAACTGTTTCCATTTCTTACAAAAAGAAATTGATTAAAAATTTAATTAATTATTACTAAATAATATCATTGATTGAAAACATAACTTAGTCAATGATAATACTAGTAATAGAAACTACAGATATAACAAGACTACATGCTTTTATTTTGGAGGGAATATGAATCCGTGATTCGGGAACAAGCGCCATCTGCTTTATTTTAATATAAAATTATGAAACACTTCCTACTGCAGCATTTTAAATATTGGAGAAACTACAGTAGCTATATTTTCGAACAGTGACAAAATTAAAAAATTAAAAATTTGTGTATGATTGGTGCTTTACAATGCTTTCTACTTTTTAAGTTATTTAATTTACAATAAACTATTGTTTTACATCACTTACATGATTACAGTACTTTCATTATGAATGTAAATCTCTATGTAAAATTCACTGATAAAAAACATGAAGTTATATTTCCTAAAAGAACCTTTCTGGAACGTAAAGTGAACAATAAACAGCTTATTGTGAAAAGTAAATATGTACATAGTACAATTTTGTTATCTAGCGATTTCGAAAATGCCTTGTTTAAATTATGCACAGGGCGTGCCAATTTGAAGGAAAGTAAAAGTCATTGTTTTTTAATTTAATTTATTTATTAACCTGTACTCGTCTATGTACAAGACTGCGCCTGCTAAACAATCCTTTCTATGATATAAGACAGAGGTCCATTTATTAATAAAATTGCATTTCATCACCAAACTCACTCGATACATTGCAATCAATTTTTTTAATCGCAATCGATTAAAAAAAAGAGACAAAATAAAAGGAAATCCCGGACTACTATATACAAAAATAATTGATCAATTATAGATCGATTGATTATTGATCAACCAGTTTACAAATAATTTATAATCGTCAGTTCGATAAAATTTATTACTCACATTCGAGTTTCCAACGATCAATTATTTTCTAACCGAAATATTCCTGCTTGACATAATAATAAATATAAACATTAAAATAAATGTTTATTATGGCATTATTAATTATTTACAAATAGTCATTCATCAGATAAAAACTGATCAAGCAATTAAAAATATCCTTTCCGAATAATGATCAATCAATAATCACTTCTTAATCAATTAATGACCAATTAATTAATGTCTAATACTAACTGTAAGGTCTTTTGAAAAAGACCAACAATAGTACCATGATTAACTAATTAATCGAAAACATAATTGATCAATTAATGACGAATTTCTTAAACTCATTAAAAGAAAAGAATACAATGTAAAGCACCCTAAAACGTTGTTCTTAAAAATTGTGCTTCGACTTACAAAATTCGCTGCGATTTTTATTAAACTTCACTACTCGAATTGATCATACATTCTTGTACAATCCTTATCACTTCCTTATGAAGTAATTTATTTTTATCACGGTTGACTATAAGTGTAGTCAGTTTTACATTTTACGTGCATTATTAACGTTGCTGTTTTCAGTAGCATTCTATCATCGTTTTTGGGCATTTTGGCGCGCACAAAATTAAAAAATAACTAGAAGTATTTAAGTGATACGACAAATTGCAAGTTAACTAATTTTGTTCCGTTTTGTTTTTTTTTAAAACTGAACCTTTCCAGTAACAAAGTGTAACGCGCATCGAATAAGTGAATCAAACGTTTTTTATGAAAAAAACTTAAGTTTAAAATGCCAATACTATTTATAAAAATCGCATTAAATAAAATGTAGCAGTTCATAATTACATGGTTGAAACGTTCTAACTATTTTTAAGTATTTACTACGACGTTATGTTATTTTCTACACGATGCAAATTAATTTATATAATACATTCTCCTATCTCATTTGGTTTTTACGTATGTATAAACTAATAACTTTAAATTATTTATATTCACGCACCTAAATTGACCTTTGTTTAACCATGAACACTAAAATAACCATTTACAAATTCATTGTTTTTTAACTAAATCATTCTAGGTGATATCTTTTCTGCTTTTCAAATACAAATCATTTGCTTACGACAAACGATTACGAAAAACAATATCCACCACGAAATAGCTGTCTTGTAAAATTAAAATTAAAATTAATGAAGTTCACATTTTCCGTAACTACAGATCGTCGGAGCGTTGAAAAAATAAACTCTAGAAAAATTATAATTAAGTATAATACTGTGAGCTTTGGAATAAACTATATTGTTTATCACACTACAGAAAATATTCCAGTAGTCGAGCTTTAAAAAATATTCAATTATAGACTTATACTTTTTAATAAAAGTAATATTGAAACATTTTCCACTAATTACACAGGAAAATTTATACTGAACTCCAAAAAAAGAAAAGAGAACAATTATGATGATTAAAGGAATGTTTAACTATTATTAAGTACTACTGATTATTTATACTGATGTTTTGTAAAAATAAACGGGAAAATTGTTATCAATTAGGCCGAAGATGATATAACTTATAAAAAAAATAAAATGTTAACTTTTACATAAAATATCATGCTTCTGTAATCGAAATACATAACATGTCTAAATGAAGTTAGTGTAAAAAGTTATGTATTTCATTTACTTACAATGCAAATAAATCATGATTCAAATCACACGAAGATAATAAATGTTCTAGTCTTTGTATTATAATGCATCTTGTATACGACATTTTGATTATACTTGAAAATGTTTCTGCTCGTCCTATATCTGTACGTTAAAATTTATGTATAAAATTGAAAAATTACAAAAAAGAAATTAGTTTGTAATATCGTTAAATAATATTACGAAGCAAATTTAACGGAAAGGCAGTAAATTGTCCATTTTACCATCGCTCCGACAATCTTTCATTACCTTCTACTAAAACCTTATTCAAGTTTTTCATAAATTACTCAACGCACAGTAAACAATGCTTTCAAAGTAATCCACCCTTTCGCCCAAACAGAAGCGAGCTAATAGTTCCCAAAGCGGATTGCGCAGGAGATTCTTTTGTAACTGTGACAGGAACTGCAGACGTAACCTGTCCAAGATCAGGTCTCGTGGCCCTAGCACCAGTTCTCCTTTGTCTGTTTGATTCTCTATTTGATATAGACTCGTCTTGTTTCTTTCCAATAATTTTCCGTTTCGTTGCCGCAGAATCACTTGCAGTGGAAGAAGGCGAAAGTTTTTCTTGACTTCCACTCGAGGACATCGAGTTTTTCAGGAAGGTTAATTGAGCCATTGGACTTTCTGTAGTACGCCTGGTATATAGAGAACCTTGAAGTGCTAATGGAGAGATGGAGGAACCAACCGTTGTAGCCATTATAGTATCAATACCAATTCTTTCGAGTTTTTCTACTAAACGGATACTGGTAAGTGCTTTTTTGTCGGACCTGGAGATTACGGTCCGCTTTCTTTGTACTGGCTGAAAGACATAATTTACATAAAAATAAAATGAGTTTATAAACTCGCAAACATCAATGAAAATAATCAATGCATAACTATATAAAGTATGTACAGTTGGGACTTTCAAATTGTATTTAATTTTGAAACAATTTTATTTTTTGTATAGTGTTTAAGCAGTCATGTGCGTAAATAGAATCGTTAAATAAAATTATATTTTATATTTAAACGGTCTCATTTTTCTCCCAATTTTTATCTTTAGCATCAATTAAATTAATTTTAAGTAATATTTGAAAATAAGAATTTACAAAAATATCTTTGCATACCTCTGGTTCTCCACCAAACGTTCTCTTTAATAATTCTGCACCACTGGATAATAATCCCAGGGAAAGTCCACTATCCCTGATTGGTGAACTTGATCGACTTTCTGGAGGACTAGCATCAGGACTATTGCAAGGTGTCGCGGTGGGTGTAAAATTTCTCTCGTCACTGGGCGTCCTCACCGAAGAAGGTGTTACAGCTTTTATGCCTATTTTTATATAACAATTTAATTATTTATACAGTTAAGAACCAAAGAAATTATTTGGAATAAAATGATTCTTTAAAGCATGTTAAATATTCTTAATTTTATTTTATATGTACCTCTTTCGTTTAGCATTTTTGCGAGTCCGAGAGTCGTTGAAAACGTCGAAGTTGAATTCCTCCTACTTAAAGTACGTGGAGTACTCATTCCAGAATTTAAAGCGCTACTGGGTGCAGTTGCGACTCTACTACCCACAACACTGGGAGTTACACTGGTATGATCATCGGGGTGAAGTACAGTACTGTTAGTAAACGTATATACAGAACCCGTATCTTGAAATAATTTTCCAGGGTTCGTATATTCTTCATCTTCTTCAAGGTCACTTAAAGTGAAAGTGACAAGGCCTAAGTCTTCTAAGCCACGTCCTCCTCGTGTTTTCACTCCTGGCCGTTCCTCCAAAAGACCACCTTAAAACATAATATTTTAAATAGAATGATAAAAAGTTTATAGAAGATTTAAACAAAACGTATACGATTAAAAGATATAACTTTTATATCTTTTAGATCTAACTATTTCTTGAATATTTAAAAGAATTTTATAAAACGTTCTATTTTGCTTCAACAAAAAAAACAGTGTCAAAAAACAGTTACTTTCTTCGAAAGTATTGTAGTAAAAAAAATGAAATAAATATTACCTAAAGTAGGGGTTGCCAATTGTGTCCAATGATGCAATGTTTGTGAACCTTCGATGGGTTTTACTATTTGCAATTTTTCAGGAATTCTCCAAGAATTTCCACTGTAACCACTCAAATTTCCGCTACTTCCAGTGGACATGATACTATCCGGAGTTCTACAACCGAGTGGTACGAAGGTCGAGGGTGAATGAGTTCCAGCATCATAATCATAACTGTATCCTGTACCAGTGCTAAGGCATGCACGTCTTGTTAGAACTTCTGCGGGTGTCAATCTACGAAGAGCTGCCTCGAGGTCTGCTGCTCCAGGAGCTCCTGGTACACCCGTTTTTTGTGGACCACTAAATGTTTACAGTAATATCAAATATTAGTTGACAGTTCAACACTTAAAATACCTCATTGTTTTTTAATATTATTTAATTGTTATAAACATAAAACTCACGGATACTCCTCAGAGTCTGTAATGAGGGAGCCTTCCGAATCGCTGTGACCGGTGGAATCTAAACTAGGATACATAGATGTAATGGGTCGAATTTGTCCACAACTCATCCGTGGCCCAGTAGAACCACTAGACAGAGTTGATGTAGTCATCGAACCTATCCTTGGGAATTGATTACTTTCAACCGTGTAAGAATTCCTTGAAGCACTCCTGACCGTTTCAAAGACTTTTTTGTAAGTTGGTCTATGGAATACAAAAATTAATTAAAATTAAGAATTTAACCAGTAGTAATATCATTTTAAAATTTAAAAGGGAGGATTTTAATTAACATGTATCAAAAACATATAATATATAATAGTGACAATTATACATTTTTAAATAATAATTACAAATAATTATAAAATTATAGATTCCCTAGAGTTGTGTTAACTATTAATAACTACAAACAATAGCAACGGATAATAAAGATAAGAGACAGAAGCATGATCAAAATTTCTTGCTTTTCGTATGGTAAAATGAAAGATATAGAGAGAACTTACATCCTATCAGCGCTGATTCCAGAATCTAAGCTCAGCTCAGAATAAAGAGACGATTCCAATTCTGATGCAATAGAATCTGGTTGCGGAGCTGCACCCATTGAGGGGAACAACGATCCTCCCCTAACGGTTGGCATTCCTCTTTTTCGTTGTTTACGAAGTTGTTCTTGAGTTTCAGCCAATAAATTCACCACCTTACAAAACAATTTTAAGTGAATTAATACTTTATTGTTAATCGAGTTAAATTACTGAAACAGCCAAATTCATACTAATAATTTGCTCATTTCAAGTGTACCATTTGGTCAATATCACTTGGTTCTTTATAGAAAGACTCTATACTAAAAGAACAGCAATAATTTAAATAAAAACGATGTAATAATATGTATTAATTTGAAAACACACCTCTGCATATCGATCTTTGAATTCGGCCAACTCAGTTGCCAGGGTATTCTGATTGTCCCTAGTGATTAGCAAAGTAGTTCCCATTTCGTCATGTTCGGCTATTAACTGTGCCAGTCTCAATTCCGCTTCAGCTAATTTTGCGGTCAAACTAACAATTTGTTCATGCTGTAATCGATTCTCCTCTTTCTGTCTATCGAGCTCATCTGCTATTCCATCTACTTCCATATTTGCATTTGCTACAAATGAAATTTATATCTCAGTCAAATTTCAGATATTTGAATTTTATTGGCATAAGAAATTATGTATTAAGTTCTTTCAATTGAATATGTTATTCATACATTAATAACCGTGTTTAAGACTTAACTTTCAATAAATTTCATATATGAGAGCTAAATACAGTCTGTTTAAAATAAACGCAGATACTAAAAGTTTGAAAGTTAAAATTACCTGCAACTTTTCTAAAAAAAAAAAAGAGCAAGCGGACTTTTACTTCATTTTCTGGATATTGCAATTAACTAAGATTTGTATGTAGATATTGAACTTGATCTGATAATAATTTAATGTCTTGCATTAACCACCAGTCAGCAGATATCCATCGTATTAACATAAAAATAAATGCTATCATGATATCTAACTTAAGCAAACCTAACCCATGGCTAGTAGACTAATAAAACTTCAAAATGTATTGGTATTCATTCTCTAGCAAAAAATATGTATTGAAGATATCAAACAATTGTATAAACAACACTGATAGCGTCTAAATTAATACTGTTAAGTTATAAATTAAGTTATGAGTATTTTTTATAATCTTTATAGTGCCTATGTTTAATTTAAACAGACTGTAAGAATGCAATGCTTCGACTAACCGAGTTGAGCAGCAATATCTTTAACAAGTTTTGCCTCCTGTTCCTCTGAATGATCAGCATCGTGCATTAGTTTGGCAAATTCGCTTCTCAATTGTTTATTTTCATCTTCAAGACAACTGATTTTCTTTTGCATCATGTCTAGATTAATGCCCCGTAATCCGGTGGGCGTGCTGGCTTCGGAGCTCGTTTCTTCGGCATCATTTGTAAGTATCTGAATTAATTCTGTTTTCTTCGTAAGTTCATGTGTAAGTTGAGTGATCCTTTCATTGGCTTCCTTCAAGTCGGACTCCAAACTGGTGACCGTAGTTTCAAGTTTTTGGTTGTGCGATAAAAGTTCTTTACCGATACGTGCGGTCAGTTCCAAGTCCTTCTCTTTCTGAAAATCATAATAAAATCATCAGTTTTTAATTGAATGTTTGATCACAGGCATTAAAAAACAGTAATAATTATTGTAATATGACTCAGAAGTATCTCATTGTTAAGAATAAGTGTATAAAGAAACAAGTAACGCTTTAAAAAAACAACTTTTACACTTTACATGCTATCCTCTGTATTAAATTTTAACAAAATTATTTATAATTTATAATATGATGTATGAGTTCCGTTAAAATAAAATAGATTTATGTAAAAATTCATATATTGCTTAGAAACATATAACATAACACTCAGAATGTTAAGTTATTAACTGTTTCATTGCATTTCTTATGCATTTTTTATCGCATTATGTTTACTTTCAATAAACTGTATATGTTAATGTCATTATATTTCATCATTTCTATCACCTATAAGTTCAAGTGTCTTATTCTAAAATTTCTACTCAGGTAATGGCAACGATGTGACAATATTGTACCAAGAAATAAAAGTAGTAAGACTACGAAACAAAGAGACTTTACTGAAGCAATGATAATACATTGTGTTGCTTAATGCATTAACTGAAACATGACTTATCATTAACTGGTAGATTATGTAATCAAAAACGTGTGCTTACAGAAATTTTGAAACAAAATACACATACAATTTGTATAGGTTTCAACCGTTTGGAAATATTATATAATTGCAGTTTTATCTAATAATTGCTTTCAGTATTTTTAAAAAACAAAAATTGATATTACTTTTTTGACACAGAATAACTTCTGGAAACTCCAATAAAAATTAGGTTGGTAATATACCTAACCAAATCCAAAACATTAAACTGATTTCTACTTCTTAAAACAACATCCTTAGTATAAAGTATTTTGCAGATTTGAAACTGTAATCAAAGAAATTTGTATTTAAAAGATTTTTATTATCTTTTAATGTTTTATGTTAGATTGAATATATTATCAATCTTATATTTTTAATAAGGTCCTCCAAAATTAAATAGTATTCTTTACCAATATAAAATCTAAAAGCTTTACTCCTATTAAAGATATAATAATAATGAAAAAATATGAGATTACATTATGATACTGAAAAGTAGAAGTCTGAAAATAGTTTCACCTTTCTTACTTCCTAATGTGTTTCACTTAATATCATACTAGAAATCATTTTTTTCCATGAACTGTTTGTATGAATAAATGATTATGATTTACAACGTCTTTATATGTATATAGACTTTGATCTCAAGTCAGAATACTAGTTTGCATTTGCAATTTACATAACAGAAATAGTAAAAATAGTAACAGAACACTGCTTGTTATATCTGAGGTCACATTTTTTAGTTCAAAACCAGCATTATAAAAGTGGTCTATAGTAATACACAATTTCTGATAAAAAACTTTATTCATTGAAACTATCTATTATGATTTATGTTAAACACTTATTTTAAACTAGAGTCTTTCACTTTTTTGTTAATAATATGTATAATAAAAGAGAACGTCTCATAGAAAACAAAAGGACCACTTGTAGTATACATAATATAGCTTTAAATGGATTAAAAAAGAAATATAAAGTTTCATTACATATTAATGACGAGATTTACCTCCTCCAGAAGCCTTGTGACTGCTTCTATGTCATTATAGGTCTTGGTCATTTGGCTCACCCGACTGCTACATAGAACTGCAATAAAAAAACAACCATGTATTACATACATATATATAATTATATCTGGAAAAATAATTTTATAATAAAGAAACACAACAAATATTACATAAGTGATGTGCTTGTATTTCATATTAATGAAGCAATAAATAATTTACAAGCAGTACGAATAGCAAATCAAAAGACAATATTATAAAAGTAACGCGTGAACCTACAAAGGTTTAAACTGTATTTATATTATATGACTTTCTCTGTATTTATTGTACATGTTTGCTAAATATAAAGTGTATTAAATTAATATTTGTTTACTACGATGTGATTGATTACATTGGCTAATGTATTATTTGTAAGAGTTGTTTGTTTTTTACAGAGTGTTTCATAAAACCATTTGGACAATATGATGTATTGAACAATGTTGAAAGAAAATATTTAAAAATTTTTTAATTTTCAATTTCCAAATTCACAAATCTAACCTTCCAAAAATCAATGTCCAATTTTTAAATATACAAATTTCCACATTCTTAATTTCTGAATTTACAAATTCTTAAACTTCCAAGTCTAAATCCTAGAATTTCTCAAATTCTAGAATTTTCAAATCTTCAAGTTTAGCGAATCTTAAATTTTCAAAGATTTTGTCAGTAAGTTCAATGTAAAACTCTTTATGAAACACCCTGTGTGGTAGGTTTATACTTAAACAATCACATGCATGTTATTACTGGTTTATTGTAATTATTTATTAATAAACAATAGCAATAGCAATCTTAATTAACTATAATAGTACATAACACAAATAATAATAATAATATATAACATAATTTTCTATACGTCATATGAAACACATCAGCAATCGATTTAGATTTTTATTTTCAGTCCATTAGTAGGTACCTAATTGAACACGTATATTTGAAGATGCAAATGAATGAAAAATGGTTGACGTTTACTTCACCACTTTAGTTTGCACGTTTTATATATCTTTGTTATCGAAGATGAATTTCAATGTCAGTATCGGACATTTTTCGAGGTAATCGTTTTTAAGATTCCAAGTAACATGAATCACATTCATTATTTTTGAATAATACATGATAGTAAGTTTTCGGTACATTTGACAATATGAATAATATTTATCTTTCAGACTCAAGCACCTTGTTTTTCTTTTACAACGTGAAATTTTCTTCCAAGGCAAATATAGTAATTATAAAATTTGTTTAGGATTAAGGAAAGAATTTGTTATTATATTTATACTTCTTGTTTTTTTTAATTATAAGTTATATCCCGAATTAAATTATACAATTTTTATCTGTTAATAAAAGATAAGAGTTATAAAATTTTAAATTACCGAAATAGACTTCAATAATTATTTTATGGCTAAAATATTTGTAGAAAAATTTCATTTCAATTATTGATATATGTTTTCTAAATGTACCTATATATAAATATACTGCAAATAACGTTTTACTGTATGTAAAATATATTACTTCAAGTTTGTAATTTTAAAAATGAACATGTCCTAACAATTATACATAGATAAATATTATTTTTTATAAATACTTTCTTAAATGATATAAAGATACAAACAATAAACTTAAATAATGTTTTTCACAAGAAATAGGAAATTTAATTTTTTTTTTATCTCTTGCAAAAATAAGGAAATTCTTTTACAGATTAATATGTTACTTTATTTGGTAATTAGAAAATAAAAGCTTTTATACAATGGTTACATTTTTACCCGATAAATACAATATACGCTGATAATAAATTTAAGCATATTTATGATATCGTGTAACTTTTAAAATTGCCCTTTAAATAAAAATATTTAAATGTAATAATGCAACATTGATGTTAAGCATTTAATTGCATGATTAATAATATTATTAGCATTAAGAATAATATTAAAGATAATAAGTAATTGTTATGGTAGATATAATTAAACGTAACAACGATTATTTATTTTACATATATTTACGTTTTTAACAAAACGTTCAATAATATTTGTAACATCGATTATATTTGCAAACTGAAAACATAAATCACGTATAAATTGTTTATTGCGCTAAGGATTTATAATTATCGGTAATATTTGTTCAAATAATTGAACAAACGTTTCCATTTCTAAGCTTACTTAAGTTCAGTAAACTTTTTATATCAATCTCATTGCTGTAACACAGGAATGCATTTATGAATCATTTATTAACCCGAGTGTTCAGGAAAGCAATAACTTTCATCTGGTAAGTTTTGTGGTATATTAAGTATTGTAGTTTCACGGCTTTCAGAAGACCATATCATTCGAGTGATATAAATACATTACGTTGCTAATTAAATACGCTTCCATTAATGTCTTCCTTAAAAATTTCAGAAGTTCTGTCACGAGGGTGCAAAAAATTTAACATGAAAATGCAAGAGGTTATATATGTGAACAAAACTTATGTAATTGTATTACAAATTGTAATTTTTAGAAGTTTAATAAATAACTTTATAGGGAAAATATGGAAGCCGCAATAAGTGTAATGTAATATGTAATAAAATTTTATGTAAAAATTATATAGGGTGTTTCGATAAAATGTTTAATAATGGAGGATTGGGAATTTGGAAATATAAATTTGGAAATTTAGGAATGTAAATTAGGATATTCGAAAATTGGTAAATTTAGAAATTTAAAAATGTAAATCAGGATATTCGAAAATTGGTAAATTTAGAAATTTAAAAATGTAAATTAGGATATTTGAAAATTTGGAAACGTAAGAATTTTGGAATGTAAATTAGGATATTCGAAAATTGGTAAATTTAGAAATTTAAGAATGTAAATTAAGATATTTGAAAATTAGGAAACGTAGGAATTTAGGAATGTAAATTAGGATATTTGAACATTTGGAAATGTAGGAATTCAGGAATGTACATTCAGATATTCGAAAATTCGTAAATTTATAAATTTGGATATTTAAGAATGTAAATTAGAATGTTTGAAAATTTGGAAATGTAAATTAAGATATTCGAAAATTTAGGAATTTAAAATATCGGTAATTTAGAAATTTAGTAACATAAGAATTTAAAAGCTTCAGAAATTTACGAATTTCGACACGTAGGGATTTGAGAATTTGCAGCTTAAAATATTTGAGAATTTGAGGGCTTGTAAATGTAAGAATTTTAAAACTTGAATATATAAAAATTTAAAAATCTAGTAGTTCCTGAAATTATATCAAAACTTCTGATAATAACAAAGCATGTATTTTAGTACGGCACTCTATTGTATCAATTTTCACATAACCTAAACAAAAAAACTTCGATATCCTTTAAGTATATATAATAAAAAATACTCGATTAATATTTTGCAAAATAATAATGAAAATGTATTATTGTGAATAATAAAGCACCTTCAAATTTAATTCCTAATTGTTCCTTGTAGTTTACGCTAATTACAACAAAAATGAAAGCAATAATTTTTGTTCTACGTTATGGTGTTCTAAATAAAAAACAGCGTGCATACATTTGATTGTGTCATAATTGGCGGTGCTTGCAGTTCAAAAACATACAAAATGATAGAAATAAGTAAAAGTGAATATTAAACAAGAAAAATAAGATAATATTTGATTAATTACAATTAAAAAATTGTATATATAATAAGTAGATCTTAATGCATAAAAAATAAGGGAAATATGAAATTTTTAACATAATATTACTGTATTCATTTAGTATTTTACACAGAAGTTACAATAGTAATAAATAATATTCAAGGTACATGAATGTAAACAGAAATAATATTCTGAACGCATAAGTCAAAAGAAATTCTCGTTTTTTAATATTATAGATGTTTCATCAATAAATTATTGAATCACAAAAAACCGTATCAGAAAATACATATCACAAGATTAAATAATTTTTATAGAAAATATATACATTTTATACAATTCAATGATAGAGAATATACAGGGCGGCTCACCACATTTTACCATCTAGATTTGCATCATTATTATCATTCATGGCAAACAATTGAGAGAGGCACATGCCGGTGGTATATTTTTTTTGTAGGTGGACGTGTAAAGGACATATGAAGGTCATTAATGTTTCTTTAAATGTAATCATATATTTTTTGTTGCATCCGCTGATACTCCTTCATATCCTTTACAAAAAAGTATTAATCTATTTATGTGTAAATAAAATTAATAACTAATGTGATGTTTCATGTTATGCAAATGTTTTTCTACATGCTTTGAGATGTCATGTCACCAAATAAATTGTTTTTTTTCTTTTTGTTACGCAGTAACAGTAAAATTTAGTTTCTGTTACGTCTCTAATACGATAAATACGATGATACGGTGAATTGTCACTTCATAATGAACTATTCTAAAGAAAAGATAGACATGTTAACAGTTTATTTTGAAGCTGGGAAAAGTGCTACACATGCAGAAAGATTTTACATTACGGAATAAAATGACGTAAATCTAAATGGCAAAATGTGGTGAGCCACCCTGTATATAAATATATATATATCACATACATGATATTCACGATAACACTACGCACGATTTTTCAAAAAATATTTAACATTGATTTCTATACATATATTAGTATGCTAGTTAAATTACCAGTTCATATTTATAAAATTCTACATTAAATTCTGAAATTGTCTCAATATAATTTCGCAATAATTAATTTTCAATTGATTTAAAAACTGTGTGACATATCAATTTGCTACATATTTGTACAGTCCTTGCGCATGAGAGTACAATCTGCGGCTACTATTCATTAGTATTTGGGAATTTAAATAAAGAACTGAAATACAATTATTCGTCATTGGAGCAGAGCGATTGTAAATAAATAACTTAAAGATAAGATAAAACGAAGTATGTTATCGTGAACATCTTGTACATTGTATTACTTGCAAACATATATCAACTTTTCGCGCATCACGTAAATGAACGATCGATTTTTTGAGTGACATACTCTCGAATTATTTAAACAAAGATAGTAATCTAAGAGGATGAAAGTCTTGAGACGAGATTTAAAATTAAAAAGGGTCTTTG